CACTATAAAATTGTACTATTTGAACAAAGTTATTTATTTCGAGATTAGTAATAACTATTATACTACAATATTAATACGATTTCAAAAGTCATTTAAACCAAGAATATTTAATTATTTGTCGGCAAAGTTTTAGTTGTAAACATTTGACAAGTCGGTAGGAATTAATACACCGTATTTAGTGTATACCTAAGTAAATATTTGCTCCAGTAGTTGTGTGAAAAGGTACTTATATATATTTTAATTTGTTATGGTTTGTACTTATATGCGTATACGGATTGTACGCACTAGTTAAGTTCTTAAAAATTGCTTAATACTATAAGAAGGTTGCTAATTGAAATAATTGAGCGTTAGTTGGTATTTGTTGAACTGTTAGATACTTTCGGAACCTTATCTGAACGACTTCAAGAAAACTATGTCTACATATATACATACCTACCCATACATATATTATTAATAATAATAATTTATTGTCAAAAATGTTACAAAATTAAGCCGGTAAAGGAATTAGCGTAATATCCTACAGGTGTACAACCTACATTTTTAAATTAATACAACCGATTGCAGTATGTAGTTTTTTAATTTCCGACTAACACTCAACAGACAAAAGGTTATTAACCTGCATGTTTCTATATTCAGATTATTTTTGTGGAAAATTATAGTTTTGAAATTATCCATCGTTCCGGAACAAAGACGGAGATATGGAAATGAAAGGTTTTTAGTCGTTGTCACGGTTTTTTGGTTTTGTATGTATAGAAATAACATACCTATCTGTTTAAATGTTTTAAAGATGGAGAAGTCATAAAACTAATTTAATAAATAAACGATTCATACATCAAAACTACAGACTAACTGTATTAATTAAAGATGTTTGCGGGGAGGAATATCTAACTTTTAATGGTATCTACGAGTATGATGTATATGTTTAAATTGTTATTTTTTTAGTAAACAATTTTATTAGAGCTTATGAATCTTACCCTATACATAATAACTGAAGTATCAATGGGAAAATGGATTCAAAAATCATATAATAATACATGTGTTTATAACCAGTGTTTGGTTGCAACTTGTAACGTAACCGTCATAACGGCATTAAGAGGACGTTATACCCGCATCTACTGTCTTTGTAACAATGCTTATGCTGAATAAGTAAAACTAGCTTAATTTGATTTAGAGTAAAAGTATCTATTATGAAATTTATAGAGAACAATACTTTGAAGGGAATAAAAAAGGTGGGTTTTGAATTATGAACTATTCAAAAAGTTAGTTAATTAAAATTAAAATAAAGAATTTTGTATTTTTTATATAGAGCTGTATGTTTTGAAAAATATAAAAACTCTATGACATTCCCTCCAAAATATTGTTTTCTATACATTTCATAATAGGTACTTTTGCTCTAAAATTAAAATTAATCTAGTTTTACTTATTTTGCGTAAACATTGTTTTTGCATGTTACCCGGTAGTTGGACTGAGACTGCAGATAAACGTCTTTTTTACTTTATTTGTAACGCGTAATGTAATTCCGTAAAGATTGTTTCTAAGTTACGAAAATATAATTTTATTTTTGATGGATAATTTCAATAATACAAGGCGTTATTTTAGATATTTTTATGTTACAAATTATTATTATTTAAAAAAAAAAAAACAAAAATTATAATACCTTATCATATAATGGTGTATTGGAGGGTATAACTATTGGTTATAGAATAGAGATTGCCAATTTATTCTATTTTATAATACTCTATTTATCACAGCCTGTTCTATAATCAATGGCATAAACAATACGGGTGTTTAATTTTAGTGTTCGAAAACCGAAAATTAAACCAAGGCGAACAAAAGCGCGTTGTCAATGGTGACAACTGTGGTCAGTGCGTTTGATAACGCTTTAGAGTGTTGTATAGTGCTGGCGTTCGAAACGCGGCAATATTATTTGTACAGATTCTACTACTCCTACTAATATTATAGAATTTAAAGTTTGTGAGGATGTATATCATGTATGTTTGTTTGTTACTCTTTTACGCAAAAAATACTGAACGGATTTTGATGAATTTTGATATAGATAACAGAGATAGATGTGTTTTTGGAGAAAAACGTAGGCTACCTTTTGTCGCGAAAATAAAACTATAATACTTTAAAGAGGTTATTTTTTGATTTTCGATGCCATTTTTTAAATACAAACACTAAAGTTGGAAAAAACGTAGGAAAACATAAAATTACACGATTTCATTATTTCTTAAAAATACGGATGACGTTTTCTACCAAAAAAAGACCGAATTTAATTGATATTGCACCTTTTTTAAAATAAAGATAAATCAGATCTGATTAAATATATAGCCGATGATGAACATCGTGTTATTTATAAATTATAAACTATTATCTTAATATTTTATGAATAAAATAATATCCATCATAATATCCAAATAATATCCATTTTATATCGATAAAATAATACGATTGAGATCTGTTATTCCCATAGATAATTATTATCTATGGTTATTCTGTAGGTATTCGGTAGATTGTATTTCGGTGTCATGTTGGATTGTCAGTTGATGGTCATCAATCAGTCGTTCATCCGTATTTTTCAATAGTTGTAAATCAATTACATTGTGTTATGTATTACCTAACTATTAAATTTTAGACAATTATCCATTTGCCCCCCTTAAATAAGCATAAGCTGCCAACCATATGATGGATGATCAATCTACCGTAAGACACTCATTATCCCGGAAAGTAGTTTTTTTTTAGAAAATTTAAGTAACCACCAACTCTAAAATGTTACATTATCATTATTAATGTCACCCTTATTTTTAGGGGTGAAACAACTATCTACTTTTGATTTTCAAATGGCAACCTATAATAAAAATGCTATAGATGGAGTATTAGTTTAATATTTTTAAACTAACACCGATAATTCGCCGACTGTTAAGTTTTAACGCAATCGTATAGCATCTATACTGTAGCCCATCAAACTTATTAATCGGCCGGTATGCATAGTCACATAGATAATAAAAGTATGGATAGGACACATCTATACCAATTTCATATGGGGCCTTGTGATTTTTTAAAGAAGATAGACAGACAATATGGTGCTTTTTTAATGTTATGTACAAAATCTGTTGCAATAATAATAACAATAACATGTAAATTATTCGTTATAAAATTAATTTGCCTTCTGACATTTTTGCTTGAAATTGGATGACTAAAATATTCCAATCAGTCCATAGGTGTATTTTGTGTTTGAATGCAACAAATACACATAATGACATCAGTTTTTATCTGTGAGTCATACATTTAAAATTTGTTTTATATAATAATAATATATTAAGTTTATACGTTTGACATATATTATTATAGATTTTCAAAGGATGAAACTAGACGATGAATTTGGATTGAATCCTTAAATATAAAGGAGGTGATTAAAGTCTGGTATCGAATATTGCCCCGTATTTGTCCCTTATAACCTTTAAAAGTTATTACTAAGAGCGCTTTCAGACGAGACACTTTGTGGTGGGCTACTTGTGTCTGAAAAGAATCGCGCGACTAAGATAACATTTCATTACTATAAATATACGCTAACATACGAGACACAGACATGGAGTGTGTGTCGTGCAATCGAATCGGCGTGTCTCGTCCCCGTCAGCTGTCGGACACTGTGTCTGAGTCTGAGCCACTGATAATGTATTAGCTTGAATTAGAACGTTCAGTCGAGACACGCGTATTCGAATAACTGTAGAGTTATACAGTGTACACTTTCAGGAGTGCTTATTTATTTAATATTATTTAATAAAATCATTATATTATTATAAGTATGAGTTTCGCCAGTTTTGATACCGACCAATTAATTGTCGAAATTGAACGTAATATTATGATCATCCATAATATCAACAAATACAGCTATATTTATGATTATTACAAAGAAATTTAGAAGTCAGTATTCAGTATTCAATGTAATATTATAAATTGCAATGTAATCAAATATACATCTCCCTCGTTAAAGTGGTTCTAATAAATTCCACAAAGTAGCGACTCTTTCGCTTTCAATCGCTAAAAGAAACACTATTCAAATCGTTGCGGTCATGATATAATTAACATGGTATGACATGTCAGCAACTTCAACGAAAATGAGAACCACTGAATGTTAATGGAATAAACAATATTTTATCAACTATGCCATGAAATATGATGTTACTTGGTCTAGTCTAAATTATATTTTAAATCCAAAAAAGGCGGCAGTATTATAATTTGTTAAAATACAACTAATTTTATACATATATATACATATATATATATGTATGCAAATTTGTATACACATACAGAGTGATTTTTTACATCACACAACACTTATTATTTCACGAAGTACATTTCCATAGAGTAATAATCATAACTACAACTAAGTAGGTATAACTCATAAGCTACTTTTCCAAAATTAGATTTTTATGTATTGAAGTAAAAATATTCTGCAATACTTTGTTTAATGGTAAATGTGTAATGAATAGAATAATGACAACTTACTTGCTACTTAATTATGCGAAGAAATTGAAATTGTCAACACGGAAGATAATTATTGTAATATTTATACCGATGCAAGCATAAAAACCAATAATATACAACTTGTTTATGTTAGTTCACAATGTGATAATAGTGGAACTGAAGTCTTTATCTCAGTAAATAATTCAAATTTTGTTTAGTAAATAATACACACAATTTATTTTTAGATTACTGACTGTTTTATTGGAGATACATAAAAAATTAAAAAAAAGAAAAATAATTAAATTACATGTAGAAAAATACAATACAATTACCACGAGATACCATTAAGTCATTTGAAAATAATAATAACAATCAAAATCTTCAAATAAAATTAAATAAACTGTTGATAGACTCGAATCAGAAAAAATTACTATAAAACATTGTTATAAAATAAATAATAATTGATAACAACGTATTATGATAATAGGCGACAGACCGAATGACGTAGATAAAATGCGCAGAACTCTGTTATTGTCATAGTATGTTAATTATCTCATGGTTGGGGTTCTTCGATGCCCCCCCCCACTTAGGTATTATCCGTTGAAATACTCGACCACGTCCTCTACCATTCATTAGTCATGTCATGCCAGTCGTTTTCTTGGTTCATGTCTATAACCGGGCTAGAAACACCCACAGACTACCAACTACCAGGTCGTGAAAATGATAATTGATAATTAACGATACTCGTATGTTACTCGTTACTTGTTAGCATAACCCATTTGAGCTTTAAAATTATTTTATTTCATAATAAAATTGATATAATTGAATTATTTTGATGATTAATGTCACTAATACTATTTAATCAATTTATTTTAAAATTAGTAAATTCAAATAGTCAATTATTTAATTTAAATACTGCAAATAAATTACCTAAACAAATGGCTAAACACATTTCTCAATCTGCTGTTGCTGAAGGTAAACAATACCGACCTAAAATCAAAGGAAAGTCAAAATTTGCACCGGGTATTGTGAAATTTCAAGTTCTTGGTAGTGGGGCAAATGGCGCTCCTAGATGTTTATATTTGTTCACAGATCATTCTAGGTATTTCTTGTACATTTCTGTGTGATTATTCATAGGTATTGTTTAATTTGTATTTTTGTTTGCTTTTAGGTATCTTTTTAACTGTGGAGAAGGAACACAAAGGTTGGCACATGAACATAAAATGAAACTTTCAAAATTAGAACATGTGTTCATCACACATTCAAATTGGTTGAATATTGGCGGTTTACCGGGATTAGCCTTAACGGTTCAGGATGTCGGTGTGCCCAGAATTGAACTGCATGGACCACAAGGAATAGTAAGTTTTTAAATTTTCATTAGTTATTAATGTTAGGTATTTGTATATTGTAGGTTTTAAGGTAATTTTTACCGACATTTTTTTTATCACGTTCCTACAAATTACAGTACCTTACAATATGTACCTACTACCTATAGTTGAATGTGTTAAAATTATTAAGTAGTATGTATATTATCAGATGATTTACAAGTTGTTTGGTCTACACTGTACAAATTTGGGTTACTTTCCATCTATCAATCAATTGTTCATTTATTTAACTTATAGATAACAATAATCAATATGTTGATTGTAAGTAGATATCAAATTAAACAACACTCCAGCGTGTTAAATTGACCATTCAACCATACACACGGCCACTAAACCAACTGCTCAAACCTGGTGCTATAGACTGTTCAAGTTTAGTGAAAAAGGTGTTAGAACACTTTTAGAACACAGTTAGGTAACTGAAAGGTTAAGTAATTATTCAGCAAGCAAAAGACTATTCGATTACCTATTAGATTCAAGATCTTATGGCCTAATTTTTAGCACTGAGAACAATAGAGTCAACTATTTATCAGTTTGATCATACAATCTCAGATAAAATTTTATTTGGAAAACAATTTTAATAAGTTTAAATGTTTAGTTTTGTAAATAATAAAATGTGGTTTACATTTGATTAATATTTTGCAGGAAGAATTATTTGTTGCAACAAAAAGATTTGTGGTTTTACGTGATCTTAAAATTACAGCTAGTAAAAGTGATCCTTTTAAACCGTTTGAAGACAATGCAATTCTTGTCCATTATGTGCCATTAATATCAAACAAACGTCATAATGAATTTCGGTCAAGCTCTGAAAAGTAATATATATTAATACCTAGACAAGTCATTTAAGTATAGTATAATTATTACTATTCAAATATAGCTCAATTAAAATTAACTACTCTCAAACTCAACAAAATCAAGACATTTTATTAGAAGATGACACAAATTATTATGATTATGAAAACATACGCTCATCTAAAAATGAAAAAAAGAAACGGAAAAGAAGCAATTCTGAACCTAGAATAATAGGTTATTTAAACATATAGTAACTTATTTGTTGCAATGTGAATTGTATTATCTAATTATTTTACTGATTATAGATGAAAAAAAATTTATTACTGATAATTCTATGAGCCGAATTAATAATGTTGCCATGTCATATGTTTGTCGTCTTAAACCAAAACCAGGAGTTTTAGATTTAGACGAATGTGTTAAACATAATGTCCCCCCAGGACCATTATTGGGTTTATTAAAATCTGGTAAAGATATAACTTTACCTGATGGAACATTAGTAAAGTCATGTGATGTAACATCTCCTGATGATCCAGGGCCAGTTTTTATTGGTAAGGTTAATAATCTATTCAATATGTTTATTTAAGTAAAGAGTGATATTTATTATATTATTTACTATACTTTTTGCTGAATAAGATTGGTCTTCAGAGACCTGGGTAAATTTTATCTCAGAGACCCCCCTTCTCTCTGAACGGGCCTGGCTGTTGTTGTCCATTAAAATATTAAAATAGGGCTCATTGTTAGCAAAAAATGCAAACTCTGTCATGCACAAATTCAAATATTTTTGTTAAATTTGGGCAAATTTATTTAGAAAATCTATCCTACTTTCTTGTTGTTCACAGCAAATTAATACCTTTTTTTGGGCTCTTTAAAATCATAAATTTCTAAAAAAAAGTCACCTAAAAAATTAAAATTAATTTAATTTATTGTCCTTTTTATTTAATTTTTTTGACCTAGGTATTCATCTAATATAATATCTATTAGCCGGTTTGTACGACTTTGTACATGTACATTGTTAGATTAAAAAAAAAAAAATGTGTTCACGTCTCTGTTTCCTATTTTTTCCTAATAATAATTAGATTTTCATTTAAAAAAAAACTAAAATTTCAGACCTCCGTGTGCAATAGATTTACAGACATTCAGATAGAAATTAATAGTTGATTTATAATATTCAATGAATTTGTATTTTATTTGATAAACTTATTAGCATTTTTTTTAGTGGTTGAGTGTCCTAATGAAGATTATATTGATTCATTATTAAATGAGTCAATTTTTTCAAAACATCAACAAGGAGTTATTAATAATAATGATATTGCTTTTATGGTTGTACACTTTACTCCTCAAGAAGTAATGAATAATCCAAGGTAAGGTTCTATTATATTACTATTATTTTAAAAATAAGTTAATAAAGTATAATATTTTTAGATATCAATCATGGATGAAATTATTTCCTCTTGAAACATATCATTTATTATTAAATGATGAAAACAAATGTCTTGGTAGTACTGCAATACATAGAATACAATACAAGTTAAATATGTTAGATGATACAATTTATCCATTATTGAAAGACAAAGGAATTCCTTGTAAGAAAATTTGATTATTTAAACTTAGTTTAAATATTAGAAAATTAAATTATAAATCCTCATTCAATTTTGTTGAAAAGAAATTATTAGTATTTTTTTGATAATTTTTGAGAAACATTTGAAGTACACAATTGGATTATTATTTGGAAGTAAAACACAGAAAATAGATAAAAAAAACTATTAAAATATCATCTTAAGGGTAGATAAAATTGCAATTTTTTTTGTAAAAAAACATTGGAGGTATTGAAAAATAAATAATAAAAGACTAGAAACACTGTACAATGTTTTACATTTGTCCAAAAAAACAGAAGGGAGGTAAAATTGGAAATAATAGAGGGTGTCATGTGTATTGAGTTCAGTTGTCATGAAAAAAATGTCGAGAACCACTAGGATTATAATAATTATACAATTTTTTTTTTATATAGTTACTGAAAGTGATCAGAATGTAAAAATCGCCGAGGCTAATTCAAATATTAATTCATTAATAATAAATGGACAAACTAATTTAACATTTAATTTAAGACCAAAAAAAGATATAGATAGGTAAGTGCCATTGATATAACCAAGTGTTATTATTATTTTTTTTATGTGAAACTTTTTTATATTTATACATTAGTAATACATATTTAAGGCCTACTTTAATTAGCATCTTAAATGTAAATTAAAGTTCATTATTCTGTGTAGGTTCCTTTATGTTTTTCCTTTTATCTTTGTTTAGGGAATTCTTCAGGCTTACAAATCTATCAACAGCCTTGATATCCTGTTTCACTCTATTTAATCATTGTAGTTCTGTAATACCATGTGACCATTTTGGGGATATATTTTTTATCCCAATTGTCATATGTTTCTAAAATATTATTGTGAGTTAACTTACTTAATTTTCAGAACAAGTACATTAACATTAGATGTTAATGAATTCATCGCAGAAACATTCAGAGTTGAAGGTTTTGAAGAAAAATTGGCTCAAGTGAAAAAAGATATTTTAAATGCTATTTCCACAGATTCTAATATTTATCCTAAAATTATATTTCTTGGCACAGGTTCATGTATACCCAGTAAAACAAGAAATACTAGTGGTATACTAATGTATACTGGGTAAGCAATTTGTTTAAAATTGTTGTATATAAAAATTCAAAATGTAATTTTGTTTAGTGAGAACGAATGTGTATTATTAGATTCTGGAGAAGGAACATATGGACAATTAGTAAGACATTTTGGTATAACTGGTACCGAAAAAGTTTTGTGCGATTTAAAAGCCATTTATGTATCTCATTTACATGCAGATCATCACATTGGTTTAATTGGTGTACTAAGTGTTCGTCAAAAACTACGAACAAAGGGATTGATTAAACTTGATAAACCAATCTATTTGCTAGCACCTATACAAATAATGACTTGGTTAAATTTTTATGATAGAAGGTTCACAGAATTAAATAAAGAATTTCAAGTTGTGTCTAATTTAGATTTGGTAACTTTTAAATGTTGATGTTATTAATTATTTTAATGTAACATTTATTTTAAAAATAATTTAATATTTTTCAGGATTTTGAATCTTCAACAAAGATAAGAGTAAAAGATTTATTAAAACAAACAAATATGTTAGATATAGAAACTACATTGGTTACACATTGTCCTAATGCATTCGGTGTATCATTTACACATGTAAATGGTTGGAAAGTAACATATTCTGGTGATACAATGCCTTGTGATTCATTAGTCAAATTAGGTTTGTTATTTCATTTATAATATATTTTTATGAATAAATAGTAAAATTAATTTGTTTTTAAATATAGGAAAGAATAGCAATCTTTTAATACATGAGGCAACAATGGAAGATCAATTAGTATCTGAAGCTAGGCGAAAAATGCATTCAACTATGTCTCAAGCAATAAACACTGGCAAAAAAATGAATGCTAAATTTACTATACTAACTCATTTTAGTCAACGTTACGCAAAAATACCATATATGCCAAATAATGATCTTCCTAGTAATGTTGGAATAGCATTTGATAATATGGAGGTATAATATAATTTATATTATAAACAATTTAATAATAATAACTAATAAGTGTTTGGAGCAAAGTAAATAACAGAATATATGAGTAATAATTATTCTTGTTCTTGATATGGTGTTCCTAAAGTAATAGTTCTCTGATGACGGTAAAACTTTAAGATAAAATTTACCGACAGATACGGAATTAACAAATCAACTTTTAAGTTGGTAATAATTTGTATGATAATGTAGTAAAAATAATTTCATTGAAAATTATCAGTTTTATAAAAAAATTCTGTAAAATGTACAGTCCTAAAATGGTAAACCAGAAAAAAAAAATACAAAACAAATCATTGTATAACTAAAAAGCTCATAGTTTAATAAGAATTTAAACTGTTATAATTCTAAAAAAAAAAATGTATTAAAATGTGTTTTAGGTCCTAGTTATATTAATTTTATATGTAATAATTCAAATAAATTAAATAGCGTCATTTGTTGACAGGATATTTTTAAAATTCTGAAAGTGCTAATATTTTGATAGCTATTTTTGATATTAGCTTGTATGAATTATTTACATTTAAATTAATAATAATAAATCAATGCGTCACCTAGATTATTATCATAAGTGTATTATACGACCAGTTTTAAATTCATGATAATGTATATCACAGTCAAAATGTAAAACACGACAATATAAAAAATTAAATAAAGAAATATATAGAAAAAAAAAATTACAAATTGGTCATTTTACATAGAATAATAATTATTTTTAGACATAGAAATGTTAAGAAATATAAATTATTTGGTTATTTATCATCTAAAATCTGTTGATAATAAGATATTATTTTTAAAATCGGTTTGAACATTTAAAATATTATTAAAATTATTTTTCTTTATTTCATTGTGTAATTGTATTAATATCAAAACTTATATTATGGTTATTTTCTAAAACATGTTTATCAAAATTTGAATTAGGGGCAGTCTTTTTTTCATTTTATTTCAGAAATGTGTTCTTTATATCTTATTTTAAAATTTCTATTTGTCTTATATAAACATTTTTACTTTACATTTAAGTTTATATATACCAGCATTTTAAAACTAAGGTGATTTTTTTGTGAAGTTTTTAGTTTTATTGTTTATATATATGATTAAATTATTAGTTTTAAAAGGGATTTTTACATTAATTGTATTATTGTTCTGAATTTTAGTGAATTTGTTAGACTTATTATTTTGATATTTTATACTACAGTAGTTAACAAATTTTTTTGGTGATTTAAATTTAATTTGAAATTTCTCTGGGTTATATTATAAATATAATGAGCTCGTGTTGATAATTATGTTTATTTAATGGAATACATCCAAGCCAAGAGAATATTGAAATAAAAAATGATATTTTTTAAAAATAAAGATGATTAGAATCATGTGGTATAGTGTATGTTTGTGTAGGTTTCCTGTAAATAGTAAAATCAAATTTATTTTTTTTTTTTATGGAAACTGTAAGATCTAAACGCTAAAATTCTGATCAATTTGTGTATATTTTTTCTATGCATTCCTTCATTTAATTTTTTATATTCTGTTGCGTTTTACATTTTGTCTGGGATATACCTGATGATGAATTTTTAATTCGAAACACACTTATCATAATACTCAAGGTGATGTATTGATTCATTTATTTATTTATTTTTTTATACATACATTTTTTATTTTATTATTTAATAATAATAGTCATAATGTAACAGATGGTACTATATATTATCTCCTTGTTAAATATTTTTACAATATGTATAAACATGTAGAAATAAACAACTTATTATTGTTCCAATTGTATATTTTGTTACATACAAATGGTTTGTATATTATATTTAAGTATCCTAAGTATAAATGGTTTTACAGATCGCTCCAAATGTTTTACATAAATTGCCATTGATGTATTCTGCCTTGAAAATGATATTTGCAGAACATTTTGAAGAAATGGAAGCAAAATGTTTTAAACTGAAATTAAAAGAAGAAAAGGCCCGAGCGCTAATATAAATATTTGAATGTATTGTTTTTGGGATGATTTAAATATAACTATATTTTTAATTCTGTAGTTAATTTACATACATTTTAAAGTATTTTGTTGTTTTGTTATCAGTTATTCTTACCAATAAATAAAAAAATGTTTAAACATTTTGATTTTCGTTAAAATAAATTTGTTATTTAATAAAAATTATTTTTCTAAATGTAAAATATAAATATTAATTGAACTATTGATAGTAAAAAAAAAGATATAAGATATATTTGTTTAACTGTTAGGATTTTTAAGACTGATACCTCAATATTTTCTAGTATTAAAATTAGTAAATTATATTGATTTTGATTGAATTACATTTTTTTTTTTTTTGTAACTCAAATTATTATTTATTTAACAATTTTTACAATTTAATTTAAAAAACTTACATAATATGAGGTGGCAATGATATATCAAATTTAACTTCTAATAATGAATCAATGATATTGGTATTTATTGTTATCTCTAACGTACAATCAATAGTTATCATATTATTTTTTTACATAATAAATTGTTTATTATTAATTTGTAGTTGATTTTTAAAATACAGGGTATCCTACTAAATCTTTCTGCACATCCCGCAAAATATCCTATGCACACTTATAATCTAATACTTTATTTTAAACAAATTTAATTTTAAGATTTTGAAAGATACCATTTATAATATGCTACAAGTATATTTTATTAGGATAAAGACATTTTTGTTGATGTAATGCCTAATTTTATATAATCTGTATATTATACAGGTGCCCTGCAGTGCTTTTCTTATGCTAATAACTCTCATCAATATTTATTTTCCCCCCACACAAAACCCAATTGAAAAAAAATAATGAATATTGACATAATTATTAGCATAAAGGTAATTTAGGATTCTATAAGATTCATATATAATCATTGGTTTAAGTAATATTAAGTAAACCTTTATATGATTAATTGTAACTCTATGTGTAGGGTACTATATACAATACACATCTTAAAATTTAAGTAAGAGTAACACTGAATGCTAATATACAAAATATTTGTTTTCTGCAGCGGACGTCAACATATTATCAATAAATTGTCTTTATTTTCTTAGTTCTCCCAATAATACCCGACTAAACAAGTCATTTGTTTTTACAAGTCATCTATAAACCTCTAACATTATTCAATTTGTCAGTTTGAAATTCTGGCTATTTTTATAATATTGGTACTAGGAACCCTTTTTGACCAAGAAAAGAGTTCCGCTCAGTGAGGAGGATTGTCCAATTTAACCCATGCTACAGCTAACATGTTAATATATAACCTCTAATACATAATTGCATTCAACTATATAATTAATAATCATAAGTTAAAATTTTGTCAGGATAACTGTTCGGCTGCATATTAAATTAAATCTTCTATAATTTAAAAAACGTGCAAGACCGAAAAAAAGATGGTTAAACAAGATTGAAAGTTTAGTAAAATTAATAACATTATTAAATTGGGCCCCATGAAAATACCTCAATTCTTTATTCTACCGCTAATTATCCGTTGACTATTAGCATTTGGCATGTATGAGTTATTGAGTCCATATTTTTTTTTTTTGTTAACTGAACTATCTGTAGATCGCTTATAATAACACAGTTACCAAAATATATATTGGTATCTAAGTATTGTCAATGACATTATTTATTTAAATTGATCAATGCTTTTGTATATGATAATTAAAATAAATGTGGGGTATAATCTGAAGTTCATTTTTTTTAAATCTATTTTATGATATATAATGTAATTTATATCAGTCATTTGAATAAAACATAAAAATGGAAAAGTTTTGGTGCAAAATAATATGTATAATTTCTAGTTATATAATGTTAAAAAAATACCCAGAATAAAAAGTAGAAAATATGTAATTATAATGATTAATTTAAAAACAGCCAGTGGATGAGCAGTGCGATGAGTACGACCGCACCAGGCCTCTAACCATTACTTATATAACTATACATTAAAATGTACACAAATGAGTGCTGGATGTCCATATACTTCTCTCAAAGTTAAATATTGAGGACCCTGTGATAAAAAAAAAAGATTGCATCAGGCCCTACAAATTATTCCACCGGCACTGTTAAAAAATGTACTCTTAATGTCAAACTCTAACATACAATACATATTTAACAATAAAAAAATAAATGTATTAAGTGTATTTTAAAAGTAAATAGTGAAAAATACAATTTACATCATGAAAAAATGTATAGTTGTCAGCAACTTTTTGATATGCATACACCTTGCTTCATCAATTATATAGTTCTCCACTTCTGAATGGAGAATTACAAGACCAGTTAATGTGACAACTTTAAAAAAATAACACTTAAATTATGTTCAAAAAAAATTTCAACAATAGTTTAGTATATTATTTTTAATTTGACGTACTATTATATATATTAATATGTTCACATATATCGTTTTCTCAAATTAATTGATAATTTTTTTGAAAGTGCTTCAAATTATACTTTCTCTTTTGCTCATTAGTTTCAGAAAATATTTATGTAAGGTTAGATTGTGATCTTTTTATTTTTCCAATGTGGTGTTTGTTGTACTTTTAAAGTTGGTCATCATTGTCAATGAAACTTGAATTCTTTGATTTGTCTTATAACGTTTTAAAAAAACATAATCACGGACTGTTTTTTTTCAGTATTTTCATCCTATAAGATTTAAACAAACTCCATATACAATGTACATAATATGAATCCCTAAAAAAAATTTTCTTTTGACTTTTTGGACTTATAAAAAATATATATTATTAAAATAAAATACTTTTACATTATTATTAAATACTAGGTATATCAACAAAACACACTACATAGAGGCTAGATAAAATGCACTCAATATAGGAAATTCTAGTTGTATTATTCACATAATGTGATATTTTTTTAAAAATATAATTTTAGTGTCATTTATAAAGTTGGTCTTAAGAATCATTTAATTGAATTATACTAACCAAGCGAAAAATAGATTTTTGCTGACAGCTATTTATTTTGTTATGATAAATATAATAATAATAAATACTCTAGTTAAAGGAGTAAAACATTTCTAGTGGTTTGTTAACTTTCCAATATTTGTCGTGAACCTGTCGTAAAGTTTGATTTCCATTTAGTGGAACATATTGACCAGATATTGGTGCAACGTAAATCAAGAACTTTACAGCACGTTCTGGATGTTCTGGTCCAAGATCCAATGAGAGACGCATTAGTAAATATGTGCTCAAATGTTCGACTAAAAAAATAAATAAAAAACGGTTAAATCTATGATATTATGATTATGATACATGCATTTTGGAAACTTTTTTGGCGATATTTATTACTGCAATTAAAAAAAGTGTATTCAATTATCAAATAACTGAATGCATTTTTAACAATCAAGTTGACAGAATCAACAAACAATTACAAACTACATCCATTGTTTTCTGTTACTAGTTATTTCTTAGTAGGTAAAATACTATTCAGTTCAGAAAAAAAAAAACTTTTTAGTGATATTACAAATAATAGCTAACTGTTAATTGAAAAACTCCAATGCCAAAACAAGCCTCTTATTATTTTATTAAAACACTATATATGTTATTAGCATTTTATTTACCAGTAGCATTTGCTGTAGTTTTAATATATCTAACAGCATTTTCTTTCAATACTTTAATTAATTGATTATCACTTCCCATTTCAGTCGGATGAGGTTTAAATACCAATTCAATCTCATCTAAAGTTACTCCTCTTGATGCGCCATCACACTCTGTAATATCTGATTTATCAGCTGATGAAGATGCTGGGCCATCATTTTCAGAAATCATCACAGTTTTAAGTTTTTTAGCTACTTTTGCTTGAACCACTGTTCTAGTGACATTATCTTTAACCGGTCCTATGTTATTAGGTGTTTTTGGAGTTGACGAAGAACTGCTTTCATTTTGTTCATCTTGTTGGTTCTTTTTGGTACGTTGCAAACGATTTTGTGTTTGGATTTTGATGCCTTCATTGATGGACTGTACCAGATTTGCTTGACTATGACTTTTATTCAATTTTTCTAATACTCTGGTTTGGTGGGCTTCATATTCATCACGGCTAGGATAAATTTTGGATATTAGTAGATCAAAATTCGGGTCAGGACGCAGTGAACGTTTAGATACTAATTTTTTTCGACATGTTGGGCATTCTTTGTTACCAGAACGAAGTGCAGTAACAATGCAGTCTGAACAAAATCTTTTACACAGAGATAGTAATCAATTAATTAATAATCAAAAATTATAATATTCTTAAAAATACTAACCTATGGAGACATTCTTTAGTAGTCATTGTTTTTTTGAGCATATCTAAACAAATAGGGCACATCAATTCACTGTGCAAGCTTCTTGGGGACACGGCAATTTCTGTGTTGTCCGTAATAGCCTCTTGTGGCGTTCTGTGAAGTTCGTATAATGAGAGTTCCCAAGTTTTGCTCAGACCTATTGGATCTGCTGATGCCATGATAAACACCTTAGTTTCAATAAAACGACGAATTAAAAAACACAGAATACGAAACGGAAGAAAATGATGTAAATACCGAATAAAACAACTTGTCAGAAATTTTGATTATTTTTCAAGCAAAAAGTAGATAAAAATATAATATTTAATAATAGTAATATCAAAGTATCAACAGCATCCTAGTGTGACCAACACCAGAGTCCAGCATTACCGATGGTGAAACTGCACGGGAACTGAAGATGTGGAAAAAACAAATCTCTCAGCTCTCAGTGCTCTCACCGAGTCTCAACTCGCAGTTTAACACAGGGTCTCACGTTCTTTAACTGAGTAGTAATATTGAATGATAAATGATAAATTTCATTGCATGTGTCATAAGTATAGGTATATGAAAGAGACAGTCAGATTCTCAGACTCGTCTTGTTTGTGTGTAAATGTATAATATATATACCGAAATGAATTATACGTGGGATGTAATGATTGTAGTGCCTTCGTTTTTATTTTTTTATTGTTATTATTTTTACAATACTAATAGCCGAATTTAATTTAAATTGTGTAAATTAAAACTACTAACAATGGTTTTAGTTATTAATAAAATAGAATAATTTTACCAAAATCGATTGAATAAACTTTTTTATATCTGTTAATAAGACCTAAATATATTCATGTAACGTTTGTGTATACTAACTATGAGTGCTCACCATCCAGAATTTGGGAAATGACCATGAGCGAAAATTATGAGTTTGATCCAAAGAAAAATACAACTGGTAATCGTTTCGATTTTGATTATAACCGAGGCGATAAATTCATTTCCAGGTAAGTTGAAGTTTATTGCACTTATTATTTTCTGTCTTATTCTTAATTGCTATTTTATTATTTTTCTAGACAGTAACAGAGCAATTGAAAAGTGTAATATTACACATTCTGATTGTCTGAAATGTGATACTGATGGACTATGCAAGAAATGTAGAAAAGTATTAATTGTGACCACAGGTCAATGTGCTGAAACTTGTCCATCGGGTTATGAATACACATGGTCTACTAATGATCATCAAATGGGCCGTGTATGCTCAATAACTGGTTTGTATATTTATATAATAAATGTTAAATGTATATGTTTATGAATATTTATTGGTATTTGATTTTTAGATAAAACTATATTTGGAAGTATACAATTATCTGGTCAAGTAGCTGCAATTACTGTTGGTGTCATAATAGGATTTCTTATTGTCACTACTATTTTATTGGTTGTAGGAATGGTGGTCAAATTTAAAAAATGTTCAAATATTAGATCAAAATCACGTTTGTCACCTAGTTTAGGTCCTTTAACTAGTGGTTCTCACCAAAGTCAAGGTAGTATTTTATTTTTATATTCTGTAATGTTAATATAGTGTATTTACTGTTTGCCTTATTATTATAATTTTTCAGAAAGTGATGATTGTGATAGATTAGAGTTTTTCAAACATTTAGAAAAACTTAGACCTGAAGCACCAGTTTTCCTATCAATGTTAAATGAAACAAGAAAACAAGTACGTGAACTTCGAGGTCCTAGCCGACAACATTCTGCAATTCAAGCATATCGGTATACATATAAATATTTAAAATTACAGTCGTATAAAATAATTAATTTTTTTAAAATTAAATTTCTTTTAGACCGGTTTTAAAAGATTTATCTCGAATTTTAATATTATTGAACAAGGAAGATTGTTTTTTAAATCCTCCTTCTGATTGGGACATTTTATTAGCTTGGGGTGATAGAGTTCTACGAAGATACAAAAAACAACACCCTATTATGGTATAAATTGATTTTGTTATTAAAATTATATGTTTTTCTGTTTTATTTAAATAACAATTATTTTTAGATTTCTCAAACAAATACAAATGAACATTTTAGTGACAAACCAATTCAGTTGACTACATTTACAAATAGTAAAAAACATAGACCACTATCTGCATCATCATCATCACCATCTCGCATTAAACAACTTGCAATCTCAGTGTTTGATGATAATTATAATGACCATAACAGGTAAAACAGTTACATTATATAGCTACATATATTTAGTTAGTTATTAATTTTTTTAATGCTAAATTCCATAGGCATCCAGATGAGAATGATGAGGTGATTATGTTACGAGAAAAGACTGTATCAAGTTTTGGTCGTTCCACTAGTCCTGCTTCTCTTTCATTATTAGAAGCAAATGCATCTAAAAGTTTGTTAGTTGCCGAGTGGAATGCTGAAATGCCACCTTATAATTGTTATTCAACTACAACGGATGATGATGATTTTTTCACTCTTGGCTTTAGACCTCAAGATGAAATAACAACAGAACTTTAGTATTTAATGGTTTGTTAATCCCTTTTATTTACCTAATTTGATAAAAGTATTGTTTGTTGAATTTTTTGGTTAAGGGAACAATTACCAAAACCTACTAAATTATGTATAATTGTGTTTTAATTTTTGTAATTTTATAAAAAAAAATTGTTTTTATTGTACCAAAAAGAATATCAAACTTAATAATGTATATTTTTTACATCAATAAAATTATTTTTTTTAATTGTTGCTATTTCATTTATTTTATTTTATAATTATATGGGTTTATATTTAAGTGTTAAAGTTTCTTCTAAGTATTTCCTTTAAAATGATATTGCAAGTTTTTTTTATTTTAAACCAATATTTTTAAATTAATTACCATGGTCATTTAATATTAATATTATACTAAGATTGAAGTGAAAGTTATCATTTGCGCTAAAAATTATATAAGATTGTTTAAATTAGCATCTGGTGTTTGACATTACTTAATACATTGTGTTGAATGAAATTAGTTATTACATTATGTTAGTATAAATGATTTATATACAATGTGAATTAAAGTTTATACTACAGTAATTTTATCATATAAATATTCAAGAAAAAGGAAAATGTATTATATGACAGGTTTTTCGAATTTATGAACATCTAAAAAGATTTAAACATTTTTTTTTTTAGTCTGTAGCCTAGGGGTTAACTTTTAAAATTTAAATGGGAACCTATACTTTTTTTGCAAACATTGCAAAGATATTTTTGTAATATCTGCATTTTAGTGATTGAACTGCATTTGTTTATTTAATATTATATGATTGAGAGCAAAGTTAATATTAATACAGCTGTAATTAATTCATAGAAGCAACAGAGTGCATTGTGTACAGTCTAAATGAAATGTTTAAAAATTATAAATCGCAAGCAATTAAACAGTTTTGAACAAATTAGTATTACTCAAATTGTTATTTTAAATATATATTATGATTATACAAATAGTATAGGTTCTCATTTGAATTTTAAAAATTAACCTCCAAAATCTGACCTAAAAGACTGTAAACAAAAAGGATAATTCAATGAACTTTTGTTTTATACATTTTGATTCAATGTGTATATATAATAAATAATAAAAACAAATACTCAATTATACCTTAAAAGTAACAATATAAACAATAAATAAAATGTCATTCTAAACACTATGCTAAACACATTGAAATTAAAAAAAAAAAAACCAGTTAGTATATTACACAAATATAAATTAATTATAATAATTAGCAGTATTTGGAAAATTTCTTTTAGAAAGTAATGTAATTCCCAAAAATAAGTTGAAATAAAAAATTTATTCACATTTAAATTTAATCAATTTTGGAATTAAAATAGTTTTATATTTCCCTTTTTAAACCTACCTATTTTAATTAGTTTCTGAATATAAAGAAATAGTTACAATAGGTTAACAAAATGATTCATGGATACTTCCCCGTCAGAAATTTCCTCTTCCATATTATATTTATATTATCTTGAAAGAATAATATAATGCTTTTAAAAAAATATTAAAAAATTGAATCTGTACCTAGTTCACGGTAATATAATATGTATATTAAAATTAATAAATAATAAAAACAATCCAATTAAGTACTCTAGATCATGTTTGTCATAATATGTAGACACAACATTTTCTATTCGTCAACATCTCAATATTTCCTTGTCTATTATACTAAATTGAATCTGCTTCAATGTTTTATAACAGCATTTATTATTATATATTTTTCATTATTACTTAAGACAAATTTTGGTTTCAATATTTTTGATCCATAAACGAGGTATTTCACTTTTAAGTTTAGGTATTTTCCTACTAGATGTTGGATATAGTCTTAACAACACCAATATTAAAAAGATTAAATACATAGGTCGATGATATTATCGGAAGTTATTAATGAAGCTTTCAAAAAGGCAAGGCAACCACATATTTGTGTTAAGACAAGTTATGGAAAAGTATTATGAGTTTGAGGTAGACCTGCAATTAGTATTTATAGATTAAAAACAGGCATATGACAGTATTGACAGGAGTAAATTATAGAAGGGATAGAAAACACTTGGAGTACTGAGGAATTATAGGAATCTAATAAAAATCTGCAGCGAGAAGACAATTTGCAAAATACAGTTCTTGCAGATTGACCCAGAGCCATTTGAGGTAAATACTGGTTTGTGTCAGAGACACATTGTCTTCTACATTATTCAATTTAGCCCTTGAAAAAATAGTAAGAGATGTGAATGAGCAAAGACAAATGAAGATAAGTGGAGAATACATGATATTGGATTACGTCAATGATATTGTAGTGAAGAGAGAAACTAGGGAGGATGTTGCTTAGACAACCGAGGAACTACTTAAAGCAAGCTTGGTAATGGGCTTATATGTAAATGAAAGTAAAACTGAGTACATGGGGATATGAAGGACTAATTTAAACATAAATTACCTATTTGTAGACTATTTAAAATTCAATGCAGTGGATAACTTTAAGGTTTTGGGGGTTAAAGTCAAAAATAGGAATGATATGCACCAAGAGATAAATAAAAGAATCATGAGTAAGAATAGGTGTTACTATAATATAATTAAACTTCTAAAATCTAAATTACTACCATGGACATCAAAGATACGCATATACCAAAGCTATTTGCGACCGACAGTGACATAAGCGAGTGAGACATGGTCATTAAAAAAAGGTGATGAGAGAAAGATAAAAATATTTAAAAAAAAAATACTCCGGAACATATTTGGACCACGCATTAACCAAGAAACAAATACGTTTGACAGAAGAAAAAACGAAGGGCTACAGAAATTATACAACAGACCCAACATTTTAGCGTTTATCAGGAATAAACGACTAGAGTGATTTGGACACACTAGGAGAGTGGATGGCCAACTAATAAAAAAAGTACTCGTGGAAAAAATTAACAAAAAAAGGAAGACCCAGGACCCGGTGTAACGATATAGCTGCTAAAGATTTGAAAACTAGGTATTGAACAGAATATGACATATGAGTTGACTTACAATAGAGAGAGGTGGGGCCCCGCTACATAAATGATACTCCACTACTTTCCCCCTACCTAAACTAAAGAGTGGAAAATTCCAAAATTCATAATTTGAATAAATGCAAAATTTAACCAAAAAAAGACAGACATACTTCGCACATGGGTGCAGCCACTGTTGTAGGTGGGAATTTGGGAAGGTAGGATACATAAGGTTATTTCATTTATATTTTTAAGCAACGATAAACCATTGCTGACGAAAGAAAATTCCTATCGCAGTTCGATAATACATAATTTGAAGTGCAGTAATTTTTTTTGCAATTTTCGTTTAAATTTTTATTTCAAAACACATCTTAAAATAAAAAGAACCTAATGATTTTGGAAATTTTACTAAGTCTAGGAAAGTATAATGTAAGTTTTATTACCAAGTTTTAAGTTTCTATGTTTATTTATAACCGAGTTACAGCAAGAAGACTCCTAAAAATTAAAATTCCTTAAAAGCTCAAAGGTGGCTCAAAAGTTTTGGCGATGATACTGTAGAAGAGTAAACAAAAAAGGTATCTTGTGATTTTTCGATTAAATCATTTTTTCTGGTAGAAAACATTGTTCGTGTTTTTATAAAATAATGAACTCGTGAAATTTTACGTTTTCCTTTGTTTTAAAAAATTTCGTTAAAAATTAAAATATAGCCTCTTTAAAGTACCACCTAGACAACTTGAGCTTTTAGAAAAGTTGCTACATGTAAAAATAATTTATTAGGAAAAAAAGTGTCCACAGACTAAAACAAAGTTAAAAAAAAAAATAAACACATATTATATTTACGTGATCTATAGATTAAATTGTTTTATATTTTAGATTTTTTAAATAAAAGCACTTAAGTTTGAAAAAACATAGACTCTTTTTATTTTAATAAGCATTTTGAAATATGGGGAGGATATGTAACATCCATAACAAAAAATAGGTCGAGATTCTTTGGGCATGTCATGAGAGGGTGACTAAAAAGAGGTGGTTAGATGTGATCAAGAATGATATAGCCACATTTAAAGAGAAACAGAGATGGAAGATAGGGTCAAGTGCAAATATAAAGATGAAGGTGGCTGACTTTAAATAGGTGGGATGAAAGTATATAAGATTAAACTAATTATTTACTATTATATATTATATTTATTAACCAAGCTACGTACTTATTTAAAACAAAAAAAGTATTTTGTTATATAAACAGACATATTTTAGTTTATATAACATTATAATAAAACAATAAATTTATTTCTAACAAATTATTTTTCCTTGTTTTTAAGGAATACATTTTTAAGTAGTTTAACAAGATAGTCTAAATTAATTAATTGAGTTATACATTTGATATATCATAATTGTAAAGTTATTATGTAAAACAGGTAACTTTAAAACTATTTTGGATGAATAGAATTTAATTTTTATATCTTTTGGTATTGTTTGAATTTTGTTAGCTCTGAGGACAGTTTCTTCTAGTATGACCTTGAAAAACAAATCAAAATATATAAATCTCAAATATATTTAATTTTTATGAAAAAGACAACTATCGAACTTTTATTTACCTGCTTGCTTACAAAGTCCACATTTTCTTTGTCCATGTCCACTATCTGTAAACATAAATAACTTATATATATTGTCCAAGATAATAAATTATAATAAATACTAACTATTTTGAGTTTTAGCTCTATATGAATTATTCATATGTCTATTATTATTTTGATTATTAGTTCTATTGTTTAATTGAGTATGGGTAGAACCAGAAAATTGGCCATCTGCCCATAAGAAAAAATTGCATCTATCAGGTGTTGAAATTGGCTTGGAGCATCCATAAAACTGACGACCCTTATTTGGTGTTTCTCTGGTGACTGTTAATCTAAGATATATAATATTTATTTCAAATTACAACCCAAAAAAAAAAAAAAAAATTAAAAAAAAAAAACATTAATAAAAAAATAAATCAGTAAAATAAAGAAATAGTATTTAAAATTAATGTTCCATACCGAATATATTTATTATATGTTTTTAGTCTATAATAAGCTATTATAAATGGTATCAAATTCTGGTAAACAGTATGAGGAGTTCTAAACAAAAATTTGACTTTCAAATGTGACTTTCAGTGGCTTTCATGAGTATGTGAAACATAGGATTACTAGTGGTTGGATCAAGTGGAAAAAAGTATCAGGTATTTTGTGTTTCATGTAACATGGGTTGTAAGGTTGTAAGGTTCAGAGTATTGAGAAGTAGATAAAAAAATAGAACAAAGAATGAGTGGAATAAAGATGACAATGTTTAAGTGCTTAGGAGAAAGAGAGGAGCGATGACAGAAGATAGAATAAGAGATGATAAAATAAGAGGTAGTTTAGGTGTGGCTTCGATATTAAACAAAATGAGAAAAAATAGGTCAAGATGGTTTGAGCATGTTATGGGGAGATAAGAAGCAGTAAACATTGTAATAATAATAAATGCAGTAGGAAATAGGTAGAGAGGAAGATTGAAAAAGAGATGGTTGGATGTAATTGAGAATGATATAAGGATAGCCGGTAAATGCGAGGTGGAATATCTAGTGAATTGGAAGTTTAGAACAAGAGTGACCTCAAATAATTGAGATGAAGGTTAGAAGGAAAAGAAGAAAAAGAAGAATGTTTAATGAAAGTATAGTTGTAACGAAAATCTCAATATTATGAATAAAACTGTTGTTTCATTGAAAAATTTCATGATGTAACAAAAAATTAAATGTATTTTGGTCCCCTCGATGTAACAAAGTTTTTTGGCCAAAATTCAAGGAATGTAACAAATTTTTACAATTTTGGGGCTCAATATAACAAATTTTCAATTTTTATTAAAATTAGATACATGTTTGTTAGTGTATAATGATAACAAAAAATACATAGCTAATAAAAATAAATAGCTTGGTAATATAGAGTTTTTTGACAGTACATTATAGTTATTAAAATAGGAGATAAGATGTCGATAAATGTATAACAGCTCTACGAAAAATTATAGAAATATGCTTTAAATTACTGTTCACAATTTCACATAAGTATATAATAGTGAGTTATTATGTATGAGTGTCCCATGAGGATTCAACAAATGCAATAAATTTTGTTCTATTCAATACTTTTTATATATTTTTTTTTTTTAAATAACTAGTATGCCTCTGAACTAGTATATATCTGAACATTATTTTTTTATGAGGAGGGGACTTAAAATAAAATCTTTTAAATTTTACTAACATTTTTTTAAAAAAATTTAAAGTAGTTATTTTGTCAAATAGATTTTTGGTAGTTGAAACTTTTGTTTAAGTGTGATCTTTTATTTTCTAAGATTTATTGAAAATTTTCTTTTCAATCATACCAATATTGTTTATCAACATAATTTACCATTATTGATTGATTGATACTAATACCTATAATATGATAATATTATTACATGATATTAACTCATGGACAAGAAAATCCTTGTCTGTGCCCTGACTAATAACTGATTAAATATTGTAATATTCACATTTGCAAAAACTTCAAATAATTGTAGAAAATAAAAAACCATACTTTAACAAAGTTTCAACCACCAAACATTGTCTAAAAATCTATTTTACAAAATTAGCTTTGAATTTTTTATTTATAAGTTCCCCTCCACCTAAAAGAAAATGTTCATATATAAACTGTAGTGTTAGGCATACTAATTATTTAAAAAAAAATATATATCAAAAATATTGAATAGAACAAAAGTTATTGTATTTGTCGAATCCTCATAGGACACTCTGTATAATCATTACTAATGACTCTCGTATTGTATACATAATTTTTTGATATAAAAAATATTGATGCAACAAACTTTTGAAATACCAAACTTTTTTTTCAGTCTCTTGAAATTTGTTATATCACAAGTTGACTGTACTATAAAAAACAGCCATAAAAATGTAAGGCATTACTCAACTAGAATGTGACGAGTTTGACTATGTTATATGGTCCTGAGTGTTGGGTGATAGACAGAAAAATAAAGTAGAGAATAAGTTTAGTAGACATGATAATGTTTAGGTGGATGAGTGGAGTTACGAGAGAAAATTGGATTAGGAATGAGTACATAATAAGTAGTATAGGAGTTGCTTTAATAAAAAGACAAAATGAGAAAAAATAAACTAAGATGGTTAGGGCATGTTATGAGGAGAGAGGAATCAGAAGTAGAAAGAATGGTAATGGAAATAAATGTAAGAAAAGATAGAGGAATACTGAAAAATAGTTGATCGATATGAGGATGATGGGGTGGATTGGGTCAAGTAAAAGTTTAGGATGAGGGTGGTCTACCCCAAATGGTTGGGATGAAGATAAAGGAGAAGAATGTAAGTGTTATAAAATACTTACAACTTAGCACCATCACCACACTGGCAGCAAACTTGATCTATAAAGTCAAATAATAATAAATTTTAAATTATAATTAATGTATATTTTAAAATAAAACATGGCATTTTAATCATTATTTGATTTTAAATGTTTAAACTCAGTTATAGTCGATTATGTTTTTTGTAATATAAATTTTTACCTAATTGATAATATTGAATAAAATAAATTAAAAATGTACTTGTGTAATGTACTTTTCATAAATAAATAATAACAAATTCTCTCATAGTCAAACAACTCTAAGAATTTAAAAATATCTCGTTACATAAATAAATTGATTAATACACTTATATACTATTTAGTAGGTAAAACACAATTTTAAAATTAAAGGCATATTTTTAAAATTTAAAATATTGATGCTATTGTTACTTTATATATTGAAAAATATGGGTGAAAATGGACATTTTATTTAGTATTAATTATTTTTTTACTGATAATTTTAAATACCATTATTAAGAGGTTGTGTATTAGTATTTGTTTGAAAATGATTGGCTACACGAAGATTAATATTTGTATGTGCATTACCTAGAAATATGAATAAAACAAAATATTAATAATTTATTTAATTACTGAAAATACGAATAGATTATAAAATAAAATAAATAGAATAAAATTGTTTAAATAATATTACCCCTGTTTTGATTTGTTGTTATTATATTTTTATTATTAGATTGAGTATTTGATGGAGATGTACGAGATGTGGATATGTCTACTTGAAGTATTTCACACAATAAAGAATCACATCCATTTATGCAACCATCATAAGTATCTGGATAATGTGGCTGCATACTTCTAGGACTGAATTGAAATTGAATTAATTGTATACCTCCAGGACACTAAAATATTTTATATCATTATTATTAATAATATTGAAATTAAAAACTAAACATACATACTAAGAAATATTATCTTTAATTAAATACCTGGGAGCAAACGTTATCAGTGACTTTTGCATCAATTACACTAGGAGGTAACCAATATGTATTTCTACACGCTGGAAAACCATTGCATGTAACATAAAACCCAGGACTATTTGTTTTTTGTTTTAATACTAAGGTAGATTTTTTACAGGCAGGACATTTTCTAATATTTTTTATAGCCATTGACTGATGTTGACCATTATTTTGAAGAGCAACAGGCTGTATTCTTAAATATTTCCCTAAAGACTGATCCAATTTTTCTACCTAGAAAAAAAAAAATATTTTGCTTGTGATTAAAATTAGATTTCTTTATATAATTCAAATTGCATACTTGTTCTGTTGTTTTTATGAACACTTCTTTATATTTAGCTATTTGTTCTCTAAGCACTAATGACGGTGCTTTAGTTCCCTCACATATTCTATAAATATAAATGGGTGGTGATTGATGATTTAAAAATAACAAGGTATTTCAGTAAACTAGTTACTTTTTTAAATCTGCTTCAAGTTCAGCTCTTAAATGTGGTTTAGACATTTCAAAACCCATATTATCATAACCTTCAACCAGACCAATACCAAGTTCTCCAGGAACAAAGTATTTATTATTTTCTAGTCCAACATATAGACGTGATTTGATAGTTTCAATGTGTTCTGCATGTGTAGCATCAGTACCTATTGCAATAGTAACAATTACAATTAATTACAGTGCCATGATTATAGAAACATCATTAACATTTTATACCAATGCCATGTTTATCCATCAGTGAAATTAAATCAGCTTCTGTGAGAAGGTTAGGAGCACTAGTGTGGCCATCAATCATTTCTAATCCAGTAGGCATAAATGATTGGCCTTGATTGTAATCATGGATCTGCTTATTAGACCATTTATCATATGGGTAAACTTCTAAGTAATTCAGTGCTATAATTCTAAGTCCGTTAGCTAAAAACTAATAATAACACAAAAAACATTAGTAATTCAGTTTAATTAATTTATAATTTAGATCCTGTTATATTATAAAGAAAAAATTTTAAGATTAATCACTTAATATTAACCATAATATTTGAAAATCCAGACATATTTTACACTTTGGGGGTAGGCTACTGTTATAAATTAAAAGTTAAGAGGGTATAGGATATATAATTTAATTTAGTTTACACACTAAAAGTAATGATAAATCTTTTCAGTCAAAAAGCAATTTTGAGTGGACCTTGGTACTTTAGTAAGTAGGTCTTTAAAGTCCAGTATTTTCAGTTTCTTTTATTTTTAGAAAAACACAGTAATCTGGTACAATAATAGGGAAATTTGGTCTGGTCCAATTCGATCACAATATTTGGTTCAAACATACAAATGGAAATGGGGAACACAAAGAAGCGTACATTTATATAAACAGGATTTCTCACTAATTCTCTGATACAATCTGAATTCAATATTTTTAATATACAAAGTATAACAAGACTATTTAACATTTTTACACTGTAGTTACATGTAAAAAAGTCAGTATATATATACATATTTAAGATTGTTGAGCGAAGAAGCTTATGGTTTTACTATGATATAATTTATTTTTTTATTTTTTCTTGTTTTTCTGTGGACAATTTTGCTCCAATATACAATGTGATAACACTTCTTCTAAAAGGAAATCTGACTGGGGAGGTAATCTTTTTATTTTCCCAGTTTTTATAATAAATGGAAAAAACCAGAAAATGTATGAAATTTACTTATTAGTAAAAAAAATATTACAACCTTTTTTTTTCCCTGTGAACAATTGTTCTATCAACAATTTTGTTCAGATTTACAATGTTAGCAATTTTTTCTGAAATAAAATCTGACTTGAGAGGTCATTTTTGATTTTTCCAGGAGTTTAATCAAAAAAAGGGGGAAAACTGGGAAAAAACATGGAAAAACTGAGAGAATGGGAAAATATGTACAATATTAAATAAATAACATTAAAGAAAATGTTTAATGCATATGTAATTTTAAATAAATATGACATATATTGTTGACAAAGTTACACTATTAACTGAACTCTGCTCAGAATCATTTTTCGTAAGCAATGGTTAATCTTTGCTTACAGATATATATTTAATTTCTATCTATATTCTACATTCCTAACATCCTACCTACAACAGTGACTGTACGGGTCCCCATTATCCTACGACAACTTTTTTAAATAATTAATATACCTCTATACTACAGTTTATCAATTAGACATTTTGTAAAATAGATTTTCAGAAAATGTATAGTAGTTGAAACTTTTGTTAATATATAGTCTTTCAATATTTAAAATATTCGTATTTTTTCTAATTGTTAATATAAATTATAAGCTAAGATAGTATTTAATCAGTAGTCAGAGTACATCAACGCGTGTTTTCTTTTCCGTGAGTTAACATCATACTTTAGTCTAAAATGTCTTTAACTGTATAATGTATTTACGTGTTACAGACAATAGTCTAAATTGGACAAATGTCAGAAATGGAGGGGCAACATGTCATATTTTGGCTTTTAGTCAGACAAATCTAGTAGTGATCAATTTCATTTATACAAAAAACATAGCGATCTATAAATTTTAATTTTTCACAGTGGGTAGGTACTAAAGATCTGCAAGGGTTGGATTTATAAATTTAAAATGTATTATTTAAATTATTTGTTTTTACAAAAAATTACTGATCATTACTTATATTTATGTTACTTAACTAATATCACCAGTGGTGGTTTTAGTGAACTAGCAGGGCGGGCAGCTGCATGTACGTAAACTGTTAATGTTAACGTATTAAGAAGTTTTGTATCATGTAGTTTTACACATTTCATTAAAAAGGGATATATTAGTTTACTACCTATATGTTTGTTCATTTGAAAAATTTAGTAAATTACACTAAACTACACTTTTCTTGCTCCGATATATTAAGTGTAGTACCTTTTCTAAAAGGAGATTTTATCTAGTTGGTGTCATTTATTAATTTTCTAAATGGGAAAATATTTACGGTATGACACTGTATTACTGATTTCATTGTTTTTAATTTTTTAAAACTATTTTTCATACCAGAAATATTGCTTCAATAGAAAAACGAAAAGAAATCTTTTTATTGAATTTCACATCTAAATTAAATTTTTACGAGCAAAACCGAAAATTAACGTAGACGAGAAAATTCACGAAAATAATGTTTTTATTATTTTCAATTTTGTGTTTTTGTTGTAATTCAGTTGAAAATATTCGTAGAGACTTGAAATTTTGACAGAAAACTTATAGTTGCTTTCTATAGACATGATAAAATTTTCAAAATGTTTGAGCTATTTATAAACATTTTAATTTTGTAATATTAATATTAACGTTATTATTATTTATAGGTATCTAAGGTTAAAATTGCTAAACTTAACAGATATGCTTGAATATATTTTAACGGGATGTTAATTGTAAGTCGTATTTTGTTGTAAAAAAAAAAAAAAATACCATTATATCAATTTTGACAAGAACCGTAAAAATTATTTTAAAATATGTAAAACCAAACTATGCTCCGAATCATATTTCGTTAGCAATAGTTTATCGTTAATTACAGTCTACAGATATAAATTAAATAACTTTATGCATCTTTTCTACCTTTCCAACTTCCCACCTACAATAGTGGCATATTCGTCCCCAGTATTGGCTTTTTTTTTCCACTGTCTATGTTGATATGATATGTGTATCACTTAAGTCCAGATTGTAATAGCATCGTATTCTAGTGATTCGGGTGCTTATAGCGTCCCGTTTGTCATTGACGTACGCTGAACATACTCCTACACCGTCCTGTAATTATGATAACGTGCCGTTGTTGTTTTTACTAATAAATATACTTAACTATACGCGCAATTGTTATAAAAAAAAAACACATGTACTAAAGTGTGTTTACGTTGTATAACAATATATATTTATATTTTGCATAAAAATAAAGAAAATCTATCTTTATACTTTTTAGTAGTTATTAATATTTTTACATGTGTTAATTGTTAAGGGAATAATTTGGCCATTAACGAATTAGCAATTCTATAGCTTATTTATAAGCTCCAAGAAGGGGAGGATGAAAATAGTATACATATTATAAATACATATTCCATTTTTGAATATGAGAATTAACACATAAATATGAGCCAAGGGTGGGGGGTTTATCAATTGATCAATCCCTTCCTATAACCACCAGTGGCACCCATAGGAAATTCGAGTCCTAGAACCGCCACTGAATATCACCAATCCTACAGATACGACAGGCGTGGTAGAATTATTCGAAAATGATTAAAAATAATCAGTGCCCGGCCTGAATTTTACATGCCAGTAATTCGGGCTGCGCTTGGAAAAATATTTTTAAACCAAGCCCGTCTTTTTTTTCCAATTGATTAAATTATGTGATGTTTCTCCATTCTTCTCTATTCAAAACGACTTCTTTCAATTTCCTGTATGTTCTTTTTCCTATATTCAACATAATTTGTTTTATATAATATGACTTTAATATGAATTACCTAAGTCTTCCTTTCCTGGCTTCCCTTATTTCCTCTATAGTCGTACACTTCTTTCTATAATTGTTACCCATATTGATCTTTCTTCTCTTATTCTCAATTGTCACTAGCTCAGTCTAAGACATTTTTAAAACCTTCCGCCTGCACCAAGTTTCAAAAATCTCTATATTTTTCTTCTATCTACTTTCAATATTTTATTTTATTTTACTTAACACATTTATAAGCAAGGCCCTTATTTACAACATTAATATACATTAGAAAGTATATTTTAGAATAAAGATATTATATGCAAAATAAAGATAACAAGTAGTAAAGTTTACAATGAGAGTACATACAAAACATACAATTTTAAATATTATGAACAGACATGAGAAAGGTGGGATCCGTATTAGCACGAGGTATTAATCACCTAATAGACTCAATGCATATGTAATTGATGATAGAATGAGGAATTAAAAAGGAACACTTGACCTATAAGTGCGCCAGGGAACCTTAAAACAAAGCAAGGAGAGAAGGACGTTTGAATCCACTTTATTATTCATGAGACTTTTAACAAAATGTATACCGGCTAATCGCCTACGCTCAGCCAAAGAGGTTAAATTAAATAAATCAGACACAAGGGTATAGTCATGAGGTTCACAAGGGACCTGTAACAGATAACTGGCAAACCACAAACATCAACGATGTACCCTTTAAACCTGCAACGAGACACCTGAAGTAAAAGGATCCCATACAATTGCACCATACTAGAGTATTGGAAGTACAAGCGCACAAAAAAGTGCCTTAATTGACATACCTAAACGGAAATCCTTGGATAATCTCATTAAGAACCCAAGGGTTTTAAAACCCTTACAACAGATATATATATAATGTGGGAACTCGAATAAAGGCTATGGTTGAATTTTAAACCTAGGTTAATGACACCATCTTCAGCAGCATACATAATAGGTGACTCACCCAGGCAGTAAGAGAAAACTATTAAGGAACGGGTTCTATTAAAATTCATAACCATACATTTAGAAAGATTTAGGGATAATTCTAACAGCCCAAACTAATTAAAAAAGTTATTTAAATCGTCTTGTAGTTTAAAGCAATCATCAATAGCAAATACACGAGCATATAGCTTAATATCAGAAGCGAAACAGAGGAGACAGCAATAGCGCAATTGATGATAAATACTATTAATAAATAATGAAAATAATAAAGGAGAGAGATAGCCTCCTTGAGGAACACCGGATGAGGCCAAAAATAAATTAGATTTAATTCCGAAAAACTTTACACATTAGTAATTATACTTAAGATAAGACTAGAACCAGAATAAAATAGGGTCACCAATACCGGACTGTTTAAGGACACTTATAAGAGCATTATGGCTAACTGTGTCAAACACCTTTTTAAAATATGTGTAGATTAAATTCACCTGCGATTGATTATGAAAAGACTCTAATATACAATTGCAGAAAATTAAATTATAGATAGATGTGGAACGCCTGGGATGGAAACCATGCTGCTCCTCCATTAGAACATTATTGATAAATGGTTGTATAGCAATCAATACTAGTGACTCTAACATTTAGAGATATAAGATTGGATAAAAATAAGTCAATATTTTGAGACCATAGCATGATTACCGTACTTGAAGACAGGTGTAACAAAACTAAACTTTAGCATAAATGGAAAAGTATCCTCATCAAACATTTTTTGAAATAGAATCCATAAAGGATAAGTAATGACAGATCTTAATTCATATAGGTAGTTTCCAGAGATACAATCAGAATATTGTCCACAATTTAATTCCATACAGTACCACACTCCATATAAATGTTTTTGCTAATGTTTCTCTAGAGTTTAATTTATTGCATTTGTGGTTAGAACTTAGAAGTTTATTATTTTTTAAAAAACACCTATTTACCTTGTACTATTCTACACTAAATGTCTGTGGTGCTTTTCCCCTCATTTGTGACTGCTTCTGAGTAGTGTCTACATGCTGTCTGCTACTTACTGGTATCTCTGTTTTAATCTGATTAATATTCAAATTATGTTCTTGCTTAAGTGTGTTATTCATTTGTAGAAGTAAACATTCTAGGTTTTCTTCATTGTCTGCTATCATGGCAATATCATCTGCGAATCGAAGCATCTGGACTAGTATTCCGCCAATCTCGATCCCTCAAATTTCTTCATACCTTAGATCTTTTAGCGCTACTTTAATGTATAAACTAAATAGTGTTGGCGATAAATTACTCTTTTTTTTCTTTTTAGTCTATAGTAGACACTACTAATTAATATTACTAGTAATATTGTAAAGGTAAAGACACGACGGAATTCAATATGGGTACGCGTATTCGCGTAGTCATTCTAAAATCTAAATGCATACTGTTCCATGTGAGCAACGAACGAATTTTATCGTTTTAAAAATAAAATAATTGAAATTATCTCTTTGCTTTCATAAACACGAGCAGTTTAAAGGTATATCAATTCAATTTTATTCTATTTTGTACACAATAAACGTAAATTTATAGTCTCAAAAACACGATAGTAAATATTAATCAGTAATGAATATTATTCTTCAATATCAGTATATAATGATCTTGATGTAGTCCTGTCGAATTGACGACAAGACTGAAATAGAAAATAAGATTTTAAATCAATTTGGTGCCTTAGTAGGTATCGAATTATTAAATTTATCCACAGATATATTTAAAAAAAAACTTAACTGGAGAATTAGCCCTTTGGCATGAGTATTGGCTCAACGAGAAGCAACTATTACCTACGAATTCTATTGATATTTAGAAACATGACCGATACTTCCCTGGAATCAATATTCTGTTAAATATACTTGTAACATTACCAGTGATCACTGCATCAGCAGAATGAAATCTCTGTGGGGGGATAAAAACATGGATAAAATCAAGGACGTCGGAAGTTCAATTAAATGGACTGTCTTTATTACATGCTCATCGTGATATTATAATAAATTCCGAGGTGATTGATGTGTTTGCAAAATCCAATAAAATACTAAATCGTTTAATTTAAATTTAATGATTAGGTGTGTTTTTTATGTTTTAAATATTTGTAATCAGTATAAGTTATAATATAAGTTGACTATTTGGTATTTATTAATTAATTACAGTGTTGTATATTGGGTAATTTATTATAAAAATGTTTGTCGTTTGTTGCTGTGAAGCAACACCATACATTGTAAGGTATGTTAATGAAATATACACATATGCAAATGTATGAATGCGTAATTTTGGGAGCTATATAATTAATTATGGGTTATGGTTCAAAATAATGCATTTATTTTCTAAAAACATGAATAATCTTAATACAATGCGGATTAAAGTAGGAACCCTAGCGTACGCAACGCAGTCTGTGGCCATTTAACCGTGCTATTCATTTCGCGACGTTTTTCATGCAGGCGATTGCATGTATAAGTTTGGTCTCCTCATTCTATTTTTCATCTGCTATTTTTATGTTTAATTTTACAAAACCCGATATAATATTGACATATTCTTAACTACCAATATACCCATGAGTTTTATATTTATAAATATGTTAAAAAAGATGGACATTACTTCACATGATGGGTAGGCCACTGTTGTAGGTGAGAAGTTGGGAAGGAAAGATATAGAGAGGAAGGGAACTAAATGTACTTATACCTGTACCCAATGATTAATCTTTGCTAACGAAAAACGATTCTGAGTGGAATTCGGTTATACATCTTATAAAAAGTTGTAATATAGAAAATAATATATTTCGTTCATTTTCCCATTATTATGAAAATCCCAAGAAAAATCAAAAAATGGCCTTCCTTTAAATACCACTCCAGTCAGATTTCCTTTCAGAAAAAGTTTTACGATTTTAAATCATAGGAAAATTGCTGAATTGCTGATAGACAAGTTTTCCACAGAAAAAAAAAATAAACACTATTATAAAAACCTAACCTAACCTAACCTCGTTGCAGTAATTGTTTACAACACTGTCGATCATATTGGTTGCAAAACATGCAAATGTTTAAGAATGTAAAAAATCAGATCATGGTGTTTATGGGATATTTTATCTGATCAAATATTTTTTCCAGGACATTCTCTACTATTTGTTTTTTTAAACAAAATGGTTTCAGAAACACTACTTCGTCTAATAAATCAAGTAGTTTTCGCGTTTTCGAAAAAATTTCTTTCCAAACTAAAAAGGTTAAATTCTGCAATTTCATTTTCGAATTCAGAAGAATCATTTTCTTAGTTAATATGAAGAGCTCTATCCATTATTGTAACAAAAAACAAAACAAAAATGTATACACTATACAGTCATACAGAACAAATTCCAACATCAAATTTAAAACACAAAATTAGTAGTAACAATAATCATAAAAAGACGTCTTAGGATAATGGGGACAGGTGCAGCCACTGTTAGAGATAATTTAATGTAAATAACGATATAAACCATTAATTACGAGAAAAAAACGATTCTGAGCGGAATTCAGTTGATAGTGATGCTTTAACAATATGCCATATTATAATAAAACAATTAAATAGACTATATTTTTTCTTGAATAATATTTGTTTAATGTTGTATCGATTTTTCCAGTTTTTTACATTTGCTGAAAAAACTCAGGGGAATATGTAAAAACGATCTCTCTTAAGTACCTCTTCAGTGCAATTTTCTTTCGGAAACATTGCTATCATTAAAAATTGGAGCGAAATTGCTGGTAGAAAAGTTGTCCACAAAAAAAAAAATATACATCTTTATAAAACCATAAGCTTCTTTGCTCAGAATCTAAAAGTATTGATAACATAAACCGAGAGATTTTAGTTTAATTGGAGATTAATCGCCAGAATTCTGTCGGTTAAAAATTTGACGATTAATTTTTCGGTTACCAGAGACTTTTTACTAAACTAACGCATTTAAGAACCAACTGCCTATTAAATTTGAAGTTAACCGACAGTTACCGCTATCCGAAATTTAAACAAACATTAAAGAAACGGGCTTACAAAGCGGGCATTCAATTTGAGGGGGCACATTCCCCCTACCCAGAATCTTTTTTTATTGGTTATTTAGATTATTTTAGTATGTTTTATCAATCTAAAAATTAGTAGATTTTAATACAAAATAAATTATTAGTGCCTCCAACTTGAATTATTTTTCTAACTATGGTTCTAACTACTAGTATACTCTGGCCGGTGAGAGAACGCTGCTCTTTGGCACAAATGGACAAGCTCCGGGGTTCTGTGGCCAAATTTCTCCCACTCTACTACCTACTAGCCTTGGGACACTCAAGAAAGAACGAGTTTTGGTTGTCATCTGGAAAAATTTTCTCGCCAGTTAGACTATAATATACCCTCTATCAAATTAATTTGTGTAAGGATTATACCTATTTTGATAAGCCCAATTCTTCATGTACAGTATACATATCGGAAAAAACAAAAACCTTCTCTTTTCTCATTACTTAACAAACTTAACAAAGTGAACATAGCAATAGTTTTGTCATTTCATGTCACAACGACGGTCAATACTACACGATTATATTAGGTATGACGGTTGTTGGATAGATAAAGTGAACGTCAAAATGTCAAATTATTTGATTGAAAATGTTTAAATAAGTATAAAGATTTATTTAAATAAATAAACAAAAATACCCAATAGCTAAAAACGTTTTCTTAAATAAAATGATGTAAATATCCAAAATTAATTGTATACATTTTTGGAAAAAATTACATTAAGACACGAGACCTATTTTAGGAAATCGGTATTATTTACTCTTCCGGCTGGGACTAGATGAATATCAGGACTGTATGCTTAAAACCAATAGAGTGCCCTGAGTAAATGTCAGCCCTACATTTCATAGAGTACCTACTGAATAAAAATTGCGTAAGCTCTTAAAATTAAAATGTCTCTAAATAACTCGAAAATAGCTAAAATTTTTGAACATTTTATTAAGTCTAGAAAAAACAACTATCGGTATTCTATTCAAATTTCAAGTATTTACTAATATTTTAACTCAATCACAACAAAAAATAAAATTGAAAATAATATATTTCGTACATTTTCCCAATTATTATCAAATCCACTTGGAAAATTAAAAATGACCTTCATAAGTACCACCAAGAGAAAAATTTACTTTCAGAAAAAGTGCTACATTTGAAAATCAGAGTAAAAGGTCTGGTAGAAAAATTCTACCATTGTACAAAACAATATATTTCTTACTTCTCTGAGAATCTAAAAGAACTAGTATATTACAGTCAACTATTTTTGGACTATTAACTACAATTTATAATGAATATTGAATTCTATTTTTAGCATTATAATAAAATGCTTGACAAATTGCCAAATAAGGTCAGACAATTTTATCCATATAAAATCTAATATTTAAAATCCAAAAAAAAACTTGATAATTCAACAAAAAGGTCTTAGTTGTCATTTTTTCAATTGCAGCGAGTTGTTTGGTAGAAAAATTGTTTACAGACATACAAATTAAAAAAAAAACATATAGTCAAAATAACATAATTTTTGTTACTCTCAGTTTCTAAAATAAATATCTTCGGAAAATTAATATTATAACTTCTTCATTACTTTCAGATCTTTAAATGGAATGTAATATTCCAACATATAAAGTAATACAAATTACCTTTTCTCCATTTATTTCAATGTTTACAATAGTTTCTTCTCCTTCGGCATCTTGAGATAAACAAGCTAAGAAATGTCTTACAACATATTCATATACTTTACGTTCTTTATCTGAAAATATACATGTTTCTATTTTATTATTATAATTTAAGAATTACACATTATGCAACTTTATGCATGCTAAACATTTTTTAGAAATGAAATACTTAGGATAAGATAGATCTAGCAGTTAAATCAGAACATCTCAACACCAAGTAATGGTGTATGATGTATGATGTGAAGTATACGTAGTTCAAAATGTTTCAAAATATTAAATCAGAAGATTTCAGTGTTGAAACAGGGTTAAAACAAAGTAACACATTGTCCCCATTGTGGTTCAATCTAGTTCTAGAAAAAGTAGTAAGAACATTGCAAGAAAAAGCAAGAGGATAAACATAGATAAATACTACATAAAAGTGTTTGTGAACAACCTTAACATCTTAGGCGATTCTCTAGAAGATAATTACAACAACTGAAGCATTGAAATGGATAGCAGGACAAAAATGTTTGCAGATAAACGTAGATAAAACAAATGTTATAGAAATACTATCTAATGAAAATGTCAAAGAATGGTTGTGAAGTATGGATTACCAAAAGTGTCACACAGAAAAGACAGAATATGTCTGAAAATAAAATTTGGGTTAGAACATGTGGTCCAGTTATAGATATAAAAACAGGCCAGTGGCGTAGGAAGTACAAAAAGGAACTTTGAGAGGAATTGAAAATAGCAACAATAAATGGATTCATAAAAAGCCAGAGATTATAATGGCAAGAACATGTAATGCAGTACAGATACATCAAGCACGTTAGTACTAAATTGAATGTCAGAAGGAAAAAGGCCACAAGGTTGTGCTCGGACCAAGTAAACTGATGTTGTAGATAATGATTTAAAAAATCGCAGAGTAAAGAATAAGAGGGAGTTGGTACAGGATTGTAACAAGTGCAATAATTTGGTAATAGCAGAAAAGGCTCTTGAAGAGATAGAAGCTGAAAGAAGAAGAAAATATGATAAATGGGGTTTTTAAGATTATATGTTTTCCTCTATATCAATTATGCAATAAGTATGCTTAGCTTATTCATATAACAAAAACATAGTTATTTTTGTCATTGGGGGTTTTTTATATTGAGTAATTGGACATAAATAAGATAAGGTATCTTATGTAGTTAGTAATTTAATGAAACTTAGGTTAAGTTAGTTAGTAAAATAAAGAATTATAATTTGCCTTACTTACCTTGAAGTCCATGTGTATACTTGGTAGGATGTATTGGAGGATGAGCCTGGTCAGATTTTTTTCCTTGTCTAGGAGATGGACCATTGTTTAAAACTCTTTGTGCAAAATCTAAAATAAATAAATTATTTTTAGTTTGTATAGACATATATGTAATTAACTATTTGTAAAAAACATTGTATACACACCACCCCAATTATTATCTTCTAGATGTAATTGAACTAAATTTGATAAATTCAATTCTTTAGGAAATATATTTGTTTCAGTCCTAGGATAGCTAATAAAACCTTGACTATATAATTTTTCAGCAATTTTCATAGTTTCTTTAGCATTAATTCCAAGTTTACGACTAGCAGCTTTTTCTAACTCCTATCATAAATGCAAATTATTAGGCTAATTTATATACTAACATAATAATTTCATACAAGTTTTTTATTAAATATTTATCTATTATTGTTTAATATTTCAAGTAACTGCATAACTAAATTTGATGTTTTTATAGAAAACGTACAATGATTAATTTTGTTAATTTAACTAATTTTGGCAATTTGGAAATGTACTAAGACTGCAGTCAACCACATTGTTAAAACCTTAATTTAATTATTTGTACACTTATATATTTAGGCAATTTCAAACATGATCTGCCGCAAATGATATGATAGCCAATTTGTTAAATAAAATAAACTGCATTAAACTTCTTAATATGAATTATATTAATATAATGCCAGTTAGTCATATAAAATTTTGTTTATAAAGCTAACTTACAATTGTATCAAGAGGTACTGGTCGCCATTTAGATTTAGGCTTTTTAGTTACTTTCAACACAAAAGCAGTTGGATTTTCTTGACAACGTTCATAAAGCACTCGACAACAAATTTCATCAAATAACCTTATTCGTTGCCAAGCAAATTCTACATCTATATTTTCAATTTTGTGATGGACTATAAATACAAAAAGGAAATATCAATAAATTATTAATTTATTCTAACTAATAAGAGTAATTAAAATACCTTTTATTTTCCAAAATTGTTCAGGTATAAAGTTTTGAATATCTTTGTACCGTTCAACAACAAATCCTAGTGTTGGAAATTGACAACTACCATAACTTATCAAACTTTTAGATAATACTTCAGGGAATACCTTTTGTAACCGCATAGTTTGATAACGAGTGAATGCTGCACCTAATAAATATTGATAATTATTTTAAAATAATGGTGTCAAATTAATAATAAAAATGTATTTACCGATTCTTAAATCTAATTCACTTCTAACATCAACTGCATCACTGATGCTTTTATTTGGTGATCCCAGATTGGTCATAGATCTTTGTACTGATTGTTTAGTAATTTCAGATAATAAGGCTCTAAAATAATTTAAATAAACATACAATTGTACCCAAATATATGTTGATTTATGATGTGACAAACTGTTCAAAAACTGAGGGGAAAATTGACAATAATCAAACCATCTAATTACCTAACAGTTAGGTTTGAGATTTACACCAGTGACATTAATTTTGCTAAAGAGCGATAAGAAAATCGAGTGGAATTTATTTTTACCTGTCTGTGCACACATACAAAATATGTATCATACATAAGGCCAAGTTAAAGATCCAGCGGGCCCAGAATCTAAAGGCCAAACTTGAAAATAGGCACTCTTTATTAACATTTTTATACTAAAGAAATTTAAGATATATTTAAGATTGATAATATAATGAGTCTTTTACATTTGTAAATAGAATAATATATCTTCAGTTCAGGTTCGTTATTTAAAGAAAAGTTTATTTAGGGTTCACTTTGGACTTAAAAAATCAAAGTTTGTAACATCACTTGTATTTATAAAAATGTTAACATATTGTATTTAAGAATTGCAGGATAATTTATTATTCTTTATCTTCACTTTTAACCTAGAACTGCTATTTATTTGAGACTAAAAATTGGGATATTTTATTTAAAAGATAATACCTCCCATTAAACTATCAAATTAAATCTTGAAAGATTTAGTTATTAAATCTTAAGTCTTATTTTATTCTACAAAGGTAAAGTCAGTCATAGATGTTGATAGGTATGTATTGATATGTATAAGATATGTATTGGACTATAAGCGCCATTAATATAATTTGTGCACCTACACTATTATAAAACTAATAATAATTAAGCGTAATTACCTCCTCTATCCAATGATATCTGTGCTTCCAAAGCCTGCCACTCATGATCTACAATATATTAAGTGTAAAAGGGGCCTACTCATATTACATGACCGTTATAATAGTGCTGAAAATTAGGCAAATAAACCAGTCTCGCATTTGCCAGACGATTGCTCTACTACTGATGTACTTGGTAATTGACTTTTAACACTATTTCCACTGGACTTGAACAGTCTAACATTCTGTGTTTGGGCGATTTATGGAATGGCCATGCATATGGTTGAGGGGACGATGGGGTGATCAGGGTCATATCAAACCTCTCTCTTTCTATCCTATCATCCTCTATTATCATAGTTTCAAGTTCTTGACATCCTCATCACAACATTTTGAAAAAGTAGTTTAAGTCATTTGTTTTTGCACTTATTCTTTTTGCTTGTTTTTTGTTTCAAAGATATTCACGTTTTTTTTCAATAAGGGTACTAGTAAGCATTTTCCCATACCATACAATGTTTTACAACCAGTTTTAACTGGTTACCAATTTCAAGTAGCTTGCCTTAATATTTAATTACATCTCTGAAACAGGTAGACTCCTAATAATAGGACAAATTGTCCAAACAAATTACTTAATTTTGTACACATTTCCCTTTTATCTTTATTATCAAAATATTTAAAATTAAAATAACAACTTACCTATAAACTTGAATTCTTGGGTTTACTTCTTTACACACATTAATTATTTCAAATCCAATATTTTCTCCTTCTCTATCAGCATCAGTCCATATTACTAAGATATTACATGTTCGAACTTCTCGAACTAGTGTTTTCTATAATTTAATTAATTTAGATTTTTTATAATCCAAGAAAACTATTTTAAAAATACATATTTAGAAATGTTTAAAGCTTGTTGAAATTCAAATTTATATTTTGCTAATTTTACTAACGATAAATGATAATCTTTTATCAGATTCACGGTTAAAAATTTAACCATGCAAAAAAATGTCTTATTTGACATAACTGTAAAAATACTTAACTCAACCTTAGTAAAAGTTTTTGACACCAATATTTTTCTAAAAATCAGATTTAAAAAATGGCAATTTCGATTTTTATTTTGATTTTTAAATACACTGTTAAATTTTCTATTTTGAAAAACTTAACATGGATAAAGTATAGTGTCAAGAAGTAATAATAATTTAAAAAATAAAAAATAAAAAATAGAAAAAAGTTATTACCCAGTTTATTACATTTGTTAAATATTCCTCTTCAACCTGTATAGTGTGGAAACACTAAATGAATATATAAAAAACTGAGTAATATACTTACAAATAGCCATTTTTGGTTATTTGTAAGTATATATTAATATTTTTTTTTTTTTTAAATTAGTTATATAAAGTAATTCTTATTTTCACTAACTTAGAAATTTTAATAATGATGATTAGATATGTATATGCGCAATAAAACTTTTTTTCTTAAATATCAACCCCTCTTTTACTAATTATTTTATATTTTTTCATGAATTTTATTTTATTGCTTTTGCGCCATGGCAGGCATTGATTCATTTTAATGGTCAAACCACTTATCTTAGTCTAAAATTAGCTGAGATTTCAATTTATTTAATATTAAATTTGTTAAAAATATTGATTTTGCACAACTTATTAAAACTGTCATAAGATCATGAACAACTAATGCTTCATTATTCTCTACTTTTGTCATTAATATTACTTAATAGCAGTACACCAAAAAATATTAAATAAATGTGGGTGCCAAAAAAAGTTGAATTGTGCATACACAACTCGAATTAATATTAAATGTGTATTACAACCATAAGAATTTATAAAAAAATTCAAATTGCACCATTGATTGAAAGGACATAGTGTTTTCAAATAGCAATTCCACACTGTACAATAATCTCTTAATCATTTATTTTAAAATTTGCAAGACAATTAGTTTTAAGTTAATACAGATTTTTAATATACACTGACAAAAAAATTATGGCATTAAAAATGTATCAAATAAAATCTTGAAACTCATATTCAAATTAAAATAGTTTGATATCTAATACCAATATACAGAAACTTACCTATACCTATTATGTATAAAATAAATTAAATACCACAAACCTTAATATTTATATAATCTTTGGGACATTCTTTAACCACTGGAATATCAAATAATTCAAGAGGAGAACAAGAATTCCATAAACGGTAGGCATCTTGGAATTCATATCCAAGTAAATGACCAGAAACCGATGTCATAATCATTGTGCTTGGCGATCCATGAAAAGTATGATTAAACTCATATATTTTATTAAACTTTGAAAATCCTTCTCTCTGTAATAAATTTCAAACATCAATATTGGTAATTATTTACCTACTATTACATTGTTTATTTTTTAATAAAAATTAGTTTAAAAAACTAGTTAAATTACCCTTTGGAGATTACCACCAGACAAATGTCCAGCAATGTTTTTTGCAGCGTCATTTTTTTCTGCAACATTCAAAACCCTCATTTTTAAATTTATTTCTTTATTGGAGTAGCCACGGAAATGTTTTCGATAAGCATTTTTTAATAATATTAATAACTTAATTTGATTCTTTTTATGAAACATTCAGTTTTATATTTCAAAAACATTCAAGAAAAATACATAACTATAACCGTATATTTAAATAGATATTAAATAAATATTGGTACAATTAATAGTATTAGTGCAAATTATAAAAAGATTAAAGCTAAAAATTAAACATTTGAATTAACTATCGCCGTTATCATGAAGTGCCCATGAATGCCATAAACGATATATACAGTATATTATTTTATGATATGTATTTTGTAACAAACATGCACATCAAATATTATCACATTTGGAATATTATCAGTTTATTTTGTAATATTATAATCATGAAGATTAGAGATATGTTATCAATGTCCATGATTAAGAGTTTGTACCAGATAAGATTATTTTAAACGTCTTCAATCTTCACTGTTCACATTTCACATCTCAATGTAGATGAGGTTAGGGTTTCTATTATTTGTAGCTGTTTTTATATTTTATGTTTGTTTATGTCAAAGATATAATTTAAATTGTTTTTATAGTTTTGTCTGTTAATTTATTTTTAAAACTATGGGTATTCTCGAAAAGATTTCAGAAATTGAAAAAGAAATATCAAGAACTCAGAAAAATAAAGGTTATTAATAATTTTTATGTAGTTTTTTTGTTTTTATATAACTAATTTATCGTATTTTATTTATATTGAAGAGTAGTTGATGTTTTAATTTTTGATTTATTCAATTTTCCTCAGTTTCCTATTTTCACAATTTGTATAAATTGTTTATTATTTAGCTACTGAATATCATTTGGGATTATTAAAAGCCAAACTTGCAAAGTATCGAGCTCAGTTGTTAGAACCATCTAAAAAGCAAGAAAAAGGAGAAGGTTTTGATGTACTGAAATCTGGCGATGCCAGAGTTGCTTTGATTGGTTTTCCATCTGTTGGTAAAGTATGTTAAACACTTGATTTTGTTCTGTATATTATAATTTTTTAATATTAAACCTTCAATTATTATAACAATGTTGTTTTATATTTATTTCAAAACATTTGTAGGTTGTATTTACATGTTTATTTTATGTTGCAGTCAACACTTTTAAGTACGTTAACACATACCGAAAGTGAAGCAGCTTCTTATGAATTTACAACATTGACTTGTATCCCTGGAGTAATTGAATATAAAGATGCCAATATTCAATTATTAGATTTACCTGGTATTATTGAAGGTGCATCTCAAGGAAAAGGACGTGGTAGACAGGTAAATAATTAAATTATTTTACACAATTAAAATTGTTTTTTTTTTAATAAAAAAAATTAACTAATTGTTTCTAATCAAAGGTCATTGCAGTTGCTAGAACTGCAGATTTAGTATTGATGATGTTGGATGCTACTAAGCAAGATATTCAACGTCAATTGTTAGAGAAAGAACTTGAAAGTGTAGGAATACGTTTAAATAAACAAAAACCAAATATTTATTTCAAGGTAGTCTTTAAAAAATTATTTATTAATATTACAATTTTAAGAGTTATAGATATATAACTGTTAATATAGATAAAAAAAGGAGGGGGTTTAGCATTTAATGCTACTTGTCCCTTAACAAGAATTGATGAAAAATTAGTTCAAGTTATTTTACATGAATACAAAATATTTAACGCAGAAGTTTTATTTCGGGAAGATTGTACACCAGATGAACTTATTGATGTTATTTCTGCAAATCGTGTTTACTTACCATGCATGTATGTGTATAACAAAATAGATCAAATATCTATTGAAGAAGTAGACCGGATTGCCAGACAACCAAATAGTGTTGTAGTCAGGTACTTAATTTAACATTAACATTGTAGATACCTTTTTTTTATTTTTCATTAATAATGTTGAACCATTCTAAATTTTATATTGTTCATTATAAAAATAAATTTGTTTGTTTTAGCTGTAATATGAAATTAAACCTTGATTATTTATTGGAAGTCCTTTGGCAATATTTATCATTAATTCGAGTGTATACTAAGAAGCCTGGGCAACCTCCAGATTTTGATGACTGTTTAATTTTAAGAAAAGGTGTTTCTGTAGAACACGTATGCCATTCAATTCATCGTACTTTAACAGAACAGTTTAAATATGCTTTAGTTTGGGTATAGAATTATATCTTTAAAATAGTTATCAATTTATTTGATTTTATGTTGGATTTATTTATTTTATCAGGGAACAAGTACAAAATATTCACCTCAGAGAGTTGGTTTACAGCATATTATGCATGATGAAGATGTTATACAAGTTGTGAAAAAATAAAAATGAATTTACTAATAATAATATATACATATATTACTTTTGAAGATAATTATAAAATATAATATAAATATTATTAAAAATTATGGTGTATGAAAAATTTTAAAAATTGGACATTAAGATGCTGATATTTGCCTGAGTGGTCCATCCAAATATGTGGCCAAAGTAGTTATCTTTTCTTTAAGTAAACCAAATTCGACTGATCTATTAGCATATAAACATAATAAAATATTTGCTACTTGTTTAATTGCAATTCTGCCTTCCTGAAACAATTTTAAAAAACAATCATTTATTTATCAAAAATTACAGTGAAAGAAAAATATTTTTAAATTATCTGCCGGCAACTGGCCAGTTCTTTAATTAAATATAGTTTACCATAAAAAACGATTTAAACTTTAAATATTTTACTATTTTGAATGATTATGTTATTTGATGATGTTAAATTATGACTACAGTTACAAGGTTGTAACTGGAAGATAATTTTCTTTTTATTGTGGGGGGAGGGTGTTAATTGTAAAATCCAAATTTTGTTAACCCTACAAATGATGTTGCTTTTTGGAAAACCAGCCAAAGATGTTTAAAATCAAATACCCATCTACATGTGATAGTATAAATCAACTGTAATCTAATATAAATATTATAATATATTATGGTTTTAATTTAAACCAGTAGACTTCAGCATGTAACTGAAATTATTTAATAGTTTATCAATTACTAAGTGTATAGAAATTTTACACATAGATGGAAATTTCTGAATAAATTACAATACAGGGTAATTTTATAATCATGAACCAGTAAATTTTTTGGAGAATTAAGTGAATTTGATTTGTTTTTTTTTTTCATTATGAAATAGGTTAAGCTTTATTTTAAAACCATTTTTAATTGTTTACCCCTACTCCATGTATCTTAAAGAAGTATACATTTTTGTTTTTCAAAGGAACTGCCCTTTTTGAACACAAATAAAATAGAGAATAGAGAATATTTTTAAATATTATGCATATCAAAATATTTTATATTCAAATTTGTGTTCATAGAGGGGAATTTATATTTGAAAAACAAAAGTTTATACTTATTTAAGATACATGAATTAGGGTAAACAATTAAAAATGGTTTTAAAATACAGATTAACCAATTCCATAACGATTAAAAAAAAAATCAAATTCCCTTAAAATTCTCAGAGAAAATAATTGGCTCATCATTAAAATTTCATCTATATTATCAAAATGATAAAATACAATTGTTAATACACAGCTGTATGCATTTAACATTGCACGCAACTGTGGCGGTATTTTCCAATTTTCCATTGTTCATTTTCAACTATTCATTTCTGTATTTTTACCTTCATTTAAATAATATTATAAACATATTTTTATTTTCCACAAAATGTGTAGAAGGAATATATTTGTTCAATTAATTATAAAATTATTGCAAAATTAATCTCAATTGAATTCTAAAGATGACATGGAATCTGGTTAATATAAGAAGATCTAAGAGAATCACATAGAGATTTATAGAGAAATAGTGTAGGAGCAGAAAAGGTATAGTGTAATAGTCTATTATAACCAAAAAATGAAAAAATTAAGATTGTTACCGTGCAATCCATTAAAACCAACTGTAACTGATCTTCTTTCAATGTGGCTAAACCATTTTTTTGATATGTATTCCATAAATTAGCAGCAATAATAGCCGTGATACGTGAATCTCTATCACCATAACCACTAAATGCCAATAAAGATCCTTCATGTGTCAATAGCCTTTATTGCAAAAATATAAGTGAAATTAAATTACAGGATAATAATAATTTTAACTTCAAATAAAGTAACGATAATTATAAATATTGACAAATAAATACTTACATTGTGTTTTCGACACCATTGGTATTAGCTTGACTTAAAACTTGAGATAAAACTTTCGGTCTTAACATTTTAAAACAAATTGATTTATTTGAAAGCGGATTCTAGAAACTATATAAGATAAATACGATAGTCAATATTTACACTTATCAAATGCAAGTTTACGATACGTGATTAATAAATTCATATAACTTTCTACTTTTTCATGGTTAATAAATTTCTTTACGCTAATACCTAGCTTACAAACATTTTTTTTTTATTTCTTAAAAATATAAGGTGCAACTTTAAGAAACATCAAATTCTGTAAATACTAAATACACCTTATCAGTCATGAGCATGTTAAAGCCGTGGTTATAACCAATAGGTAACAAATACTATAGATTAAAATGTACAGAAAGGTCAATTGTCGTGTTCAATGTTCGTACTTATTTTTATGTTCTTATATTTAAATACCATGGCGGATAGACCTATAAAGATATATTTATACGTTTATGCTAAGTACCGAAGTTTTATTTCTTTTTATTATTTTGTATTTATACCATGAACTAAGATAATTATTACTTGTAAATTTGTACCATAGAATTTTAACTCTATGATTTGTACATTGTACGTCAAATTATTATGATTAAACTTTTATCACGATTTGAGATATTTTAAATCATAACTAATTTACTTTAATACTAATTTAAAATTATGGTAGATAAGTAGATAGGTACCTATTTTTTAGTCTTCGTTTTTTTCGTGGTATCGGCCTTTAATACCATCCTATTCAACATAATTTCCTACAGCTTTCTCTTTCTAATAATAATTCCTTCCAATCTTTACTTGGTTTCATTTTTTCTCCATAGTCTTTTATTCTGTTTCTGTCTTTCCATCTTGGGTGACTTAGTGATCTTTATCTTTTGAAAGTGTTTTCTAGTACCTTTCTTAATATAGAACTGTCCTTATGCCAGGCGTATCCTTCCCAGATGAACTGTTTCTTTGTAATATCATACATAATACATGAGCTCTGGTGTATTTATATTTTTAATATTTATTTTTTGGCTATTGGCAATATTTATCAACATGACGATTTAATTCACGTAAGATAAATGCGAAAACAAATGTATAACGGATCTATTCACCCTGACAAATAAATTATTTATTAAAATCTTCCAACTTATAAAAGATTTTATTCTTTTTTTAATGGAAATATTAAGACCACACACAAAAATTAAAAAAAATCGTGTCAGCTATTGATTTAATAAAAAAGTAAGTATTATATTAACGTATTGGTATTGTAATAATTTCAATCAATACTGCATTTAAGTTTTGTTATTTGGATAGAAATAAGAAAAAATAAAAATGTTATCTTCTTTTAATAAAATATATAAATACTACAAATTAAATTATCACATAATATTTTGAACTAATAACATACCTACTGGCTAATTTTTAGAAGAGCAAACTGATTTAAAAATTTTTTTATGATTATGTGAGATACCATAGATGGAATATTATTTCAAATAAAAATAAATTTGAATGTTGAAATTTTTGATTTCTGGCAACACATTATGTTGTTAATAAGATATTCAATTTTTTTATTTTAAGCAGGGGAGAATAGTAATACACTATTCAAACGCTGCGCATCGTGCCATGCCATACACCACACAAAAACTAAATAGTGGAGTATATACTATTAACATATGCTCCATAAGAATTTTTATTTACAAACTTACGAATTCTGAGTAAAAAAATTCAGAATAATTGCATCTAGTTCCTGAAGTATTATATTTGAAAAGTTCTGAATGAAGTTTATTCTTGGGACAAAAATATGGATTCAACAATGTAGTGCATCATAGAAATTATTGACTGCTAAATTTAGATCAAGCTGGGATAGAGTTAAGTTTCAGTTAAATTATTTCAAACATGTTTTTATTAGTTCATATGATAATCAAAAGGAGAGAGAAATGTCGAAAGAAGGTACAATTTTAGTGGGTTTTATTTGGATACTTGGCTGTAAACCTGGCGACTGTTTGCTGTATACCGTTAAAACTATTGGCAATCTATTGTGATATCATTCAGAATTTCATGACAACTCTGAATATTGTCACGAAAATGTTATTGTTATTTTACATCAGTGTGAACGGTTACTCTACAAAATTTTTCATATTGTCACCAGTTATTATTTTGGGAGGAAATATTCACCGATAACAAATTCCTAATTTCTTGTAGATAACGGCCCAATCTGTACCTGCTGGAAGCCATTCCAGAATGGGTTAACACTCAATAACCAATCATGATCAATGTGATACAAATTAATAAACTTATTTTTATTTTATGATTTTTTAAATCAGATAATAACACAATATGATTTAAAATAACCTTAATTTAGTATAATAAATTATTATTATCTTATTATATATTATTATTTTCTTAAAAGTTAAAATAATATTACATTAAACAATATCATAATATTCATATAATCAAGGTTACAAAAAATTATAAAAAAATGAATGAATAAAAGTTTAAAAATGTACTTAAACATGTTTTATTTAGTCTGCATTCTAGTTAATAGTAGATTCAAATCGTGTTGAATCTGCAGTCACAGTCATGCTTTGTTTACTAAATAAGTCAACAGTCAAACTAGATAGCAAAAGAGGTATAGAATGTTGTTGCCCAAGATGTAAATTTATCATATCTTCAATAGTTTTTGAAAATGGCGTTTCAAGTAAATGCATTGAACCTTCGCTTAACTAAAAACAAATAATAGAATATGTTAAATTATATGTTTTAACAATAAATTAATGTGAAATATATACACAATCAGCTATCCAGATAAAACTTAGAAGTGATTTTTTTTTCAGGTGTTTATATTTTTTCGATTTTTTCCAAGAATTAACAAATTTAAAAAAATATGGGAAAACCAGGAAAATAGTTACAATATTAAACATTATTAAAGAAAACATACAATGTATATGTAATTATTTAACCATAATACAACATATCCAAGCTGTCCTACGAAGATATACCCTTTAAATATCTCCAGAGATAATAAAGATGATCAAATTGTTTTTTTTTTTTTATATTATTCACAGGGAAGAGGACTACAAATATTTATATTTTTTCAATATTAAATGTTAATAATAATACATTTTAATGTTTAAAAAAAAAACAGAGTTTGAATATCATTATTATCTCTGGAGATATTCAAGGGGTATATCTTCATGGGACAGCCTGTATATTGTTAACAAAGCAACATCATCAACTGAACTCCGTTCAGAATTGTTTTTTTGGTAAGCAATGGTTCATCGTGGTGTTCAGATATATATTAAATTTCCTTTCTGACTACCTTCAAAACTTCTCACCATCAACAGTGGTCTACTGCTTACCTACGTGCGAAGCTGCTTACCATTTATTAGCTGGATTTCCCATAACAAAGAAAAATTTATTTTCAACATTTTTTTTTTTTTTTACATATTACGAAGAAAATAGGTGAAATTTTGACTGTAACATATAAACGAGTATTATACTAAAACAGCGATTGATATTGAACTAACAGGCAAATTTATATGTAGATAGTTAATTTATCTTATCCATTATTTTCAAAATTTGTTTTGATAGCGATGGCTTATAGCCATTCTAATTTTATCGAAAAAGTAAAAAAACTATACTTCAAATGTGTTTGCTGGCCACAAATAATAATAGGGCAGGCTGCAAGTTGAAGAACGCTGTTCTAGGCCATTATTATTTTTAAACATTTATTTCTTTGTCACTATACAGATGATGCTCCACTACTCCTTTTACCCAAATTTAAATATGGAATATCTTTTCAATAATTTGATGAAAATTAAATATTTCAACACCAAAATTGATTTAAAATTAAACTTCTATAAATGAATCTTCATTCATTTATAGAAATTCTAGTATAGGTTTGAAAATCAAAAGTGGGTAAACATAATGACAACATAACAATTAAGAATTTTTGAAGATTCTAAAGTTTTAACATAATTCATAAAAAAAAAAACTTCATGAACAGTTTGAATTTGACTCTAAATTTGATAAGCCCTGTATAAAAAAAAATTAAAAATATAAATACTTGAAACATTAAATTGTCTTCCTCATGGAAAGCAAACTGACTGGTCAGTCTATACATATTGTTCTGGAGTCCATCAACCTTATAACCAAGTAATGTGTATACTGACTCCCTAAATTCTTGACTACTTTTCTTAAAAACTTCACGTAGCCTTTGATTTTGTATTTCTTGAGTTTTTAATTTTTCTCTAAGAGCTACCAAATAATAAATTACAAACAAATTAAGTTTAGTTAAAAAAAAATATATATATTTTAAATTCAAATTGTTATAAACCTTCTAATTCTTGAGATGCATTTGATTCGACTCTGTTATCAACTACTTGTGTAAGATTAATAGAAATACCTTCTTGCATAGCTTTTATACGTTCTTTTAATTTTTCAATTTCTTGTTTAGCAGCTAGCAATTCATTTTGATAACTGTTGAATCCTAATGATGCTGGATTCATTCTTAAAAAAACACACATAAAAAAAAATATAATAATTTTGAAAGATTAAAATGTGCAGAAATACATACTTAAAGTGTAAAACTTTTGTCTCTCTTAGATTAAAATCTCCTTTCAAAGCTCTATGATCAATTTGATCTTCTAAAATAGCACAATTATGTTCTAACTGTTTACATTTATTAACAAGATCTTCCTTTTCTTTTAAAAGTAAATTTTTTTCTTCGATCCACCGTTTATTATTGTCAGTAGAAACATATAATGATGGATCAGTCTCAATTTGAGTCATGCGATTTTTATAACCATTAATAGCTTTTTCCAATACTTCCATTTTAGTATCCTCTCCATTTAAATTACCAATTACAGTTACTTCTTTTTGAAAAGAATCTATTAATTCTCTTAAATCATTTCGTTCCTAGAATGGTTCATAATTAATAAATAAGATATTTTAAAATAATCAGTAACTGGGATCAACAATCTTAATGTCATAAACCAAAACTACCACAATCATATTATTTAGGAAAATTAAATATTTACATTTATACTTTTAACTATTTGTGTAGAAATTCACATAAAAAATTTAACTATACTACTTTTTAGTTTGTAATTAAAAGATATGCAGTAAGAATATCATGATACCATGATGATATTGTATCATTATTAATATTGTATTTGTTTTACTACTTATAATAAACATTATGATTTGTTTCTATTTATATGTACGTTTCCTATGTAAATAAAAATAATTAAATTTATTTGGTCTAAAATTAATAGATTGTTGAAACCTAATCTATACAATCTGTTATATACCCATGTGACCATGAATAACTGTTTCTTTAAACGTTTGATAGTTAATTCATGTTTACTGTTATTATTTGTTGCATTGATAATTTGTTCTTTAGATTTAATTAGTTCATTTTCAACTTGTTGAAGTTTTAATTCTAATTGGGCAATACTGAAAAATGTTTAATTTTTAATCATATATAAAGATAAGTAAGAAAATAACCCATTCTTCGAATACAAAAATATAAATAAAAGATAATGTTAGTTTTATTTTTTTTTACCTGCTTTGTAATTCTCCTTTTTCATTGACAACAAACATGTCTTTTTTTTTTAGATTATCAACATAATAACGTAAATATTCTGGATAACACTGGTTTTCATCAATATTTTCACAGACCTCACGGCAAACATCTATCCATTTTTTTAATCGATCTTCACTTACAGATAAATTTGAACGTAATTGCAATGCTTCTTGTTCAATTAGTCCATGTTTATTTAATTTCGATTCAAGTGTAGCAACTTTATTTTCTAAAATTTCAGTTTGTTTAACATCATTTCTAAACACAAATAAAAAAAAAAAACATAATAATACTGAATATTTAAACAATTGACTTCAATAAATTGATAAAAGTAAAATATACCTATAAACAGCTACTTCATCTCGTAATGAAATAAGTTCGGTCTCCATTGAATTAAAACGTTTCAATTTTTCACGTTGGGTATTAACCATCATAGCATTTTCTTGCAATAATGCTAATTCATTTTCTAAACACTAAAAACAAATATTATGTGAAGTTTTATTTAATGATTTTAAAGCTTTAAAATTTTTGTTAAATTGTTAAATGTAAATTGATACTGTTTTTAAAAATAATAACTATAGCAATGATAAACTATTGCTAACAAAAAAACGATTCTGAGCACAGTTCAGTAGATAGTAATGCTTTGTCAACAATATATATGTCATACTATGGTAAAATAATTAGATGGGTATCATATAATTTCATTAATAATATTTGTTTATTATTGTACCCCTGAGTTTTTTCCCGGTTTTCCTATTTTTTCCAGTTTTCACATTTGCCGGGAAAACTCTTAGGAAAATCAAAAAATGACATCCCTAAAATACCTTCCCAGTCAGATATCCTTTCAGAACAATTATAAAAACATTATTTTAAATCTGATTAAATTTGCTGGTGGAAATTTTTTATGCTGGTTCTCCCAGATATTATGAAACACTAGAAAAATCGCCTCCCTAAATTATAATGGAGATGAAATTTCTTTTCAGAAAATAAGCTACACTCGATACATCGGAACAAGATTTCTATATCTGGTTTATAGAGAGAACGGGCCGCTCTCCGACCAAATTGAATCGCCACAGAGCATCCCCACGCCACAAAACTATCCATTTATCCCCTCCCGGATCTATCGACAGCGCTGCAACGGCGACCGCAAAAGTGGTGCAAGTGTTGTACACTGCGTTTTGAATAATACACTGTTGACTGTCGATAATCCACTGTTTATCGCCAATTGTCGTGGTGTACGCACACATCATTTTTACAGCGTTTACTTTTTTGTACTGTTTGGTAATTTTTACTTTTTTCTTCGTTTTTTTTAAATTATTTTAAAAAAATTATGTAAATATGACGAATAATTAGTATTATAAATTTGTAATTTTATCAAAAATAAAATAAAATGTAAATATGACAAAAATGATAAATTGTAATTTTAACGAAAAAAAAAATGAAATGTTTTAATATAATTATTTATTATTTATTAAATATATAACTCTGTATTATACCTACAGTGTTCAATAAAATATTAAATAAATAAATAATTATACAAAAAAAACAAAGTCTGGATTATTATAGAAGGTGCTTGTATATACGATAGCCTACGATTTGAAAAATCATCAACAGGTTATAAAACAGCAAAGGTAAAAAAACGTGCGATGCGCGATGTCTGATAATAATAACAATTGAATTTCTACAAAATATTCTAGCGGTGTATAGTCAAAAACCGACGACGGAAGAAATGACAATCGGCTGCCTTCGCTGAAATCAAGTTATGTGGAGGGGTAAACATATGCACACGCGGCCCGTTCTCTCCTGAAACAGACTATAGTAGAAAAGTTTGAACAAATCGAGGGTATTTTGTGATTAAAATAGTCCAAGTAAGTGATTGCTGAGTCTTTCCTTATCTTGGATTTAAACTCGGAATCCTTAGTAGGATATTAGGCATGTCTAAAACCTATATTACCTATATGGCCATTAGATCACAATAAATATTATTTAAGATAGACAATATACAGTTATTTAACATAACATATAATATTCACATAATATCAGAACTCCAAATTCTACAATTTCAAAACTAAGTCAGTCTGCTTAATTCTGACTTCAACATCGTTCTTTAATCGTCAATATAATATATTCAATACAAAAAATTTAAAAATTAGATTTGTTCCACAAAATTTTTTACTCAAATGATTTTCGTCAAAATTTGATATTAAAATTCTATTATAAAAAAAAAACATTACATAAAACTTAATTTTTTTTTTTTACCAAAAAGTAAGATTTTTAACGAACCTCCTGTTAAATGTTCACGCATTTCTATTAAGTCTAACAATTTTACCACACAGTACCTACCCAATAAAAATTATGTATAAAACTTTTATGTGACAAAATAATTCCAATGAGATCCAAAGATAAGTATGAATTGTAAGAGATAATTGGGTACGATTGAGAATGTTACGAGGACAGTCAATATACGCGAAGTGGGAGATTGATCAAGTTGAAGTTTAGAACAAGGGTGGCCAACATCAAATAGTTGTGATAAAGGCAAAGAAAAAATAAATTATTTTAAACGTTCATGAAAAAAATTAACTTTATAACACAACTATCTGAATTATTGTCAATTGATGTGTTAATATCCTAATCACAATAGGTTTCCAAAAATGCAAAAAAACAGCTAACTTGATCAATTCAGAGTAAAAATAAAGAACAGTCTAAATCATTATTTCTTTTATGACAAATAATTTAAATTACTTTAATTTTTTGGTTTGCAGTATTAATTTTAACTTGATCATTTTCTAACGCGTTAATTTCAATTTGCTTTTTTCTTAAATTGCTTGTAAGCTCTTCAATATAGTTTTCATTTGATCTAAGTGTCTGTTTCAGTTCATTTAGTTCATAATCAGCACAATTTCTAGATGCAGCTTCATCTTGGTATTTTGTAATCTCTAAATTAACCTATACAAATAAATTAGAAAACACAAATTTAATGACAAACTATAATAAAATATTTTTTTTATAATTAATAATTTTTATTTTATTCAAATTTAGGTATAATTCAAAAAGATTTAAAAATATTTTACACTTAATAGTTTATCTTCAAGATCTTTCTTTTCCTTTTCAAGATTTGATATTCGAAAATTATTCTCTTCAGTTACAGTCTCAAGTTTTTTCATTAAATTATCATTTATTACTTTTAAATTAAATTTATCATTTCGAATTTCTTTTAGTTTGTTATCTAATTGATCAATCTGTAATAATTTAAGTAATAGTTCAATTTTTTATCTTAAATGAGTTATATAAAATTGTAATTGTTCAAACCGTTAATTTCGATTTTTTGAGATTGTGTTCTAAGGCAGACTTTTCTTTTTCAAACAAAAGATCAGATTCCTTTTTAAGGTTAAAAAGTTTTGTATTTCTTTCTTGCAGGGAAGCAATTTCTGCCTTAGCATTAACCAATTCTTGTTTTGTATGACGTGATTCCCATGGCGAATATTCGGGTGCTACAATGAAAAATTGTTAATTTTTATTCTTAATTTTTTAAATATTTTTACAACTCAATCATACTTATCATAGATTCTTGCAAATCAGGACTACACAATCTTTGTCGTTTATTTGATAATAATGAATCATTTGACGACGATAGTCCCATCATGCTAGTATCAAAATGCATTCTTAATGGTTTTGACCGATTATTTGAACGCAAATCATCCAATATCTTAATTACAAACGTCTGATCATTATCTTTAGATTGATTCATGATGCTGTTGAGTTCCAATTATAAAAATATGTGTACCACAAACTATTTTTGTTAAAAAAAGTAAGTTTAGTTTCTAAAAAACGTTCCTTAAATTCCTTATTTCAACAGTGATGGCACCAGTGGCATAAGATAGTGGCTTTATCACTCGCCTAGTATACAGGTCAATTAATGAAATGTGATTATAATCAGCGATGGAATCGATGATGCCATCATGGATGAATATAAAGAATAATAAGGTATACATTATAAAATAAAATAAATTATGTCATTATAAAATTAATAAAGACAGGTAGATAAATTAACTAATATTAATATATTTTAGTATACATAAAATAAGTAAGAAACTGAGTACTCCGTTCATTTACCTTTCAAAAGTAACTATTAACAGTTGTTTTTGTCAATTTGATTTTAAATTTGAATTAAATTGAATTATTTTGAATGTAAATGAGTATAACAGTTAATTGATAAAAACACAAATCTAGTTTTGGAAGTAATATAAGGTAATTCAAATATAATATATTAATCATAATTCATTACCAAACATATAACTATTATTTTAGTCATGAAAAACCATAGTAAATAAGTAACAACTATGAATATTATATTATTTATATTGTTGTATTTAGAAAATAAAACAAAGAAGTACTAAATTAATGTAGCATTGTAATAGTTGAAACTTTTATTTGTTGAGGTTATGTTTCTTATCACTCGTCTTATCAATTCTAAATCCTTTATCTAAAACCGTGCCTAAATTCATCTGTCAATTTAGCAAAATCTTAGATCATGTACTCTTATGATCCCAGAGTGGAATATTCAACAGGGTAATGAAGTTTGGGAACACTTCTTTGTTTATTTATTATTGCATTGGATTTTGGGGATCACTTTCTTTGCTCCAGAAAATATTTTTTTCTCTATACTTTTGTGCCACATTTCACATTTCATCTTTTGTTCCAAAAGTCACTCATTCCAACTCATATTTGTTAACGGCTAAATTTCCATTTTTTATTAGGCACATATAACTATATATAACTATATTTTGTTCCAGAGGTTTCTTATTCTAATTTTCAATTCACAATTTTGATCTTGAGTGGAGCGAGAAGCTTATAGTTTTAAACAATTGGTTTTTTTTCTGTGGACAACTTTTCTACAAGAAATCTTGATCCGATTATTAAGTGTAGCACATTTTCTTAATGGAAATCAGAATAGGGAAGTCATTTTTTAATTCTCCTAGAAGTTTTCCTAATAAATGGGAAAACGAAGAACAACGGGAAAATAGATATAATATTATACAAATATTATTAAAGAAAATATATACTTAATGCCTACGTAATTATTTTATCATAATATCATAATAGGACATATATGTATACGAAGTGTGGCTATAAAAGTTATTCTACATTCAAATGCTCCCCTTCAATATACTCCCCTACCCTCTTCACACACCGTTTCATTCGTTTCTTCCATTGCTCGAGGCAGTGCTGGAAGTCTGTTTTCGTAAGACCATTCAGGAGTTCCGCCGATTTTTGTTTCACCTCTTCCATCGACTCAAACCGGAATCCTTTTAAGGCAGACTTTATCTTCGNCTCCTCCCCTCTTCACACACCGTTTCATTCGTTTCTTCCATTGCTCGAGGCAGTGCTGGAAGTCTGTTTTCGTAAGACCATTCAGGAGTTCCGCCGATTTTTGTTTCACCTCTTCCATCGACNAACTCATTCGCGCAATGTTGCCAAAACTGTCAAATAGTAATGTTGGTTCACAGTTTGACCCTCTGGAACCCATTCAGTCATCACGATGCCGTTGATATCGAAGAAAACGATCAGCATGGTTTTGAATTTGGATTACGACTGAATTGGATTCCGGTGCACTCTCGACCTTCAGAAAATAATTTATGCCACTCAAAAACACGCGCCCGAGATAGGAAATCTTCACTTTAGGCCTCTTTTAACAACTTATAGCACTCAGTTGGAGTTTTTTTTTAGTTTAACGAGAAAATTTTACGTTTATCCGTTGCTCATGTTTTCGTCACACATGGTTTTCGGCACGAGAAAAAAACACGTTCGTTTCAAACCACTACTGCACAAATACTATAATAGTGACGAAAACGTGTTTTGGTACGTGCATAGATAAGATATCTAGATACCCAACGCATTACTCGTTTTTTCACTACCCCTCTAGGCGAGCAGTCTCGTTATTTAATAGCCATACCTCGTATATCCTAACAATATACATATATAAATATATATATATTGTTGACAAAGCAACACTATTAATTGAACTGCGCTCAGAATCGTTCTTTTGATAGCAATGGTTTATCGTTGCTTAAAGATACTTATAATACATATAATTTCCCCTCTACTACCATCCCAACTACTCACTTACAATAGTAGCCCACTCACGTGCGAAGTTGCCCGGCTTTTTGTTCAAATGTATAAATTTATGTTTTTACGAGACAGTTTCTTGGCTCAAGTGCTCGTCTCTTCGAAAATTGTGACAACTCGGTTACCGAAAAATATATAGGTTGTCTATTTAAAAGCATTTACGGTGTCAACTATTTTTACCTTTATTGTTCTGATTTTTATCATTATAAACGCATGTAAGTTTTAAATTATTTTTACTATTAAGTTCATTATAAAGTATTACCATTGACCATTGGCTTTCTAATTAATTTAAATTAGTTAACTAATTTATTTTAGGTTTATGATGATTTTACCCATAAACATATTAATATGTCATATCAAAAAAGTAAGAACTGTGACTTATGAAAAATATTACTGTCGGTGAAATTTGTTTTGTCTTGTGTTATGAATGTTCGTATGCAATGTAACTCCCACTATTGTGGATTATAGGATAATTTTCTATGAGTCATTTATATCAAACTTTGTATGAGGCAAACAGTTTATACTCTAGTTTAGTTTAGTCTAACAGACTGGCGATACTTAATTTTTTTTTTTAATTTGTATTTTAATTCATACAACTAGAACATTTAAGAAATAAACAGCTCTACAATTGTATATATATATTATTTTTTGTCACCCTTATTTTTGGTGGTAAAACCTCTATCTACTTATGATTTTCAAATGACAACCTTTATTAAAAATTCCGTAAATGGAGTATTAATTAAAATCAGTGGCGGCTCGTACTATGGGGCACACGGGCACGTGCCCTACCTACAAAATTGAAAGAAAGAAGGAAAATTATATTAAATTAAAATTGAGTTGGTGTTTCCATCATAATAATATAGTTGGCATATTATTTAAAAATATTATAGAAAAAAAAAATGTAATCAAAATAAATACGGATGCTCCTGCGTACAATACGTACGATACTATATTATACAGGCACAACGAATTTGTGCCCGCCGCCGCCCATGAACGGTATTAGATTTCTCCCACTTTTCGACAAGAATTAATACGGCGTTGCCGGGCACAGTCGAACCGTGCCCGGATTCTATTTTTATTACGATTCACTGGATTTTTGTCGGTCTTATCGACTTCGTATTGATATCGTCGACCGTCTTTCGTGGCACAGACTTTATATTTTGATAATATGATAATAAACTGTCATTTTTTGTTCATTCTCTGTTCGTGTTTACTATCGTTTTGTATGTATAATTTTATATTTACAAATTTACAATACATAATTTATTAAATATTTGTATTATTATTCTTTCTGTTCGTTGTTTACTGTCGTTTTGTGTTTGTAATTTAATATTTACAAATTTACAATACCTAATTTATTAAATATTTTTTCTATTATTCATCATGGATAGATATTATGTTACGGTCGAGTATTTACTGAGTATCAACTTTTCAAGTTTACCTTTTGAGAAAAAGGTTGAAATAAAAAACGAAGGTAGGCCAATGCCAAATTTAAATATAATACAAATTAAAAAAACAAAGTCTAGAGAATTTAAAAGAAGTTTTAATAAAGACGTTTATTCAAAACATGATTGGTTATGTGGTTGTTCTAAAACGAACCGTTTGTTNAAATTACACATCGAAAAATCTACAGTATTTAAAGGCCTTTCTAAAATAATTCAAAATGAAATGTTGGAATGTATGCTATTTGTTATTCAACAAAATATAAAAAATGAAATAAAACACGCAGATTTCTTTTCTATTATATCTGACGAAACAACAGATATCACGTATCAGCACAATTTCAAATGTCCATAATATTTCGTTATATTTTATCCGGTGGTACGCCAGTTGAGAGATTTTGGGGTTTTTTTAATCCATCTGGACATGATGCAAAGTCACTATCAGAGTGCATAAAATATAACTTAAAAGAAGTAATAGAAAATCACGGCAAATTAATCTCGCAAAGTTATGACGGAGCTGCTGTGATGAGTGGTCGACTTTCCGGCGTTCAAAAACTCATAAGAGATGAATATACAAATGCACATTTTGTTCATTGTTATGCCCACCAGTTTTAACTTAAAATACATTTAAGTGTTGAAATTTTTGATTTTTAATTTTAAGTTTAGGTTAGAGGAGAGTAATGGAGTATCATTTGTGTGGCGATACGGCGCGCAGTGTTAATAATGCATCACTATTCTCCTCCAATTCAAACTTAAAAGTAGAATACATCGTCAACGGATCGACGGAAATCAAAAATTTCAACACTTAAATTTATTTTAACCAATACTCCGTCTATTTATGGAATTTTTAATAAAGGTTGCCATTTTAAATTCAAAAGTAAATAGAGATTTTACCTCTAAAAATAAGGGTGATAAAAATTAACATAGATATACAATTGTAGAGCTGCTTGTTTTTTAAATGCTCTAGAAAACAAATACCGGAAAAATTGAATACTTTCCGAAATAATGAATGTACCCACTTAAATGGATCACCCGTGGTATATGTAGTTAATAACGGGTATCAGACAGGTTGTTCTATAGAGGTTGTTTCTTTAGAGAAATATCACTACACCTTATCGATTTCCGATTAGCAAGTGGCAACCCATAGAGTAATTAATTTATATGGCAATCATTCATAAAAATTATGATTACATTTTTTTTCGTAATGACGAAAAAAAATCATGTTATATGGTTATAATTTATATTAGCACGGATGATTAGATCGTTATAAATTAGGTAAATAGGGGGGGGGGGGTTCGGACCCAATAGACCCCCCCCCCGTAAACACTTCACTGTACGGGGATTAGGACTAAAAATGTTTATTTTTAATTTATTTTTTTTAGTAAAGAAATTAACTTTTTATTTTATTATTTTTGGAAAATGTTAGTATGGTATTATTTTATTACTATGATAAAATAATTACATAGGCATTATATATTTTATTTATTAATATTTATTTAATATTGTACTTATTTTACCGTTTTTCCCATGTTTTTTCACGATTTTTCCTATTTATTGGGAAAACTCTTGGGAAAATCGAAAAATGATCTCGCTCAAGTACCTCCCCAGTTCTATTTCTTATTAGGATAAGTGTTATACGTCTTGTAAAACGGAGTAAGATTTCTTGTAAAAAAGTTGTCTACAGGAAAAAAATAAAATAAATATTTTTTGCGAAACCATAAGCTTCTTCGTACCACTCAGAATCTAAAAGAGTATTTCTAAAAACAATTAAATTCCTAAATCTAAAAGTTGTATATTCTCGGAAACACATTAATTCGATCGAAAATAAGTTGATCTTTAAAAAACGATTTATAGTAATTATTCATTAGTTTCACCATTTAAATTTTATCACAATCAAAACCAATAAATTCGCTATGCTTTACATATGAATCCGACATCACTACTGTCCGAAGCGCATTTTATCTATTTACGATATTTTTACTTTTTTTCTACCCCAAGAGCCAGACTTCAATTCATTATTTACCTATTGAAAGTGGTAGCACTGTCCAAGTCATGAATTCTTCCTCATCACCGGTTCTAATTCTTCTTATCTTCTATATTACTTTATGATATGAATGCAAATAGCGGTTTTCCTATAATATACATACATATTATTATGTTTAGCGGCACTCTTGTAAATTGCAACTTGCAATCGTACCAGATACTGAAATATATCACAGATCAAACAATTGAAACAGTTTATTTTTGCAGAAACAATTTACAACTTGAATGGTTTTTGATTTTTTATAGCTATAGTTTTCATCTTGTTATTTATAGTATTCATTTTCACGTTTAAATATTAATTAAATTGTAATTTGAGTGCCGATTGAATTTTCCAGTATTCTAAAATGCACATTAAACATGTATGTATTGAATTTGAAATATACGTATTATCATGCCAAGTTTATATAACGTTTTCTGATAATGTACCTATTGATTATGACATCGAAATGAATATAAAATCAATTAAAATAACATTAGCAGAGAAAGATATATTTTTTTTACAAGTTAAAGAGTATACATTTGAGGAAGATGATGTTAGAGATATCAAAGTTTATGGCAACAAATTAGTATTCAGAGCTCAATTAAATAGTTGTCCTGATAAAGAATCATCTTGCTTTTCATTCACATCCAAATACATGCCAGTATTAAAAAATGATGAAGAAGTTCTCATTACATGTTGCTCTTGTCAAAATTTGTTTAATAGCAAATCATATAGCTTTCGTAGAGTTTTGCCTGTAGAAATATGTGATGTCAATCATATGTTTTGTCACGGAGGAACTGAAAATATGGTTTTTCAGCCACAAGATGATGATTGCTACTATGACAAAGTATCAATTTACATAAGAAATAAACATTGGACTTCATCGAATGCTATCAAGTGTCAAAATTGTAATGTATGTTTAGGTGTTTGTGTAGAATATGGTTTAAGATTATGGTTGGATTCTATCAATATTAAATTTGGAAATTATGATGTACAAACACATGCTTTACCTTATGACTGTTTTGCAACCATTGTAGATGATATAATTAAAACAATGCTTGGACCAATTTCACATATTATTATGAAATATAAAGATTCGGAGAATTTAAATCATTATCTCTTAATGAAAATCATAAAAAAGAATGAATTTGCTATTGCTTTAAATCCTAGTTGTAGTAATGTTTTAACACTCGATAGAAAAAAGTGCTCAAGTATTATTTGGCATACATCTTCTGAATTTGTGGAAAAATGGAGAAATGATTATTATGTTACAGAAATACAAATATCAGAAAAAATGTACCTTAGTGCTGTTAAAAATTTAACTGAAATTAATAATCAATTTCTTATAGGAAATTATTCAACAGGACAAGAAAAATCTAAAAAATCTTACTTATTCAATGATTAAATTCAATAATATTTTAATATTATGTATTTTGAAACCAATATTTTAAAACTAACTATATTACCAAGTACTATTATATACACTATGCTGTTCAGTAATATGATATAAATTTAAAAAATGTTTGTTTCCCTATTATTCATCTATTTCATATGTAAATAACCCTGTTTTATAGTAAGTTATTATATTGTAATATTAATGTGATACCTTCATTTTAATTAATATAAATTATATAATTTTAGTTTATATTAATTACTTAGTACTATCAAAACAGCATAAATATCTTCAATCTTCATGAATATAAAATATATGTTGATTAAATTATATATTTTGGGCTAATATTGTTTAAATTGTAATAAACACTAAAATGTTAGGTTTCTATCTGTATATGATTTGGGATGATTTCAGATAAATTTAATATCTGATGAAAGAAAATAAAATGTATGATTATAACTATATTTGTCTATTTTTTAAATATAAAATGTACGCTATATATATAAATAAAATATTAACATTTTTTTTTTTTTTTTGAACTGAATATGATGGTACAATTTAAATTTACTTTTCATTCATGAGCTATAATACAAATGCTGGATACACACACACACAAAAACAATACATATATATATAATAATAATAATAATAATAACAACATGCCAAGTTTATTTTTTTTAATTAGCCATAGTATGTGGACAAAAATTAATAGCCAGTGGTTGTTTATGGATTGATGAGATAACAAAGTGCCTAAATTTAAAAATGATTATCTAACTGGTGAATTTAGGAAGTTTTTCTTTTTAAATTTTCCTTGGTTTTTTAATAATGTTTATCAGTTGTTTTGATACAAAACAGGTTGTTATCTTTTTATATTTGATAACGTTAAATAATTAAAATAAATACTTCCTAGTTCNTGAATATTAACCTAGTTTTTAATAAAAACTTTGTAATTTTTTAAAAAATGTATGCACGATTAAAAAAGTATTTGTTTTAAATTAATATAAACACTTTTTTTTGCATATATTTGTTGAAAAATAGGTATATTTGATACATTTTAAGTTACATAATTGCATTTTTCGAAATTTGTGTATGTATATTTTAAAGAAATTTAGATCATTAACATCCGAGCTTTAATTAAGAGGAAAAGATATTAAATTATAATTATCTATTTTTAAATGATAAATTGATAACTCTTCCCTACTCCTAAAATCAAAACATTAAACGGCAAGTCTAATATTAGAATTATGCACAATTATTAACATTTTTAGACAAATATTCTCTATTCGAATCTGTGGTTAAAAGTGGGGTTCTTATTTATAAAACTAAAGTTTATACTTATTTAAGGTACGTGGAGTAGTGGTAAAAAATTAAAAATCCATCTGAAATGAATCCACAATGGTTTAAAAAAAAATTAGAAATCAAATTCAATTAAAATTTCCATCCCCGAAGAAAACTGCTGATTCATGATAACAAAATTACTCTTTATATACTATTCTTTAATGTAAATATTGTAACCTTCTAGAGTAGTAGATTTCTGAGATAATATTTACATGTTAATCAGCTGTTTTGATACAAAACAGGTTGTTACCTTTTTATATTTGATAACGTTAAATAATTAAAATAAATACTTCCTAGTTTTTGGCAAATTAGTTATTTAGTAATTACTAGTTACATTTACCTAATATTGTTACCTGACCACTACAGCTACTTAACTCATGAATTTTTTATACTTGTGAATATATTTAATTTAACTTTCCAAAGCTATTAATAAAGGTTTAAGTTTTTATTTTTATTTGACCTTTTATATTCAACTTCAATTTGATTTAAAATGTTAAGAAGATATATTTTAAACAAAACTAATACATTTATCAACTACCGTTATGCTTCTCAATCTATGTTACAGTCAACAATTGATGACAAATTAGGTATAATATATAATTTGTTTTGTTATATTAAATTATTTAGTTTTAAGAGAACATAAAATAATAATTTAATTTGTTCAGGCATAGCTACATTGGTAATGAATAAACCACCTGTAAATAGTTTAAATCTGGAATTTTTAGAAGAAATTAAATCTCAGCTTACACAATTTAAAAATGATAAAATTCGAGGAATGATATTAACATCGGTATTTATATCAAATTTATTAAAATATGTTAATTACTCAACTATATAATATTATTGGTTATTTATTAATTATTATATTGAATAATCATAATAAAATATTTTATTTTAGGACTTGCAGAAAATATTTTGTGCTGGTTTAGACATAACAGAGTTCTCTAATCCAAATCCTGAAAGATTATCTAAAATCTGTACTACTTTTCAAGATACATGGCTTGCACTTTATTTGACTCAATTTCCAACTGTAGCTGTTATTAATGTNTTATTTCCGTTTAATGAACTACAACATTAAGAGTGAAAATACTAATGTTCTATAAATAAGTTTTAAATTCCTTTTTGTTTACCCTAACTTTTAATATACTTTTTATGTAATAAAATCTTTCATAACAACTGAAGGCAATAAGGATATTAACTAGGAGTTAACCAGTAGTGCTAAAAACTAAAGTATATTAGTCATACAAAAAATAAAGCAATTATTTAGAATTATTATTAATACATATTACTATGTACAGTTGACATTGTACAAATAACATAGTTATGCAATAATAGTTCTTATTATAAGAATGATCTATTTTAGAAATCCACTATTTTATTTTATTTCCAATAGTCCTTTAAAACAAAGATCTGATACTGGTGGATGGCGTAGCTACTGTTTTATTTTTTTAATCAATACAGGCTGAAACTCAAAAATACAAAGAGGTATTAATGAACAATTACTTAATTAACATAGAGACTTAAAATAAACTAAATAATTGAAGTTGGATTATTCAACTATTAGTTGTTTAATAATTTTATTGAAAAAAACATACAGGGACATAGTCCAGCAGGTGGCTGTTTGTTGGCCATGAGTTGCGATTACAGAGTTATGGTTGGACCAAATTATACTATTGGATTAAATGAGACTAAATTAGGAATCGTTGCTCCAAAATGGTAATTTTTAAATTTTAATATAATAATTTTTGTATAAAAAACTGGTTTATATTTTATTAACAAAAAAAAAAAAAACAATTAAATATCACGTTATTTACTAGGTTTCAAGATTGCATGGTTGCAGTTATTGGTCAAAGAAAAGCTGAAGTATCATTGACTACAGGAAAGATGTATACTACAGATCAAGCCCTGCAAATTGGTTTAGTTGATGAAAGTGTTCCAGATGTAGACAATGCCATTAATAAAGGAATACAATTTTTAAATAATTTTCAAAAAATATCTCGTTAGTAGTTTTATATTTTTTCTAGAACTGTTTAAATTATTAATGACTAATAAGATACTTATTTCTAATATTACTTATAGCTTGGGCATATAAAATGACCAAAGATATCAGACGTCAGCCAACTGTTCAATGGTTAATTGACAATAAACAGAAAGATCTTGACTTCGTTGTGAAATCTATGATGTCTCCCAATGTTCAAAAAAGTATTGGACTTTATTTACAATCCTTAAAAAAATAAAACCAACAGAAATTGGTTTTAATTTACTATAAGTTCTTAAAACTAATAGAATACTATACGTTTTTACATTAATGAAAAACAGGTTTTGATTCAAGTAGATATTATTTCATTGTATAAATTAACAAACAATTCCCAGTTAAATATTTTATTGAATACATGCAATGTATTTATTTATCATTAGGATGTTATAAATAAATATAAGATTTTGAGATCTACAATGGTATGGCTCAATTTTGGATAAACTATATGTTATTTTTTAAATTAACGAAATGACAAATGAAAAAAAAAGTATGACTATAATATTCCAAAGCTACTAACCTAATGAAAGAAAAACGGATTAATTTTATATAATAAATAAATTATAGGAAACCTAAACCTATGATTTATTAATTTTTCTATTTACCAACAAAAAATTGTACTAATGAGATAACTTGCATTATTACATGATTTGTCTACTGTGATTTACTTATTAAAATTACAAATTTATACATCTTATGAGAAAAAACTCTTTCATTTCATTTGCATTAATTATTAGGTATGTAATACAGGGTGATTATTTTATTATAAAACACTAATTATTTCGCAAAGTATACTTTAAAAAAAAAAAATGTTTAGCAATTAAAAAAAACCAGATGTAAAATATTTTTGTGTCATCTAGAATCTAGATTATGTGAATGGCCATTTAAATAATGACATCCAATGTTTATATAATATTACTGTTCTCTACTTGTAGAACTCCACTACAGCTTTAGATCTAAAGTTGTGTTTTCTGCGTATACAAGGTTATTTTGGTTTTGATTTTTTTTTTTATCATTATGTAATTGTTTAAGCATTATTTTAAAACCATTTTTAATTTTTTACATCAACTCCATGTACCTTAAATAAATATAAACTATTGTTTTTCAAATAGTAACTATAATTTTTGAATACAATATGTTAATGAGTTATCAGTAGAGCTCTGATGTTTATGATTGCTTATTTTTTTTTATCATTCAGAATTATATTCGAATATGATATAAATTCAATTCATGTAATTTAGATTTCAAATATGCAAGCTTAATTTGTATATATTTCAATATTTTACATCTTCGAGCATATAAATGCATATATTGATTATTTCTAGATTTAGTAACATATTTTAAACAATGTTAATTATAATATTCAAAATTTGTGTGGTAACTACTAACCAAACACTTTATATCACTATGTATACGTTGGCATTAGCGCTATCGATAAAAGTTGTTGATATACCTACTGTAGGTAGGTACGGTGGGTAGTTTATAAAAACATACTGTCAGATCGTTGAAGATCTTTCAAATAAAATAAAAGTAAAATAATAGTTATACAATGTAATCCCGAAATTTAAAGTATTTAACCTATGTATCATTTTCATTTTTGAATTACAGTGAAACCTCTGAATAGCGGACACTCTCGGTCGCCGAAATTTTGTCCACTATTTAGAGGAAAACATGTTTTTTAACAAATAAATAAATTCAATAATTTTATTTTATATTATTTTTACATTAATTGAATACACGATAAAACTAACATTTATGAAAAAAAAACAGTTACCTAAATTTTTCTTTTATTTTTACATTAATTAAATACATACATCTTAAAAATACATACATCATTTCTGAAAAAAAAATTTTTTACTTTAGTTTGTTTACTAATTGCAGGCGTAGTTATTTCGTATGTTAAGGCATTTTTTAATTGGACTGTGTTTGAGAACAATGAACTATTCTGTACCTCGATAGAAGAAATATATTTACGTATGTCTTTTACTGCTAGCAATGCCTCTCGTAGACTTCTTATTTNAGGAAACCTAAACCTATGATTTATTAATTTTTCTATTTACCAACAAAAAATTGTACTAATGAGATAACTTGCATTATTACATGATTTGTCTACTGTGATTTACTTATTAAAATTACAAATTTATACATCTTATGAGAAAAAACTCTTTCATTTCATTTGCATTAATTATTAGGTATGTAATACAGGGTGATTATTTTATTATAAAACACTAATTATTTCGCAAAGTATACTTTAAAAAAAAAAAAAATGTTTAGCAATTTAAAAAAACCAGATGTAAAATATTTTTAATTACTTTAATTCAATATTAAATCACATGCCCATCTGGCTGATGGACTCCAGAGCCTATTTTTAGAGGTATCTCAATCAATGTCTGAATTACCTTAGATCAAAAAGAGAACGTTAGTCCCGCATCTGTTGTCTCAGTCCAACTATAGGGTAAGATACACAAACAATGATTACGCAGAATGAGTAAAACTAGCTTAGTTTTGATTTTAGAGTAAAAGTACCAACTATGAAATTTATAGAGAATAATATTTTGGAGGGAATGGCATGGGGTTTTTGTATTATTTAAAATAAACAGCTCAATATTTGCAGTTAATTATCAGCGTTCTCTGTGGACGGACGTCTGTTGGTTTCATTTTCGCTTATCTTATAAGAGTGGTGATATTTTTCGTTAATTGGAGTAAATCAATATGCTGTGTACCGTGTGCAATGATGACATATATGACAATGAAGAGATAAAGTGTGCAAAGTGCAAAACATTTTTGTATTTCACATGCGCTGGTTTCCGAGAATCTAATTTTAGGAAAATGAGTTCTATAAACAAAGGAAAATTGTGCTGTTCAAACTGCAAAAATACAAGTATGTCAATTTCTGATACACATAATGAAAAAGAAATCATACTGGAAAAAGATTCAAGAAAAATATTATTGGACTTAAAAAATTCAGTTGATTTCATGAGTAAACAATTTGATGATTTTTCTACACAATTGCGAGACATTACAAAATCGGTTAAAGTTATCAGCGGAGAAAATAAAGTATTAAAAGAACAGAACAGAAAATTAAACTGAAAAATGAATTAACGGTAGTTAATAAAAGAATAAATATCATAGAGCAGAATCTAATTGGAAATCATATTGAAATAATTGGAGTTCCTGAACAAACGAAAGAAGACTGGAAAAATATTAGAAACAATTTCAAAAGTCTTGGGTGGAACTACATCTGTGGAACATGTGTATCGTACCCGTTCAAAAGTCCAAAATAAACCTGGGAAAATTGTAGCTGTCTTACACTCGAACAATAATAAAAAAACACTGATGGACCTGGCAAGAAAGAAGAAATTAAAAGCAAAGGATATCAATACAGAATGGAGCAATGAAGGTATATATTTAAATAACGTTTTAACTCAGACAAATAGTAACTTATTCTATAAGACAAGAATGTATGCCAAGGAATATAAATATAAATATGTTTGGTGTAGAGATTGCAAAATATTTTTGCGAAAAGACGAAAAAAATAAAGTTTTTGTTATAGAGGACGAGTATACTCTAAATAACATTGTTTAATAGGGGAAAAATATATATACATTATATTTATATTTATACAAATAATTACCCAGTTAATATTTTTCCAAATTATTATGCATGTTACTAATATGTTAGATTCATTTTTAAATTATAAAACAAAATACTTTGACTCTATTACTGAATTTGTTTATACTTATAATATAGAAAATAAGTTAAGTATTAATATTTTATGTTGTAATATTAGGAGTGTAAATGCGAATCTAGATGAACTACTTTTGTTCATAGAAAATGATGGACATAAAAATAATATAGATGTTATTGTGTTAACTGAGACTTGGCATGATGTGTAATTTTTGTAATGTAAATGCACCCGGTTACAATATGTTTTTCTCAAAAAAGAAGAGAAATCAAAATGATGGAATAATAATCTTAATAAAAAATAGTTTTAAGTATGAATTTTTTGAATATAACTTTGATGAGGTTAATATTGTTAAATTACTTATTAAAGCCAATAGCACTCCAATTACTTTATTTTGTATATATAGGTTTCTGTCAAATGATATTCTCAAATTTTTTACCACTTTAAACGATATTTTATCAACAGAAAAAAATGAAAGTGGGTTTACAGTGATTCTAGGTGATATAAATATAAACATAATTGGTATAGACAAGTCTGATAATTGCATATTCCCCGATAAATTTAAAACTGCAATAGTAATTCCATTATATAAGAATGGAGATAAACAAAAAATTAATAATTATAGACCAATCTCTATGTTATGTAATTTTTCAAAAATATTAGAAAAGATTATAAAAAACCGCTTAATAAACTACTTAGAAGCAAACAAGTTATTATCAAAAAATCAGTTTGGTTTCAGACCAGGTATAGGTACAGAAGAGGCTCTGTATAGTGCCACCAGCTTAATTTATAATGCACTAGATAAGGGAAAGAAAACTTTGGCAATTTTTCTAGATCTTGCTAAAGCGTTCGACATGGTAAATCATACGGAATTAATTAGAATTCTACCAAGTTTTGATATGAAAACGAGTAGTATCAAATGGTTTACAAGTTATTTATTTAAAAGGAATCAAATTGTTATGATAAATGGTGTNATGCAGATGACACATGTTTGATTTTTTCTGGTCCCACTTGGAATTCAGTATACCAAAAGTCGGAAAATGAATTGACAAGTGTTATCAATCATTTAATCTTAAAGAAACTATTGTTAAATATTAAAAAAACAGTTTTTATGACTTTTACTATTAACAAAGAAAATTTGCCTTTCGATAAAATCACTGTCCATTATTGTAGAGATAAGGAGCAATGTAATAATATTATTTGTAAATCAATTTCAAAAGTACCTTTTACACGGTACCTGGGTATTACCTATGATGAAAATTTAAGGTGGAATGTACATATAGATAACATAGTTAGGCGTTTAAGAATATCAGTGTACAAATTCTGTAAACTTAAAGATATTTTTCCTATTAACATTGTCCGTAATATATATTTATCATTATATCAAGCAGTTTTTCAATATGGCATTCGAGTATGGGGAGGTCTTACCCAGAAAGCTATTAAACCACTACAACTGCAATAAAAAAAAATTATTAAAATATGTCTAAATAAATATAGTTTAAAAGGATCTACATCTCAAAATTATAAAGAATTTAAAGTTTTGCCTATTAGTTCACTGTATAAAAAATTTGCCATTATGTGGGTAGTAAAAATATGGAAAATTGGTATAATATAGATAAATCTAAACAAACTAGGGAAATTAGGGCATATGATGCTAAAATTAATTATACGTTTACTTCTTTTGGTCAAAAATTTTATAACTCTTTAGATTTAGATTTAAAAAAACAATTAATCGAAAACCCGAAATATGTAAAAAATATTATTAAAAATTGGTTAATATTAAATATTGAATAAAATGTTATTTCATTTATATCATAAAATATTATATAATATCATTGCTTAATCTTAATTCTTATATTTTGTTCTAATTTAAATTTTATTTCAATCAACTTGTATAATTTGTATATAATTACTAAGCATGTTGATACTGTTATAATAAGCAATCTGTATATTATTGGTATGTAATATTAACTCCCTACCTTCATCAAAAGCTATGCTTAAAGAAGGTAGGTATAAATTTAAGATATATTTTATTGTTGTATTTATAATGTGTACAATTAATCTTTTATTTAAATAAATAAAAAAAAAAATATAAAAGCTATGAAAACCTTTAATTTTTCACTTTTTTAAATAACTGTAAATTATTTAATAGTTCATAATTCAAAAAACACTGATGTCATTCCCTCCAAAATATTGTTTTCTATAAATTTTTTAATTGGTACTTTTACTCTAAAGTCAAAATTAAGCTAGTTTTACTTATACTGCATAAGCATTTTTTTTTGTATGTTACCCGGTTGTTGAACTGATACAGTAGATGCGGGTATAGTATCCTTTTAATCACAGTTAATAAAACCTTTGCATCATACTGAAACATTGTATTAGGATCGGTTGTTGGATAATGGACAGTCATCGGGTAGAATATGAGTAGAATGTTTGGGAGTCATACCAAGGGTTTAGGTACAATTCTGAACAACTGGTGTAATTTTTTGATTTTTAAGTCTTAATAATCCTTAAATCTACGTTATAAATAATCATATTGATTGTCCTGAGTTAACTAAAATTTAATTTAATGCACCTATATTCAACTTTCGTAATCATTTATTATTTCATATTGACTGCTACCTCCAGAATTACAGTTACTATAACCCATTAAACTGTATGTTTATGTCTTGTAATAACTTCGCAAATTTTAATTTTTTTTAATGATCCTCTGGGTTATTATACTCTTTGTCAACTAAATAATGTATATATATTCTGTAACTATTGGTATTATTGGATGTAAATAAATAAATAAAAGTGAAATATTCACTAATAATTCATGAGTGGATTACTTATGAGTTGGTTGTTGTTTGGACAGTAAATACAATTTATATATCCTCTATACTCACATTATCTGTATTAGTGATATTTTTTTTTTGGTTTTTGTGTGATCATGTTATAATTTTTTCAATTTGACGATCAAATACCAAAATCATGTAATAGGAATTCCAATTCGTTATCTATGACGCGGTAGCCCACCAAAGTATTATATTAAAATTTAAAAAAAAGAAAAAAATTAACTCGCATTAAAAAAAGATATGTTTATACTTTACATTTTTTTCTCATTTATAATAATCAATACATAATGACTAATTAAATATATCACTGCATCTATATTAAGATGTACCTACAATAAAATACTTAAAAGTAAAAGTTTACATTCTCGGCTCATCAAATATTATTATTATTATTTTAATAGCTCTCTGTGAAAAAAGGTTGGTCACCACCACTGATCTACAATGTAAATATATACTTGTCCAAAACTACCTTATCCCAGGGAGAATACAGTTTTTAGAAAATGTATAATATTAAGTATCTTATTTCTCTAAGCAAATATCGGTTTATATTTATAAAATATATAACTATATTTATTATACATTTACATCCAATCATAAAATTAAATTCAATATTTAATACTTAGCCTTATTAACTGTATTATGTAATTTTAGTTTTGGAAATACATATTGTAAATGTTAGTTATAAGTCCCCATACAAACAAGTTTAGCGGAACTCACATAGATACTTAGAATAATTCTTCTATTATCTATGGGGGTCCATTAACTTCTCATAAGAATAAATAAAACATAAAAACAATATTAGTTTGAAGTTTTATTTCTCACTAAATATAATTTTTTGATTATCTAAAATTTATTAGCAAATAACAATTTAAATTACTATTAATAAGCATTAGTTATTGCCAATTGGGCAATAATTAAACTATTACCTATGATTAAATGATTTAAATTTATTTCATAGTAAAGAATGAAACATATTGAATGCATGAATTTTGAATTATATTTGGTTTTTTTTTTTTATAGTCAATTTGGTTTCTAATCAAACATCTATATCAATACTGTCTAAAAGTATTAAAAATCTTTTAAGTTTTTACAAATATCAAATTTATCTTAGAAAAAAAAAAATAAATATTAATTGAAAAACTTAGTAACAGAATTTCATGAAAAAAATGCTGTTTATTCAGCAATAATAACAGTCTTTTTGTGCTTGTTCTAGTTACAATATAAACAAATTAAAATATAATTAGCATCAAGTACTACTAAACGTGTTTGAAAACATTTGAACAATTTTGTAACAATAGTCCTAGTTAATATTAGTGTTTTATTTGCACATTGTAATACGAATCATTAATTAATATACATATTATATATTATAGTTTTGAATAGGAAATGTAAAACATTTATTTTGAATTTTGAGTTACAAAAAATTTATTATAACAAAAAGATTAAAAAATAAATCATAGTAATGTCTTATACCTCTTCTTTTGATTATTAATACTATTAGTTACCTATTAATTATTGTAGGTATATATGAAACATAAATCTCATTTTGAATTTAATTTTAGTATATTATTATAAATAAATGTTTCAGAAATTAAGTGAGCAAAATTATTATTCATCAATATAGTTTAGTATATGTAATGTAAACATACATACAAACAACTTACATAATTCAAATAGTGATTACTATAAATATAAAAGAGAAAAATAGCAGCAGTACATAAAATTAAAAATATTAACTAGGACTAATTATACATTATTGAAAATTACATAAATAACAAATATGACAAATGGACATGGCTGTTAAGACTTTGGGAAATTTGGAGGTCAAAAAAATGGCTAAATAGTTACATACATAATATTAATTAAGTGAAACATATAAATGAATATCAATTTCCACGTAAAAATTTTATTTTAGTTCTAATTTATTTATAAATTATAAAACTAGCCAATTTGAAGCAGTAACAGTTTCCATATAACATTAAAGAAATTTATTAATGTGGATAAACAAATTTTAAGAATTGTTCAAACTTATAAAAGTAGAATTAAAACAACATTCTTATGTGGAATCGCTTAAAATAGTTTACTTAATTAATATGTTTAAGACTTTATAATTATAATATTTTTTGGCGTATAATAAAAAAAATATACAATACTTTTTGATATTATATTTTAATTTGTTTTACTTATATTATTTATTCATTTTTGATGTTCAATTTGTCCATTTGTTCTAAATCGCATAAGTAAATAGTAAACATATAAACAGAGCATTAATTATAATAGACTAGATATTTAAAGAATATAATAAAGTCAGTAAGTATAACTAGTATAATATGTTGTTTATAAAGCCCAGGAATATAATTAATTCAAAATTTGTATATAGGTAAGCAATATCCTAATTATAATGTTATTTATTTTAAAATACATATCTAAGTTATAATATTATATTATTATCTAAGTTCATTTTCTAATTTAAAAAATTGATTAATTTAATATAGCAACAAAAATACACTAATACATAGAGAGTAGTTACAAATAAAATGTATTAAATATAACAGTTTAATAATTCTATCCAAATATGTGCCACCATTCACTGTAATATAAGTTTTTGTATATGATTACACCGGTATAATAGTTATTAATAGACTTAAATTACAATTTTTATTTTTAGTTTTTGAAAAGGTATATTTCATAAAGTATACTTCCCATACAAAATTGATCAAAATCTGATTAAGAAATTTAAAGATATCCGGGTAACATTTTTCTTTTTCAAAGATAATAAAATAATTGAATTTTGAATTTTTTGTAGCCAAATTTGTTCATGTTTATATTGTTTAATATTTATATTTAATAAGTTACTAAATTATTAAAATAAACAAATTTGTACAAAAAAAAAACAAAACAAGTTAAAAATAATACTTTTGCAACTTAAAATCCATAGAAGTTATCAGCAAAATAATTTATGATTTATTAATAAATTATGCAATTAATTTTACCTAAGTTAAACACAACACAGTATATAATACTAATTATAAACTACTATTAAGCAAAATAAATTACTGTATTAATAATAAATAAAACTTCTCAACAAATTAAATATGCCTGCATTTGTATACCAATGTGAATAATCAGTCTTAGAATTGATTTACTAAAACATCTGTAATATGACATCTGCCTACTAAGTGGTACTTGAAGGTTCATAAACACTTGCTGGTTGCTCACTTTAATCATAGAGCAAAAATATCGCGATACATTTATTTATTATTTAATTTGCTGCTACTTATATGGATTTTAATGTAAGCTGGATTGCAATTAAAACATTTAAACAAGTAATTTATATTTGTAAAAATGTGATTATTCTTAGACGTATACAATATATATATATAGTAAATAATTATATATATAAAAAATGTATATATTTATTTATGAGTATTAATTATTTTAATAATTTTGTTTTTACTGTATTAAATATAATACATGTTTATAATTATATTCATTCTCTACTTTTTTTTTTTTATAAAATGTATTTATTGCTTACTTAAAAGTTGTCAACTAAAACCTAACAATTATAGATTATGATAAAAGCAACAAATTTATTGGTTTTACCTTTCATTTTGTGATATACTATTAGAACATTCTAAAATTAATAATTTTACTATGATTTTTAGATTTTTATAACAATTGGGAAGCTGTAAAAAAATTTAAAAAAACTTTTATAATATACGGATATAGAAAATTATAAAATCTTGGAAAAAAAGGTGTAGGAGAGGATTATAAGTAAAATACATAGTTATTTAAATTATATCTGAAAGCAATGATAAATCATTCCTAATAAAATACGATTCTGAGTTAAGGTTTTGGTTACACATGTTTTGAAATTCAGTTATCATTAAATGTTTTATTTAAATTTATTAAAAAAAAAACTGCTACATTAAGTTCAAATTTTTATTTTGATTACTAAGTATAACTTATAATCTGGTCTACTTTTCATACCTCCCAAATAAAAACTAAAAAAAAGTAGTTTTTTCGGCATTATTAAGATAACTTATGCGCTTAATAAAGTACAAATATGCACTAATTTTATTTTTTTTTTACACATGTTGTAGATTTAATGTACCAAAATATATTTTATACCTCTTTAGCAAGGGTGTTCAATCTGTGGCTCATGGGCCGCATGCCCACGTAGTTGGCCGCATGGCCCTCACTTAAATTTCAATTTATCAATTAATTATATATATAATATTATAAACTACAATTTTTTTTAAGAATATAAATCTACAAAATATTAAAAATTAAAAAAAACTTTAAATATTACTCAATAGTATATACTATTGTATGAAAGTTTTATCTTTATTGGAATCCGATATCGATAAAAAAATTAATGTAACTAAACTAACAATACAATTATTTTAAAATTGTTTTCTTTTAATCATAATTAAATATAGTTTTTCTTGTAATTATAAATAAAATGTATGTGGCCCTTAACAACTTTTACTTACATGATGTGGCCTAGTCTTCACAAATGGTTGGACACCCCTGCTCTATAGTTATACCTTAAAAGTAAAAAATGATAAAATACGTAGTTGAAGACGAAAAAAAGATATAACACAACAGTTTTTTTTTTTTTTTTTAATAAGCCTTAAGATCATATTTAGACTAAAAATCATGACATTTTAAAATATGTATAACCAAATTTCTAGTCTCACCTAACTGGTTTATTGTTGTGTAGATATAAATTATATATTTTAACATATCATTCTTTCCCAACTTACAACAGTGACACATCCATCCGCAGCATCAGCTATTTTTTTTAAAAATATAAATAATACTTATTTCATCATAACACCATTTAACATCTTTATATTAAAGGGATAAAATTATTGCAACAAAAGAAGTCAGATTAACCAAATAAATTTTACTGTTTTTAGTAAAATTAGTATGTTATGTTCCTGGGCTTTATTATTTACACATACTAAAAGTAAATTATTAATAATTAGGTATAAAATTTTAAATAAATAATAAATTGTAAAATAATACAAATACCAGTTTTCAAAATTATCTCGTACAATCAAATTGCTTCACCCTGTCTGGTATACTGGCTCTTTCAACTGGCACACAATCATAAAGTTCATCTAAGCTGTTTATAAAATGTATCTTGTTGCCAAATTTCGAGCTTACAAATGGTTTGATCATTAGTACAAGAGTTTTCAACCAAAATGTTGGATGAACTAAATACAAAAATTTTAAATTTTTTCTTAATTTTCTATCGATCATCTTATAACAACGTTTCAACCAAGAGAAACCGGGAACACAGTCCTTAGAAGTACCTCCTTGTAAGTAGACCAGAACATAGTCTTCTGTGACCAATTGGTCTAAAGTTGAAATAACATATGCAAATAGATTATTCATAACATAATTGTAGTCTACACGATTACGATGCGGTAAATAGCATGCACTAAATACAATAATAGCATTGTGAGAACCAGTAGTCATATAACCACCATGTGATAGTACACATTTATAAGGCTCTATTACTTTCATATCAATCTTACTAACAACTCCAGTAACCGTACAAGACCTCCAATTACGTTCATCTTTCAGTTCTTCTTCAGCTGTTAACTCAGGTATAGGTTTTGAGTCGAGGTCAACATTTAAGAACCTGTCAGGATCATCACTGAATTCACTACCAGAACTTGACTCATAGTCATAATCGTTAGCTTTATTATTGACAGGTATTAATCGTCGTCGCCGTGATGGCAGATTAATGGATAATGGATTATCACGTGTCAAATGAACACTTTGTAGATTATTTGTAAGAAAAGCACATTCTTCTTCTTGTGTTTTAGAGTGTTCAGAAGAAGCATTACTAAATGACAATAAGTGGTTTAGGTCTAAATGTGTATTACTTGCCACTTGAGAATCAACTGCATAGGTATGATGGTGCAGCAAATCAGGTTGAAAAATATCCTCTGTGCTATTGGTGTTTATTGACTGACTGCCCCTTATGTCCTTTTCGTTGTCCATTGTATATGTATCTTATACGACTGAAACCAAACCATTATATCATCTTCATTAAATTCCATTTTGTTTTGTAATTATTTTATTTTTTACTCCACTGAAATATTTAATTGAACTCAATTGACAACATAAATAGTTGAATGATTTATAAATAAAATATGCAATGAGATTTTTTTAAGCAACAACTAAGTTTGTTACCACTACAGATTCAAAATATACATTTTTTAAAAGTTAAAATTTATTAAAATAAGTAAATGAGGAATGATTATAGTTAAGGACAAACATGAAATGTATTTATAAATTCAAAATAAGGGCAATTATTTAAGTACGAGACACCTATTATAAGTAAAAAAATAAATAAATTACAAAAGTGTACAACTAAACTCAACGGTGTTTGAATAAAATAATAATGAAAAACAAGTTTAATTTTTTTTATATACTGATTTGAAAATGATTTAATTGTAAAAAAAAAAAAATTGATTGCATTGATAGACGCGTCACTGTTTTAGTAGAATATATAAGGTAATTTAATTTATGTCAGTATTCAATATGTTTAGTTGTTTGTTACAACAGGTTTTCAAATACTACAATTTGTAAAATTTGAATACAAATTTTAACTAAAAACACTTATAACAAAAAATGTATTTATTATTAGCTACAATTTATGTACAGTGTCGAATTTGAGTGGTATTGAAAGGGAAAATGCCCCTGGGATATATATATTTTTTTTTAGAATGTTCAATAATAATAATAAAAAATAATTTTTAATAACTTTTCAAACAAGTAGACAATTTTTTAATTGATTAATCATTTTTTTAATTACTTTCTAATTTTCTTAATAAAAAGTTAAATCAGAATAAGTAGATAAATTAAGATTTTATGTATAATTTGTTTTGTTAAATTATACTGACATATTTTTTTTTTATTTTTAGTTCAAGGGTTAGAGGGTCACAACCATTGTTTTATCAGGTAGATATATATGATGTGTGTCTAAATTATATTCCCCCCTCAATTTGAACATGGAATGCCATGAATTTTAAGATTTTCATTAAAATTTAAACTTTAAACACTTATAAAAAAAATTCTATACTAGACTCAACATTTTGATATTAGCTCTTAAGAGGTCATTATACCCACATATGCTATGTTCATCTTACAAAATTAGAAATCAAACTTTAAGTCTCTCATTTTCTGGGTAATTGCTTTACCAACTAAATTACCATGGTTGCAGGTTTCAACTTTTAAAATTATTTCTAAAAGACTCGAACTATTTCACATTATAGATTTAGGGAATTAGCAAAATGGATGTGTGAACAGTTGAGGGGACAATGTGGCCCTTGGGTTGCAAATTGTATACAAATTTGTATTTTAGAAAATGAATTTTTGTGGGTAGCCTTTATATATATATATATATATATATATAAATAACATTTTCTAGTTATTAAAATAAGAGCATTACATACCAATATAAATAACCTAAAAATAAAAGTAAAAATATGAGATCACAAACTAATTATTAAAAATTAAATAAGTTATAGAGTAACACAATACCAATTACAATTATTATAAAATGTATATAAATTGAATGACTTTATATAATTAACTCAAATAACCTGGACTTATTAAAAACTGATTTTAATATTATTTTTGCAACCCTGAAATATGTTCATTTGCTCATTAAAATTTAAATCAGTAACCATTATTATACACACTATGAAATAATGTTTATCCATACTTATAAATGTGTGCATATTTTACATTATATCTATACACTGTACAATATTTGTGAAAACTTTATTATTCAACTTATTTTTTAAAGTAAGTTTCTAATGTGGCCCTCATATATATTATAGGTAAATTGAAGCTCAAATGAAAAAGTATACAAAATCAAAATTCATATAATCTTTATTATTATTTATAATGATCTACATTTGAATACAATACTTATAAACATCTCCTATTTTGTTATATATCATAATATAATATAGAAAATGAATTATTAGTATAATTTAAATTATTGATTACACGTAAATTAGGATTTTTATAATTTCATGGTGCACTGGTACAACCATAAAGGTCAATTTGACAACATAATAATATAAGTGTAGGCCTAAGTAAAAATGTTAAATTATATTGGTTGTTTATGTTGCAATTTTTCAATAACCCATTCTATGGCTTGTCGTCCTTTAGCTGCATTTCCTGAAATTTTACTGGTAAGTATATTTTCTATATAACCGCTACATGGTAAGCCTTCTACGGTTACATAAGCAGTTTGCTTGAGTAATGTTTTTTGTGGATCATCAGGATGTGGCTTATATGTGAGCTTTTCTCGAACTACGACGAATGGTCCCAATGATAAGTTACGACTATCTAACTTTAATTGCCGTCGATCTCGATTAACTTTAGAATACTCACTGGCATAAAATGTGCTTATTGGTCCCATTAATGCACATGCCCAATTTGGTAACGTCCACCTAGTAGTAACTAACCGATGTGAATGCAGTTCTCCATTTATTACTTGTCGATCAATAACATCTATGCCTAGGACAGCTGTATTCATTGGATTTGGGTACTTGTTCCAAGCTGCTTGAACCACCGTCTCCCATGGATAGTTAAATGTATGTTGAACTGTCCAAATTTTCATGTCGAAGAAAGAGCACAGCCACTATCAGCCTTCACGATTTTGCCTAAATTAAATCACATCAATGTCTTTGGATGTAAAAAAAATATTTAAGATAGGAAATGATTAGTTATTTTATTTAAAAAATACAGATTAATTTTCTTATATTAAGTTTAGTATAAATTGCAATAAGTATTTACTTATTGCTTATTAAAGACGCATTCACATTAATTGAGTATTTACAGACCTCGGTATGGACATTAAATCTAAACATTTACTGTACCCATGCCAAATATATTAATCTCGAGGTTAATTTTTTATTTTTTAACATGCGTTAACTATTGCAAATTTAGGTTTCTAAACTTTCTAGACACATATATACACAATGGCATACACATGTGAGTATAAAGCTATAATATGATTATCAATCCTTTTTATAATAAGGACTCATTTATAATTATCAATACATTATTTATAATAATCGTTAGTGATAGGTAGCATATTTAATATTTCAATATTTATTAATAACCAGAACCACCAAACCATATTTAACTAATAAGCAAACAAATATTATTAACATATACAACAATGCAACTTTACCAATTATTTAACAAGATCCCTAAATAATGTACATTAATAAATTATATCAATCATTTTTAATTATAGTATATATGCATCATTGATTATAGAATAGACGGATAGCCCATGGCATATATTATAATATAAGTCTATTCTATAATCAATGGTTGTATGTAGTACCTATATCCAGGGGTGTACTTAGAAGGGGAAGGTTTAGTACAGCATTCCAAATAAATTCCACCTCCATCTCCTTTTTTGTATATTTAAAACAATTCAATTAACAGATCCATATTATTATTGTTGGTGTGAAAAAACCTCCTATGTACAAAATTTTCGATTTAAGGTTTTGGATTCAGAAAAAAATAAGCCATCATATGATAATATCTCATATGTGCTATCTAAATGAAAAATAAAAAATAAAACCATTCATGTTACCAACACTGAATTTTTTGTGAAATACTTCCTATGTGATTTTGGCAAAATATTCAACTAACAAACCCTCCTATGTGATGAAATATTGAAAATATATACAATATTTTATTATTATCTGTTATTATCCATAACTACTGAGTTTTTTACTTCAATTTTTCCAGAATAAATAGTTTTATGGTTTTAAAACTTTAAAATTTATTATTATCAATCATTGACAAGTTTTTATTCTTTTTTTAAAACTTTTTTGTGTCCTGAAAAATCAATTTTAGCACATAGGTTTTTTCATATCAACGATATTATATTATATTGCTAATCTATACTTGTGTCAAGTTATTTACTACTATAGATGTTGAATAGCATAGAATAATAAACTTATAAATTGGGAAATCGACACTATTTATAGAATTCTATAAAAATTATTATAGAACATTATGAAATTATGACGCACTTAATATTTTTTTTATTTGTTATCATTTTAGAAATACATTTCGGTATTATGTTTATTTAGTATATTATTAAGGTGTATTAATAAAATAGCGAAAATGATCAATAGGGGTTAAACCCCATAACACCCAAGAGCACACTCTTGCTTACATCTAATCAACATAAAATTGTAAACCACAAATCACATATTAAAAATATATATAGTACAGGTATATCTTTAATAGTGTTGTAAACCAAAATAAATATTCATTGATTATCCTAGGGTATACTAACAAGTTATACAAAACATGTTTTGTTATTTTCCCATACCAAAAAAAACTGTTATAATAAACTGTCATAGTAGTTGTATCTACAATGAGTCATAATTCAAATAGGAAAATATCGTGAAAATCAGAAATCTGATAAGGGATTACTTTTCTGTAAGGGTATATAAACAAATAAATATTAATATTTTTATATTATTTCACGGACCTTGAAGGCAAAGGTTAAACAGTATAATGTATTATCTATTAATTATTATTAATTTGAAATATCTAACTATATATATATATATATATACCTGGAGTAGTATTTACTACTAACCTACTTAAGATTTTAAGTAACACATGTAGCTTAACTCTCAAGCAATTTTTGTTTTCATGCCTAATTTGATGGTACTTTCAAAAAAAGTATCTTAAATTTCCCTTGGAAATAATGGTTAAAAAAACTTAAATGTTTGAAATAACTATAATTAAATTTTACGTAGTATATTAACAATAACACAAAAAGGAAGTACGATAGGTAAATTCTGATTTTACAAAAATGTTGAGCATAAAATAAAAATAGGTACTAATAATTCGAAAAAATGTTTTCAAAAAGTTTAAAATTTTAATATTTTAAACCATAACTCATAAATGAAGTTTGACTGACTTATTTTTAAAGTACCATTAGATAGATTGAGCATGCAAAACACAAATTTTTAAAAAAGATGAAAAAAAAACGGTTGGGAGCTAAACTGTATTATTCCTATTTTAATTTCATATCTTTATTTCTTTTATGATAAGACATTGAAATTTTCAGTAGGTAATATCATAGTATCAAGAAATATAGATATAGGATCAGCTGATCACGCCACAATATTATCACATTACAAAAGATGAATTTATTAGTATTATAAAAGCATAGTGAAAGTACCTAATTAAGTTAAATAATTTAACAAAACAAATTAGGTAGTTAATTTTTTTTAAATTTAGGTTCCTAGGTAATGTAAATATAAATTAAATAAACACGTATACATTTCAATTAAGCACCTAAGTCATTTAAATTGATTACGTGTCTTAGGTACCTATTTTCTAAATTAATTAATCATTATTAAGTATAGATAATTAAAATTTTTTATTATAATCAGTATTGTATTTTTTTTTTTAAATTTGATCTTAAATAAATTTTGTTTACATTAAATGTTAAAAACTTAAAGGTAGCATGGTACTTGTTTTATTAACTTGGCATTCCTACAATAATAACTAGTAATAACGAGTAGGTATTTTTATGTACGTATATATAGACGAAGACTTTGTAAATGTTATTCATTCATATTTAAGTTCAGAGGTCATAACAATAAGAAAAATATCAACTAAAAGTGGTGTGCAAATTTTTAGGTATCAAAAATTTAAAAATAAAATAAAAGAAGACCTATACTATAACAACTGAGTATATTAAATAAGGTACTGGGATTAAAACTGTTCGCGTCGTTGAATACTGTGTTGTTATTTGTTTCTTTTGCTGACAATAATTATTAGATTAGGTTAGATGTTGTATAGACTAAAAAACAATATTTGTATGAATTGCGTACAGGGCGAGTTAAATATTATTAAGGTGTGTACACTGAAAACTTGAACAGAATTCCTTTGACTCGGAGTTATTAACATAATAACATGTTAATAAGTATTTAATTAATGTGTTAACAGTTACGATTAGGCATAATGCGTAAAATATACATATGACTTACCTATATAGGTATGGTATTTTACTGTTCAGCAACGAAGTCAGTTGAAGTGTTGAATGCTCGAGCAGAATTTGAGATGTTGCAGTGGTATATGGGTTCAAATAATTTGACCGGAACAATTATAGTTTATTCCATTATTGTGTTATGCTTCTAACAGATTAACAAACACAAGAAATTAAATGAAATGGGAAAACTAAACGGAACTAAATAGAAACACACAACCAACACTTCCGATAATCAGCGTAAAAGTGTCAGAAAAAGTTACGGAAGGAGTTGCGGAAGTTTAGGTATTATTCTGTAGTTGAGGTGTCCCGAATTCGCAGTTGGTAGTAGGTACGTATATTAATTCATGGAAAAGAAACTCGAATGATGTTTCATTTGGATAGCAATTCAAGATATATCTGACATCATATTTTGAATTTTGGTCACTACTCACCGTGATTTGGTTTGGATCTGTTATAGATTTATAGACCATAAGCATACTTAGAAATTATTTTAATTTTTATTAAGAAAAATTAAGATTTTCTTAATTTATTGTAACCATTGTAACATATTATTATACAAAAATCAAGCCTAAGATTAATTTTATTGATTATCCAACGCTTTAGCCAGTTTTATTGGAAAAAATAAAACATTAGGTAGGTACCTACATCAGTTGTTGCTACTGCCAATGACAGTGTCTACTCTCCTTGAAACTTGTAAAAGGATTTTAATAATACGGACAAATTATTAGATTTGGAACCATTTTGGATATTCATTTAAAGCAATTCCCTTAACTTGTCATTTTCTTGAGTTGCTGCATCTGCAGTACTTTACTACGAAACATAACAGTATAATATAAATCGTAATTTTGTTAAATAAATATTATATCTATTGAAACTTTCTTTAAAGTTATACTAATTGTATATTTATTATGTATATGGTATTTTTAAACGATTTGTTCTTCCATTAGAAAAATAAAGTCAGCTGGTCTAATCATCGAAAATATAGTCCAACACTGGAAATATTATGTTATGATAAGACACTAGAAGAAGTATCTTTTGTTAATTTATTATCCAAAACAAAAATCCAAGTTTCAAATAACTTTTGATTTTAGTTCACTATAACTACTAATATTATTTCTAATACTTTCTACTAATAATAATAATAATACTATTCTTAAAATGTTCTTTTAATAACATTACAAATGCATTTTAGGGTATAATTTTGTTTGATCTTACTTAAGTGTCAATATGACATAATATTCTATATTTTTACTGATTTAACAGCATATCGACATTATGAATAGTGTAGAGTAATAATAGATAAAGAAAAACAACTATTTTGTTGTATTATCAAAGATCGGCGTGAAATGGCAGGGAAAACTCCATCTGAAGTATGTGCTAACCTTATTTATTATTCCTATTTAATTTTTAATAAAATTATTATTTTTTATTTAGAAAAGACTTCATAAAGAATTAATATCGCTTATTAAAGAACCACCTCCAGGAATGGTTGTAGATGCTGATCAAGCTGAACAAAATCTCAATATGTTAGTAGACAAGTTTTACTTTGTTGGCTTAAAGACATATTAAATATTAATTAAAGAATAATGTACTATTAAATAATGAAAGTTCCCTAAATAATATAATATTTTCAATTTAAAGTTGAATAATTAATATATATATAAGAAATTAAATTTTTTATTTTATTACCTATCACTAATTTACAATTCAATTTATTATTTTAAAAACAACTAAGCAAATAAGTATATTATTGAACCATTTAAATTGTTTAAATTGATTAATTGTAATTTTTCATCAAATTAATCAATTAGATTATTAATATTAACAGAATTTTAGTAGAACAAAATGTGTTATCTATATTATTCAATTAATAATAACTTGAGTATATGAATTTGATACTCACTTAAAACAGTCAAATTATGTATAAGTATTTGAAATAATACATTTTTGTGTATGTAAAGTGAGCAGCTCAATAAAATAAATGATACCTATATAGAAAAAGTATAATATAAATTGTATGAATTGTATTGGTTTTCTAATATCAGTTGTCAGTTTCTTACACATGCACATTAAATATTTGTCTATTATAATGATTAAATTCAAAATTTTTACATGAGAAAAAATTGTTTTCCTGTATTATCATGTTTAGACTTTTGGTAAACAATTTGTTTGATTGTTTAATGCAACAAACCTTTTAATTAATCTGATATAGAATAATATTTTGTAGTTGGACTATACATATGCAAGGTGCTGAAGGTACTTTATATGATGGAGAACAATTCCAGTTGCAATTTAAATTTGGTTCCAGTTATCCGTTTGAGTCGCCTGAAGTAATTATTTTTATTGCATAACTTAAATTATGTTATTTTGGATATTTTATTAAATAATTGTTTATTATTATTTTCACTCAGGTTACATTTGTGGGCCATAACATTCCAGTTCACCCACATGTATACAGTAATGGACATATTTGTTTATCTATTCTTACTGATGATTGGTCTCCTGCTTTATCAGTGCAATCTGTTTGTCTATCAATTATATCCATGTTAAGTAGCTGCAAAGAAAAAGTAATTTAATAAAAAATATATTTTAGAGTACCATTCTGGTGTAGAATCTTAATATAATAGAATTTATATTAGTAACTTAGTAAATCCTGATGCACTCTTAAACAGTTAATATTTCAGGGTTGGTTTTTTTTTGTTTTTTACAAATTTGAGGTTAAATTTTTAAGACAAATAAATAAAACAGAATATCAAAAAGTCAACAAGGTGAAAAAAAAAACAATAAATTAAATACCTAATATTATTTTATTTATTATTAAAATCATGGACTTTTGTTTTTTTATTATTTTAAAGTAATCTACAATATATACAGTTTTGTACAATAAGTAGGTTTGGTGGAAGACAGAAAAATATAATTAACGGTGAATCTTAAGATTGGGGAGGTTACCCAGTGGAAACCCCCATCAAAGTGATAGTGAGAAATGCATAGAAAAATGTATATATATATATAAAGAATAAAAAATAAATATAAAGGGTATTAGGATTAGGGAGGTGTTACCAGTGGTAGTACCCAGTACTTATGTCATTTAGCAGACTAAAGAAGGTGGTCCTTCAAGAGTGAAACCAAGGTATTTTACTTCTGAGCAAATAGAGATTAGAATGTTGTTCATTGTGATTTGAGGTCATGTTACTTTTTAAAGGTGTTTGTTATGAAGAAGGACCTGAATTCATTAATTTTGAATTTCCACCTTCTTGTCCTGAGATGAATTGTGTTGGGGTGTCTTTGTATTATATTAATTACTAAAACTGGATTTTCATTAGAAGCCATAATTGCTGTATTAACCTCACAGGAACCGAGTTCAATAAAAGAGATTTTAAGGATGTCATAGATAAATATGTTTTAAAGAAAAGGTGCAATATCACTGCTTTAGGGGACTCCTGCTGATATGTTGAAGTAATTCAAGTAACTAGAATTCTGACGTATGATGAAAGTATGTTTACTCGGGTACAATTTTAACTGTAGAAAATACCGAGCAGGCAGGCATTATTTCAGTTTGAATAGTAAACCATCATTCCACACCCTATCGAACGCGCCTGTGCTATGTTCAGGAAGATGTCAGGTGCAGTAATGTTTTTTTTCTAATGATGAAATATTGTCAACTATTTTGTGGAGTCAGTGGATGGTCAAGTGATTTGGTTTGAAACCAAATTGTGTATCAGGGATAATTTTTGCTGTGATAGCCAGAGGAATGAGCCTTTTTAGTAGTAATTTTTTGAATATTTTGGATAGTTGGTAGTAAGCTTATAAGGTTGTATGAGTTTGCCTTATCGGGAGGCTTATTGGGTTTTGGAATTATTATTATTTCAGAAAATGTGGAGGTAGCGGTCATCACATCTTAGAGGACTTTTAGTATGTTACCAAGTACCCTTCAATAAAGATGTATATCAAAATTCAGCTTTCCTGATTTTTTTTTCACTATTTGTCAAAATTGAGTCTTAATTTGCCTGGATTATAAATAGAAGCTTTTCTGATGCCTAATTTTTTGATAATAAATTTTATTTCTCCGGGGCTAGTGTGTTTAGCCAGGGAAAATCGTGGACTTAAAGTCAAATTACATTACATGACAGTTAATGTACAGATTAAAGAAAAAATAAAGTAACAATAATATTATAATTAATTATAAAGGGAAAAAATAAAGAAAAAGGAAAACAGCAACTAAAGAGGTTTTACATTAAAAATATATCTATTTTATGATGCAATATATTCCCAAGAGAGAAAAATATAAAAATTTGGAATAATAACACATAATTTTATGAATAAAATAGAATATGAAATAAACAAGTATTGTGTGTATTAAGAGTATCTTAAATTTAATATGACTTAATAAAAATGATAAGATAACATGATTTCTGGAAAAAAAATTCCCTTACCATCAAAAGTATAAAATATAATGTACAAATGGTTCATGGTATAAGGATTTTTGGAAACTAAAACTATAGTTACCATGTAACTAAAATTTTACTTCCCTTAAAAAGATGGTGTAGTTAGGTATATTCAACAAATTATTTTTCAGGACATTTTCTTTATAAAATGTAATGTTTGTTCTTTTGTTTGTAATCTATGATTTGCATGTGGTTTTTTGAAAATGATCTGTGTTGTCTGAAAAAGGTTTAAAGTTATTCTCACTAACCCCACTCCCCCCCAGTTTCTAAGTATTTTTGTTGATTTGTGGGTTACCTTGATAATACAGATATTATAATCACATTATATATTAGATCTGCGGTTCCTAAACTTTTTGTTTCTCATGTACCTAAAAGTAAAAGAAAATAAGTGTGCCTCCCATAAATAAATTAATAAATAATAATAATTTACAAATTTGTTTTATTTAAGTATTTCATCATTTTTATTTTTATGACAAAGTTAATATTATTTTAATTAATTAATTCAAAAAAAGTAATTTGTATTATGGATGTGCACACCAAAAGAGTTAAAAACTGACATTTATCATCTTGCAAAAATGAAATTCAAATCCAAGGTCATCCAATGATGTATAACAAACTGCATACAAAGCATTGAACTTACAATTTAAAAATGTGTTTGACACAGTTTGTTAAAGGTTAAAAAAAACTAATAAACCAAATAGACAATGGCTGCATTCTAACCATTGTCTATTTCAACCATAGTTCTTGTACATTAAAATAAATAAATAAACATTATTAGTTATTATTTTAATCCATTGTGGTTTATTTTATAAATAAATAATGATTATATAATTAAATACATTCAAATAATTATGTAAATTTACAGAAAAGACCTCCAGATAATGGTTTTTATGTAAAAACTTGCAACAAAAATCCAAAAAAGACAAAATGGTGGTATCATGGTAAGTAAAACAATATAGTGATTTGTTTGGTAGTATACTTAAACTTTTTTTTTTTCAGATGACAAAGTATAAAATTTTGGACACATTATCTTTTTACTATATATTTTCATTAGTGAAAAGTTGTGATTTTATTACTATTGATGATGAAATTAAATGTGATTCTATATAATCACTTACCTAATTGAAATATTATTAATTAGATACAGGAATTGTTTATTCTGCATTTGTTTATTATTGATTGACATCCAACTATTTGTACACTAATGAAAATAAAATGTACCCGGTCTTAAGTTAAGATTAGTTTATTTACAGTGACGAGCACAGAAGGGGACTTTAAGGGTTGTACCCCTCCCCTAATTTTGCTTAAAAAAAATACAACAACTATGAGTATGTATTCAGTCATTTTTAATTGAAATTATGTAATTCAGCCAAGTTATAAAGAAAAAGGCTTGATTTATTAAATACAAATAGCTTCTTAATTCTCATTGTCAAGGTATTAAAACTTAATATTCTAAGATTTATTCCTGAATTATAGTAATTATTTACATCTTCTTTCACTGAAAACTCTTGGACACACCATTATAAATTTAAACCCTGCATAGTAATTCAAATAGAACTTAAAAACAATAGTATAAAAAGATTTATTTGTAAAAAAAAAAATAATTAGAAAATTGTAAAACTATTTTATGTATAATTAACAAAAAAAACTATTGATACATTTTTAATTTTCTAATTAATTTAAACAAATTCCTTGATTTATTACACCTATATTAATATCAATATCATTAAGTATATTATTTGAAATTACTATTTTTATTTGTGGATTTATATGTATTTATTTAATTCATATTAAAGTATGTATTATATATTATAGTATCAAGAAATTCGCTAACGCAAACTGGTGTGCAATACTATACCGTTTAATATGATTCTGATTCATGACTTTGGTCCGTGTTGATCTATACCGGTTTAGATAGAAATTCGGTAAATAGATCGGTTTACCCCTCCCATAAATTATATTTCAGAAATGTACATTTCCGTCTTTTTATATTATCTAAGTTAACTAACATTAAACAAAAAATTAAAATTTGTAAGAAACACAATTTTCTTAATCCATTAATCCTTTAGGTATATGAATTTATAATAAGTTTTTAAACTTGTAACTATTATAACATTTTTAAATTGGACGATTTAAAAATGAAACTATTTAAATAATTTATTTTGAGCAAAAATCGTATAACAAATCTTATAGTTCAAATATTTCCTGGTAGAAAAAGTAAGAACATTTTATTAAATTGAATTAAAATATATTCCAATAAGAAATTAACTATACTACATAATACATATTACATGGTAGGCATTTAATTTATTATTAGAACTTCCTACATCGTTGATATTATATGATACTACTTCATATTCTATAATAAATAATAACATAGGCATTTAAAGTAAAAATGTATAAATTAAGTTGTACGTTAGAATTTTAGTAGCATAGAAAAAAGATCTGTAATAGTTGTATAAGCTTGTAGTAGTTTTAAATTTAAACAGCTGTGATAACAGACAATGTTGACGTGATAATAAATTTAATTAGAGGAAGTATCAATTTTATGAGAGGGACGAATCATGATCGGTATTTTTCGACCACCTCGTTTTCATGGTCGAAAAAAAGTAAACCGGTGTGCCTCATTAAATTGGCTTAATACAGCGAATTTCTTAAAATTACACCGGTTTACTATTTAAGGGGAAATATAAATCGATTTGCGCTGTCGAATTTCTTGTATATTTAATCTTTGACATTACATATCTATCTATCTCTTAGTTCTAAGGTTATTGTGTGGTATAAATAGTCATGTTTTTGCGGTAAGATTACGATTAATGAATATTTTCTGCTAAAATACGGTATCAAAGGTATATTCTGAGATATTTTCGGCTTAATTATTTTTCGACTAAAATACGTTTCGGTTTAAATATTTTCTATTCAAACATTTTTCGTACCTATATTAGCTATAATCTACTTTCGTATTTATTACTTTTTGGATAAAATACGTTTCTATTAAAATATTTTTCGGATACTATATTTACGGACATTATATAGCTCTTTATGACGATATCTATAACCCGTACACATATTAATATTAATATTGTGTGTAATGTCTATGCTATAACCGTATAGTATAGAACTTAGATAATATGTCTATTGTATATTTTTATAAACCTAGTTTATTAAACCATGATTAAAGATATATTAAGATATATTATATAGATATTTGACATGAATCTTGATCCGTGATATCTTAAATCGTGGTTAATGGTTTGATACATGTTATCACAGGATAACGTGATATTCATAGATAATACATGTACTATGGTGATATTAAAAAATAAAAATTATGTTCAATATTATTTTAAAAGTAAGATTATCTATAATGTACAGAACCGAGAAGGTGTAATCGAATAAATCGATTTATTATTTTATGTTTATTTCAAATGTATGTAAATTCATTTTTTTCATAATATTATAGTGACCATAATTTTATTAATTATGGCAGGCGCAATAGTTGTGAAAGCCAATACTGAACGCAAAGTGTTTAGACCATCGTCTAAAGTGTTGAATAGAATACCAGATGAAATTACCAATGATCCAGACTTGAAAGCTGCTATGGAATCATTACCATCAAATTACAATTTTGAATTGCCAAAGACTATATGGCGCCTACGACAAATGCAAGCCAAACGAGTTGCTTTACAAATGCCTGAAGGCCTGACTATGTTTGCTGTGCAATTGTGTGACATTATTGAACAATTTACTCAAGCAGATACAGTAATAATGGGTGACGTTACTTATGGTGCTTGTTGTGTTGATGATTTTACTGCAAAAGCACTTGGTGTTGATTTATTAGTACATTATGGACATAGTTGTCTAGTCCCTGTTGATCAAACTGAAGGAGTTAAAGTATTATATATTTTTGTAGACATCAAAATTGATGCTATCCACTTAATTGAAACTGTAAAATTGAACTTTGATAAACAGCAGAGACTATTATTTATAAGTACAGTTCAGTTTGTTACCACTTTGCAGGGTTTGATAAATCGATTAAGAACAGACGGGTTAGTAAGTGTTAATTGGTAATAGGATAAAAAAGACAAAAAATAAGCTATACTTTCAATTTTTTTTTTTATACAATATTTTTGTGCTAAAACAATTTAATACAATGTATTACTATTTATTTTACAATTTCATTGGTATGAAAAAAATTACAATAATAGGTTAAATTGATAATTAAAATAAGTATATATTGTTTATGTAACAGCTGTCAAAAAACCATCTATGGTCTGTTCTTTTACATTACTACACAAATAATTTTGCCTCCATATTTTTAATTTTTTTGGAGGATTTAAAATATCTACTGTGTATTACCTATGTTTTTTCATCTGAAAACAACTCTAACCTAATTTTTTTAATTAATATCTAAACAAAAGGGTTATTGTGGTCAACTTATTTTGAAAAATGATAGTTCTTCTCTTCTATTTGGTTGTTGGATTGATGTCCATTGTCAATTTTTTGGACATTCTACCTTGATGAATATATATGTATACGAACGTATATATGTATATATGTGTATATATGTAGATATAATGGTAGAATATTTAATCTGTTGCCTTCGGTAGGCGGTGACATAATTGTTCTTCAAAAATCCCCATTCCCTTTAAATATTTTATTACGCTTAACTATTAAATTTTTTATATAATATACTGAAATTATTATTATTTCTATATATACCTATTTAAAATATAGGTATGGCATATTATGTGATATGTATGTACAATAGGTGAATTATTTTCTTAGAGTTCTTTGATTACCTAATAAAATCCTCTATTCACTCATTTAAATTCTATGTAATAATTTTAAAATTTACAAAACTATCCTTATTAGTTTAGCTGTCACTTAACTTCATTTTTAGTTTTATACATTAAAATTGTTAAAATATTATTGTAATTTTTATGTGTAGGTATCTTGATTGTTGTCTTCTTTGCATTCTTATATTCTGTAAATGGCTACTGTCCATTGATCACTCAATAAATAAAAATTAAGTAATTTACAAGTTGACTTAAAATTTATGTTAGCCATTTTATTATGAAAATATGCAAAATAGAGAAAAAAGTATAACATATACATTTTTCAAATTATAAACATCTAAAATAATTTGTAAATTAATTTTTTTTTATGTTATTATTTTTTAATCACCCCTCCAGCCAAAAGGCACACTAAACCATTTACTCACTGTGATGCATTTCTTGCATCATAGTTTCAGCATGATAGAGTAAAATGCTACACTGCACGTGAAACAATAAACTTACTGCATGAAAAATTCCCAGGGCGAATTCTCTCAAAAGGTGGTGACCAGAATTGACCAGCACAATCCTGTGACTTGACTCGTTGTGATTTATTTTTATGGGGGTTCATCAAGTCAATAGTGTATAAAAACAAATCTCAAAACACAACCCAGCTCAAGCAAGAAATTTGTCTAGCGATTGAAAGCCTTGATGTGGAACTCTACAGAAGAGTAATTGTGAATTTTACTGAAAGAGTACATGTATGCAGACACAATAGCTGTGCTCATTTGCCAGATATTGTTTTTTATTCTTAAATGAGAAGAAAAACTGATTTAAATTGTATGATTTTTTAACTCAATTTATTGTTTTTTAATTAAGTTATTGTTTTAAATCTGGCGCTAATCGTCCATTATTTATGGTATTTTAAATATAGGTTCCCATTTTAATTTCAGAAGTTAACCCTAAAAAAGAGTAAAAAAATAAAACGCACAAATTGTTTTAAAGGTTTATAAATCAAACTTCAGTATCATATACAATTTTTTATTTTAAATATTTACATGATAAAATGCCTGTAACATAAATTCTGAGTCATACTTTATAAAAGAGTGTTTTTTTTTTTATAAATTTGTATTACCTATTATTATAATTTTATATAAGTGTACTACTTACTCGTAGTAATGAAAAATGGTATAAAAAAAATGTAAGTTAGACACAACCTGTGTAACTTATTTTCTATCTTTTTTAGCTATGGCATGTTCTTTAAATTACTAATACATTTAAATATTAATTTTATTTGTTTAGTTATAGTGTAAAAGTTCCTCAAGAAAAGCCATTATCTCCTGGAGAAATTTTAGGATGTACATCACCTAAAGTTTCAGATGCTGATTGTTTGATATATTTAGGCGATGGTCGTTTTCATTTAGAATCAATTATGATAGCTAATCCTAACCTTTTGGCATACAGGTAAATGACATTTATAATATTTGAAATTCATTGTCTTCAGTTGTTATAGATATTAAATATTCCCTTGAAAGTTATATTTTTTTCACTGTTGATTTTGAAACTTTATTTTAAAATAACTAATGAATTTAAAAAAAAATATTTTTAATACAATAATATAGTTTTAATTTCATATGATTTATTTCATTAAGTATAATAATTGCTTGACAAAGAATTAATTATAATGTATTTACCTGTTTGCTATGCGTGAAATTTGTAGGTACGATCCATATGAAAAAAAGTTGACTCGAGAATACTATGATCATGATGTCATGAAAAAAACACGGCAAAAGGCAATTGAAAAAGGTAAAAGTGCCAATACATTTGGTTTGATTCTAGGTACTCTAGGCAGACAAGGAAGTACTAAAGTTCTGAATTATTTTCATGTAAGTTTGATTTAAAATATTCACTATTATATATAGTTATATTCATGACAAGTTTACTTTACCAGACATACTTTTTTTTTCTCAAAATATGTGTGTTTGTATGCTGAACGAAAAATGTTTGAATTTCTTTATGAAAACCATTATTAAAGAATTTATGGCAAAAAAACTGAATTTTTTTAAGTCTGTAGTTTTTTAGTGATGGTAATGATGTGATGCAATCAGAATTTTCAGAAACTATTATTTTAAATACTACAGCAATTTTATAACTTTAAGTATATCAATATACATTATACATAATACGTGGAACAAAGAATTATAGGTGCAGGGACACTGTGAGTATTGCTACATGAGCTCTTCATAGGAGAGGGGATCACTACCCGTGGTCTTAATTTGATACTACTGTTAGAAGAATAGTGTCCTAAATGTAAATCTAAACCTCACTATGCGAGGCTAGGCCTTTGGTTAAGTTAGGTTCAGTTAGGTTCAGTTAGGTCAGTATAGTCACCAAAATATTGATGTATTAAATACTTCAAATTGCCATAACTTTTCCATGGAAAGTCTCCCACACTTAAAATTATTGTTCTAAATTTTATATACTGACATACCTTATGTTTGAAAATAATTGAAACTTCTAAAAATTGTTTTCAGAAAAATTCTGATTGCACCAATCAGGTATACAAAAACATTTATATTTTGAAGAAAACAAATTTCAAAAAAAAAGGGTGCTCGATTAAATAGAAATAATTTAGATTCACTACATTATACTGTATATAATTTGATTTTCAGAATCAAATGAAGTCGCATTTAAAAAATTCAGTGACTATTCTTTTGTCAGAAATATTTCCATCAAAATTATCATCTTTTGGAGATACAGTGGATGCTTGGATACAAATTGCATGCCCTCGACTGTCTATTGATTGGGGCACAGCATTTGAAAAACCATTTTTATCGCCATATGAAGGTGCTGTAGTTTTGAATCAAATAGAATTCAATGACAAAGAAAATTATCCAATGGACTATTATAGTAATAACAGTCTAGGTGCTTGGACACCAAATTATCGACCAATTAATGGTTGTTGTGGAAAAGGATGTGCAAATGGTCCGAAGAGTGATACACAAAAGTTGAGTTGTTCCAGTAATCGGTGATAATCATCACTGGATTTATTTAAATTACTATGGTACACAATTTTTTTTTCTTTCTTACAAATATAAATAAAAATATATTATGATTGATTAACTATTTAATTATTGATTATAATACATTCATTATAATGTTATTAATATTATTAAACAATTTGTTCACTCCACTGTGTAAATATTAAAATCAAGTTATTGTTAATTGTCTATACTAATATTTATTTTTCATTTTGAATGATTGTTTGTTAGCAAAACATAGCAAAGGATTTATTGGTTTTACAATGATATGTTTTTTTTTCTGTCTGTTAACAACTTTTTGGACAGAAATCTTGCTCTCATTTATCTAATACAGCAACTTTTTTGAATGGAAATTTTATTTATTTGATATATTAGACAGGTTATTTTTTTTTCATTTTCCAATGATTTTTTAAAACATTTGAGAAAAATTGGAAATAAAATTATAGATAAAACAGAAAATATTTACTGTATCATTACCATTTTCATTATTTAAAATTTGTATGCTTATGTTTCCTACTAGAAATATTGCTTCAACTGGAAAACAACAAAAATTGTTTAATGCGTTCAAGTAAGAAATTGATTTTTTTTATTTTCCATGTAGTTTTTTTAATAACTGAGCAACTTGATTTCTTTTCAATTTTATTATTTTGTTGTGATTCAGTTAAAAATATTTGTAGACTTGAAATGTTGACAGAAAACTTATATTAGTCTTTTCTAGACATGGTAAAATTATATATTAGCAATAGTTTATCATTGCTTACTGGTATAAATTAAATAACTATGTATCCTTCCTTCCCAATTTCCTACCTACGACAGTAGTGCACCTATCAGCAATATCAACTTTGTTTTATAGTTAAGAACAGGTTAGACATTATATGAATTTTTATAACTACTATAGTTCATCAAACTACCACGCGCAATGGAGCGACATGATATACCAAGTCATAAATTAAAAACATTTTTTTAGAAAAAACCAATGTTTCAATAATTATTTTTATGGTTACATGTATAAAAGGAGACAGACATACTTCACACGAAGGGTGTAGCCACTGTTGTAGGTGAGAAGGTAGGAATGTAGGACATTGAGGGGAAATTAATTTGTATCTGTAAGCAACGATAAACCCATTGCGTACGAAAAAAAACGATTCTAAGCAGAGTTCAGTAGATAGTGTTACTTTATCAACATTATACATGTCATATTATGGTAAAATAATCACATATACATTAAATGTTCTTAAATAATATTTGTTTAATATTTTAATAAGTCTAGAAAAGGCAAATATAAGTTTTCTGTGCAAATTTAAAATCTCTACAAATATTTTTAACAAATAACAAAATTTAAAAAAAGGATTATTTTTGTAAATTTCCCATTTTTCTTAAGTTTTTTCTCACTTTTTCTCTTTTATTTGGAAAATTGCTGGGAAAATCAAAAAATAACCTAATAAAATTTCCTTTCAGAAAACAACTACATCGTATATATTATAGCAAGATATCTGGTAGAATTTCTATACACGGTACAAAAAAAAAAAAACCTTGTAAAACCAATATATTCTTCGCTACAACCAGAATTTAAAATCAGGTTACAACACATGAATGAGCTATACGAGGTTTAATAATGTTTAGGTATGTTTTCTTGAAAATTACTGTTAGTTATTATTAATTAGGGGTGAGCATCGGCATGAGTTAATATCGTTCCTTGGTGCGTTCAATTGTTGAATATTTTTTACGCACGTTACCACCTTATTCACCTTATTCAACTTGATGCGTCTTGCTAAGAAACACCTCATTTAACCATATTATAAAACATTTTTTTTTATTTTTTTTTCTTAATGCGTCGATAAGGCAAACGTTTTAATTATAAGTACCTGATATTATTGTTATTATTATCATACCAAAAACACTTCGTTTACAACTACATCTACAAAAAAGGCTATGTTAAAAAAAAAAAAATCATGCAGTGACATAACATTTGGTAATGATTAAACCTTTAAACGACATGATATTATATGGAAATTAAGTAAAATGCCATTTTGTATTATTATAAATACCTATAACGACAGATAAGAAAATAATATCAATTGTAAAGTTAAACACTTATTCAACATATTATTTACTTAGCAAGACGTGTAAGTAAATATCACCACTATTAGGATTATATTTAACAATCGGTTTAGAATTCAAAATTCATCTTCAGGCATAACAAAGTCAAATAACATACATTTTTTTTTTTTTTATACATTTGTGGTTTATAAAATATTATTTATACCTGTTGTAAACATTGTTTATAAATTATTAATTAATTTACGAAATTTATTATAGTGGTTATTTATTTGTATTTACTTACCTATACGTCTTGCCAAGTAAATAATATAACTTTACAAAGGTTTTATCATTACTAAATGTAATGTCACTATATGATTTTTGTTTTAAAATTGGCTTTTTTGTACACGGAGTTACAATGAAGTGTTTTTAGTGTGGTATCAGCTATTTTGTATAAAAAAGTCTCAGTAACGAGAGTAGTAAGACAGATAAGCGGCGGTTCGGGGGACAATTTGTGTTTTACATTGTCGTCGCCGCAGCAACGGGAGTAGATTTTTTATTATATTTTCGCCGAATACGAAAAATCGGACTTAAAAAGACTTGAACATTTTTGGTTATTACTTTTAATTCATCTAACCAATCTGCTGGCGAGTTCCTATCTACACAATATTTTGTCATTTATGAACAACTTTTCTACTACATAATTTACTCCAAAGTATAGACTATAGACCCTTTTCTGAAAAGTAATTTTCTCTTGTTTGTGAATTTAGGAGGTCATTTTTTGATTTTCCAAGGGGTTTTCGAAATAATTGGGAAAAACCAAAAGAAAATTATAACTAAAACGACAAATATTTACGGAGCGCCGCGACTTGACCGTTTTCATTGTTATTTTTAAGTTTTCTACCAGAAAGATTATTTCAATCTAAAAATGGCAAGAGATCGACATTGTTCAGAATATTTCACTACTAACACGGTAAATCGTTTTTTTATATTCAAAGTAATTTACCTAATAACTGGGGAAAACCAAAACAGCCGAAATACACGTTTTCTTCTAATTACGGCACGATTTCATTATTTTAAATTTATTCGGCTTATGTTTTCTAACATAAATATTTCGTTGAATTTTTAATCTAGTTGGTGACCAAGAAAGTCTGTTTTTGATTAACTTTTTAGTTCTTTTAATAATTGAAAAAACTGAAAAAAAAACCCCCCGTAGAAATAACAGGAAATTTTACGAAAACAATGCTTTTATTATTTTCAATTTTGTTTTTTCGTTATAATTCCGGTTCAAATATTCGTAGAGATTTGAAACTATGACAAAAAATGTTTACTTAGTTTTTCTAAACATGGTAAAATTGTAATATTTGAGTCATTTTTAAGCTATTTGATATTTTAATTTTGAGAGTTTTTTTATTTAATTTTTATATGGCAAGTACTTTGTAAATACAATTTTAGACTTAACAGAAATGCTTGAATATTTGATAGGTTCATTATAAGTTGTAATTAGTGGTAAAAAAAATTTAGTTTAATGTAGTATGTTTTATTTTTTTTTAAAGTTAAAATCAAATGTTGACGAAAATTGTAAATATTAGGTACGGCTTTCCAAAACATATATAACCAAATTTCGCTCTGAATCGTTTTTCGTTATCAATGGGTAGTCAGTTGTTGGTTGCAAGTATAAATTAAATAATTTAGGTATCTCACCTTGCCTACTAGACACCTACAATAGTGGTGGCACTATAGGCGAACATAGGAGAGGGGGGGGGGTTTGTTAAGAGTTGCTTAGCACTCTCAAGCTTCAAATTAGAACCCCCAGTTCCCTTAAGTAATTTATTTTACTATTTCACAAATCATTTGTAAATTATTTTGGTTTATTGATTTATTGGTTTAGATAAAATATTAATTTTTTCAGTATCAAATAGAAAATTAAATCTTGTATAACATTAATTAGTAATTAAAGAGTATAATTATTTTTAAATATTTTGAATACATAATAAATTATGTTAACAATCAAAATATTCTTGTATAGTCTTTACAGTTTAATTGTTTAATATAAATAAACAGAATAGTGACTATATCAACATTTATACAATTTAAACTTTATACTTAGTTATTAATTTATCTATATACAAGTAAAAATAATTGAAGATTTTATTTATTGCATTTATATAAATATTTAAAATTATTGTAATGTAGTTTATTGTAGTATTAGGGAGTTGGAGGAGAATGCCTCTCACGTATATGTGTACTATAAATTATTCTAGCAGTCCCTAAATTCACACTCAATGTGTGCCTATATGGGCCGCACCCGTCCCCGGTATCGGATCTTTTTATTTGACTAGTACAGAAATGTTTCGCTTGAAAGTAACATAATATAGGATATGAATCTCTCTCGAAGACTTGAACAACAAATGCTCCGTTGTATATAAAATACCAAGGACTCGGTCGCATTTTAATCTTAAAGCCACATTGTTATAAATGTAAATAATTCTATAAAAAAAAAAATTACATATTTCTTGTGAGCAGAACATTGTCTAATATAATATTATATAATGCCTTAATAAAAAATAACAAGAATGTTTTGAAAACTTTGCCACGTCTACAAAAGGCATTAAGTATTCAATAAAAAATATAGGTCTCCACAATAACTTCTAATCATATACCAACAAAAAACCCGAATGCCGTATATTTTGCAGTATTTCCTACGTTTATTCCCGGTTTTCAAGGGTGTCTCCAGACCTTGACTAAGAGGGGTGGAGCGACGGATTGACGGAAATCAGAAATTTCAACGCTAAAATGTATTTTAATAAATACTCAATCTATTTATGGAATTTTTAATATCATTTTCATTTGAAAATCAAAAATAGGTAGTGGTTTTACCCCCAAAATTAACATGAATATAAAATTGTAGAGCAGCAATTGTTTCCTTAATGTTCTGGAAAACAAATCCCGGAAAAAATCAATACTTTCTGAGATAAAGAGTGTACTCACTTAAATGTATCACTTGGTACACATGACTACATAATTTTTTTTTTAAAAATGATGGTTAATGGTTTTATCTAAAACTGTATTTGAAAACAAACGTATATTATTGATTCAGATTTAAGGTCACAAGTAAACAAAAATCCATTAGCTGATAATATATGATTGCTCCTAATATTATATGTTGCTCATTGCTGTTAGTAAACACTGGTTTTAACAAATTTAAAATAAAACCAACTAGTCGTATTTATTTTTAAGTTTATATATTCAAGACCAGAAGAAATTCACACATTAATTTGATAAACAAATCATTACCCTTTCCAGGAAAAAAAATGTATTATATATAAATATAACATATAATAATAATATTTAAATAAATTATAACTAAACAAACAACTAAATATTCATAACATTATTTGGTTTGGTTATTTGAATCTAAGTAAAAACAAAATTTATGATCCATTTAATATAATAATAATAATTGTAAAAGTAATATAAAAATTTAAAGTTGTATTATACATTACTAATTATTTGTGTTGTATGAAAAAAATTATCCGAATAAAAATAATAATGCATTTAAATTGTATAAGAAAATTAATATATCTTATTATTTTATTATAGTAGAAATAAAAATAGGAATAGTTAAATTATTATGACATAGAAAATTTGATCAATTACATTTTGATATTTATTAATACCTATTTTCAACCTAGGTCATGGTTATTTTGCATAATTTTAGCTATTCTTGTCGTACTTCTGTACTTTACTGATCATAACCTATGAGCTCTACAACACTTTTAATTTTAATAACATTTCATATTTAAAATTGTATATTGATTATACAGAGTGATTCTTTAATCATGAACCAGTCATTTTTTTTGGAAGATTTTAAGTGAATTAAATTTTTATTTTTTTCAGTAATTATGGAATTGATACAGCTTTTATTTAAACATTATTTTTCAAATTTTTACCCCTATTTAGTGTATCAGTAATGAGTATCTGCGTTGATTTTTAAAATAGCAACCCTTTTTTCAATCATAGATTAAATTTAACAATATTTTTCTAGACATTTGAATATATATATAACATTAACATCTGATTCACCGTTTATAAGTTATAACTAGGGCCCACATTTATATTAATTTACAAATTTTTATCGGTTAGTTAAGAAAAAGTTAGTACCAAATTATGATGCTTCATGATCTAACAAGTCTATATACAACATTTTATTTTGCATATTTTAGTGTTTTTTAGAGCATATTTTAAGGATTTCGTAAATTTTTATTATATTTTCAATTCAATGAATCAAGAATCACAAAATAATTGTACTCAATTTATAAATATCAGCATTATGCATGCAAACTGATACTAGGTACCCGTGTAACAGTGTTTTAGATATTAATTTATTAATTTATATCACTCAAAAAAGTGGACAAATTTATTGATAAATTGGTATAGTTAGATTAAAATGTCTTGTCTATGTATTTTATTGTACTTGTGTTCAACTTATTTTATTTGGGTGATCAGGTGACATCATTATGAAACACGTCGTCATGTGGTGAGTTAAATAAATCAATTTTTTTTTTTTATGATATATTTTAAAAAAAAATTTTCTGGAATAACTGTATTTACTAGTTTTTAAGGACATGTATCTGTTGGCCCTAGATATAACAATATAAATTTTAATTTAAAGAGTAGGAAAGGGTTAATCTGATATTAGTGTTATACATACCAAAATGTCTGAAAAAAAATTAATTATTTAAATCTGCAAATGAATTGTTGCTATTTAAAAATCCAAAGTGAATACTCATTTCTAGTATAAGTGGATGTAACAAATTGAAAATAATGTTAAATCAAATTCTTTATACATAATTGTTTTTTAATGAAAAATTATCATACTGGATTTTTTACATGACTTACACAATTAGATACAAATGTATAGTATAGGTAATACCGAAAAATAAAGTTCTTTTCAATTTCATTTGCTCTAATGATATCAGTCAATAAAATAAACAATAACTTGAATAAGAAGGTAATTAAAAATATACTAAAATGTGATATGTGAGGACTTTAAGAGAATAACTAATAGGTATATATAGTATAAGAAATAAAGTATGAGCGAATGGATACTCAATATAATAAAACTTTGGTTTGGAAAGTTAAAATAAAATATAAAAAATTGAGATTTTAAAGAAGTAATGTGTAATTAAATTTCAAAAAAAAGTAATTTATGGTAGAATGTATAATATTGTAGAATATACAGTTGCAGATCCAGGGAGTTAGTGGTGAATACCTCCAACCCAATTTGTTACCAAATATATGCTAATCTTGATTTTAATCATAAATGTGTGTGCCTAAATTAATTTTCATAATTACCTCTCCCTTGTTTCTTAGCCAGGATCCACCCTTGAGAATGAATAAGGCAAGAATACCCAATTTCACCACTATATTTTAATATTAAATAACTTATTATTTCAACATAATTACTGTAATACACTAAACATATTCTATTATAAAAATATCAATTTTACTTTAAAAAAAATATTGCTAAATATAAAATTGCATTATGAAAACGTTGATCAAATTTTTAATACAAGTCATTAACTAAATAATAATATTTTAAATTTGACTACAATAGAATGATAAATAAATTGTACTTTTTGTTACACAATAAATCAAGAATACATAATATATGAGTAAATGATTTTAAGAACTCTTAAAATGGTAATGCGTATGAATTTTAAGATTACAATTCTGAACAAATAAAAAAAAGAAATTGAATTGATACATATGTTATTTTATTTTTTATTCATACGAACAAAATATTTTAGTAAATATTTTGAATATAAATACTTGACTATCAGCATGTTACATAAAGATAAATGTTAAGTAATTTATTTTCACGCACACATCCTATGATTATTTAAAAGGTGACTATTATAGTGCTACATTGTTACACAAATTAACTTTGTCTATATAATTTATATATATTAAAAAAAAAAAATTGACATTCCAATTTATGTGTTAACCGGCATATTATTGATTGTTACTTTTATCATTTATAAAAATGGTTTATAACAATTTGCTTGGTTTTTTAAGTAAAAAAACCTTTTTACTTTAAAAAAACAAACAAACAAAAAACATAACAAAATATGATCTAATATAAATAAAAAAAATGTGTTTAATTGTACATCAGTTCAGCCATGTCAGACATTTTTTTAGGAATGTGAACTAGATCTTCAAAATAACTAGCTAACTCATCAATTGTTATATCATCAGTGCACGGTATGACATTTGTACACTCATTACTACTATTGTTATTATTCAATGATATCTCTGATGGAAATTCATTATCTGTTGACCATTTTCGATTTAATTGTTTTTTATGGTGAAATCGTCGATTAACAGGTACAGGAGATGCAGCAGCATACTGTTGCTTGCATCTCTCTACTCTGTTGAGTTTTGGTGGTCTTAGGATACTCTCTTTTGATGTCAGATCAGTATTTTGTCTTTGAGGATATGCACAAGTAAGTGATTTTGTATTCATACAACGACATATAACACAACCAGTGGGATTTGGTTCTTTGTTATCATTGTCTTTTTCCACAGTATTTCCAGGATATTTATGAGGCCTAAAATATCGGATCCATTTAAATTTAATCATATGGTTTGTACGTAAAAGATTCAATACATATTTGATTAAACAACATGCAAAAAACATAACAATGATAGGGATAACATTAAATTAGACAAGAAATATCTAAAAAAAAAAACTTAGTATCTATGCTACTTTTAATTTTTATAGACATATTTTACATATTATATCATATTACAAAGGTTTTAGTATTGTAAATTTGAAGAATAAGTTTAATTTTCTACATGACTTTTTACCCCCAATTCTAATCCTATAAACAAATTAGTCAATCAAAATAGGTTAGTAATAAATTAAAATATGTTGATTATATTATGCTTAAATCATAAAATGAATAACTTATAAAACAAACATATTAAAAAAAGTAATTTTATAACAAATTAACTGTTGAAATTTAAATTCAAATTAAATAATTCCCCATCTAGTAGGTAGTAACATTAACATTAATCCAAAATTATATTTAATTTATCAAATACATATATTTAATTAAAAACGTATTTTACACGGCTCACTGAGTTTAAGTCACAAAGTTTATCCAGATAAGATAGATTGGTATACATTTGTAATTTAATGAGATTATAATATTATATGTATATATTTTTTTTAATGGATCTAAACTAATTTTTAACTTTCACAAAATATGAGTAGGGAATTTGAGAGAAAAAATAAATATCAAAGTCGAAAAAAATTTAATCTCAAATAAAGATAACTAAACGTTTTAATCTGAAAAAATAAGTGAATTCTTATATTAACAAACTATAGTCCAAAATTTCAAGGCATTACACATAATTTTAAAATTGTTTAAAAATAAATACTGGATATAAACAATAACAATACACATAATTAACTTATGAAACATTTACCTGGTAGGATCAATTTCCAAATTATCAAGGCTAAAAGATAAAAGATGAGTTTCCGAATCAGTCATCGCTTTTGTATTCTCTAATAGAGTCGCCATCTCATCCTAAATAAGAAATAATTATGACAACTGTTTTAACTATAACTAAAGCTTGTAAAGCTGTAAGCACACGTAATAAATTAAGTGCGCAATTGTTTTTTTTTTCTTGATAGAACAAGACTTAACTGGTAAACAAATTTGAAGTCGTTTACTCACCTATAATATGACAGCAAGTTTGACCTTTAATGTTTGATTAGTTTATCTGACAGATCTAATTTGATTTAAGTTAAGTTTAAAATTCTTCGTTTGTAATCACATTAAACTTTATTGTTTTTTTTTTTGCGCATAATCTTATTATTATTATTATTTTTTGTCATCAAATTATCAAAACAAACAGCACAGTCATACTAAATAATGTTGTGTAAGGCAAGAGGTAAATTGATAAAATAATCCAGTGAGGTTAGACAACATAGCTGCAATCATAAAATAAAAATATCAACACCAATATAGATAATAAACTTGAGATATAATGTGAAGTTATTGTCCGCCATTAGAGATAATAAAAAATGGATAGGCTATTACTATATTTTAAACTAATGCTATAGATACAATGGTTACGCAACGATTTTCGAAAAAGTGGCCTTTAATGTTCTTATAAATAATTAAAAAAACCTGCTCACTGCCTGCGCTCGCGGCGGATTTAATAGTATGATGATAAATAATGATGAATAATGATAAACTAATAAATTCACTGGGCTCTTGTAGTAGGTATGTTTTGGCCAAATTTGATAAGAACATTTCGTGCCGTTTTTTCTTTCAGCACTCTATAAAAAATAAAATACCATATTACAAATGGCCAGAAGAAAATATGGCAAAATTTCGAAAATGGCCAAATGAAAGTATTTTGTATACCAAAAGGTTTGAATGATTGTAAGAATTAGTGATAAGGACCTCATTCGCAAAACAATCATGTGAGAAACCCTTGCAGCAATGGCTGGACAGAATAGTGATAGATATTATAGCGATTGATAAATCCAAGAGTTTGGAAGAGTCAGAAGATTGGAGGGCTGGAGAAGTTTAGTTAAAGGTAAAAAAAGTTTGAGAAGCTTGTAAAGCAAAAAAAAAAAAAATACATTATAATAAATTTTATTTAAATATTAAAGAATTTATTCATCAAAAAATAGTAAAATATTTTTTTTGTACCTTTAATAATGACTTCTTATAAAATGTGTATAAAAGGTACCTAAAATTATTTTGAAGGGTTATAATTTTGTTGAGTACTTATTTGAAAAAGAATTCCTATATGTTTAAATTATAAATTTCCTTTTTTTAAATATGTTGTCTAAATTATTTATATATAACTCATTGAACTAAGTAGGTACCTCAACTATTATACAGTTGAGTGGTTAAACCTTTATGTTAATAAAAACATGGCCATTTTATACAAAAATATAAACAAATTTATATTTCATAGTATTTAATGTCAATATTGTACATCAATAAAGAAATTCAGATAAAATAACATAAATTTAAAAAAAACATATTATATTGTAAATGTAACAATTACATATTCAATTTTAAATTGTTCTCAAATTTTTTTAATTGTGAAATAAAACCAGCATTAGGATTAATATTTGATCTGGATTTCTTAACAAGTTTAAAAGCATCTTCAAAACCAATTTTTAAATGTTTCATAACATATGCAATAATAATAGTTGGTGAACGAGATACGCCAGCATTACAATGAACAAATACACGGCGATCTAGCAGACGAATGTTTTCAATATATAAAAAACATTTATCAAAAACATTTTGCATATTAAATGACGGTATATCATAGGCTTCAATAAATGTGTACACTAAATTGTTGTATTTTGGTACACTTATACCAATGCTTAATATATCAGTTATTTGGAGTACATTTAATATATTAGGGTCACATGCAACATCTTGAGAACCAAAATACAAAAATTCAAATATGTTACTAACACTAAGATCTGGTTTTGTGTCGACAACAAAACCATAAGTCTGTTTGTTTAATAATTGCCTTATGAAACCATCTGCTGATTTTATTTCTTTAAAAACAAGACCACTTTCTGTAGTTACTTTAGTTTCTACTTTTTCTAAATTATTTTTTTTATTTTTCAACTGATCTAAGAAGCTCATGATTTTTTATTTTTTCAAGAGACTTGCTAGTACGATCTAAAAGTGAAGCTCTTCGTTTTTCTATACGATTTCTAATAATTTCTTTTTTTAACTCTATAGAATCTTTAACTTGTTTTTCAATTTGAATAGGTTCTTCTAACTTATCTATTGGCACTGCTAAATCTTCTTCATCATAACCCATATCATACAAATATAAACCATGGCTTGGCGCTGTTGATGCTTTAGGATTCCAACTATTACCTGATGGATTGTCAAACATATATTTAACATCGTTATATGTTAATGAATTCTGTGCAACTTTAATGAGCACACCAACAGTACGTCTAATCTAAAAAAAAAAATAACAATTACAATTTTGATATTAAAATAAATTTTATAATACTGCAATATTCTAATTTAATATAGATAATATGTATGATTTGTATCTATACACATTTTAAATAAAATTCAACATAAACACCAGAGTTTTAAAAATAGTGTGTACAAAATATATGCAATGTTGACTTCCAAAACTGCAGAGTCAACATTTTTATAGTTTTTGTGTTCCCAAAATTAAAGTAAAAGCATTATTTCAGCTTTAAAATTAACTTTTGCTGCACTAGGGCTCTGACTTGTGATATTTATGGGATCAGAGATGTAGCTAAGACTTAGTGTGACTAGCACAGGCTAAGTGCACATCCAGTACAAAAATAAAAAAAACCTATAATCTAAGTATAGTAAAAATAATAAAGGTAGGTTATAAGAGTGTGAATTTATGTGTGGCCAAAGGCGCTAAAAACTCTTGTTACAGATACATGTGGAACCAAACAATGGATTAAAAATATATATAAATCTATATTATTTATGATTAGTTAGTGCCTACAACAATTTGATAAATTTTTAAGTTTTTTATAATAATAAAAATTAACTGACCAACAAATATGACAAAAAATTGAATATTCTTACTTGTTTATAAAGAAATGATCTTGCATTGACATGAATATCCCAATAAGAGTAATATTTGTCAAATTCTGTAGGATAGAATGACTGGCTTGGAATTAATTCAATACTATTCCATGTGCGTAGTGTATTCATACTGAAAAAAAATTAAATTATTGAAAGTTTGATGAGGTATTACATGCAGAAACATGTTACAAAATATTAATTAAATTAATTCAAACAATACAATAAAAAAAAAGCTGTCCTAGAATAATAAGGACGAGTGCAGCTACTGTTGTAGATGGGAAACTAGGAAGATTGGATACAGAAGGGAATTTAATGTATATCTGTAAACAAAGATAAACCATGAAAAAACAATTCTGAACACATTTCAGTTGATAGTGACACTTTGTTAACAATATATATGTCATATTATGGTAAAATAAATAATTAGATAGGCATTATATATTTTTTTAAATTATAATTGTTTAACATTGTACATTTTCCCATGTTTTTTTTCTGGTTTTTCACATTGGTTGAGAAAAATCCTCAGAAAATAAAAAAAGTACCTCCTAAAGTATCATTTTAGTCAGATTTTTTTTTTTCAGAAAAAATGCTAGAATTGTAGATCAGAGCAAAATTGGTGTAAACAAATTATCCACAGAAAAAAAAAATAGCATTATAAAACTAATACCTTCCTCGCTCCACTTAGAATTTAAATTTAAATAAACAAATAAAATGATAAATCTATAATGGTTGAACTACCTAGTTTTTCTAGGTTTTCCTAGTTACTCAGTGTAAAGATTTATTTTTTTATTATGAAAATGTATATAGATGCATAGTTAAGTATATTAGTGCTGAACCAGCATTATCATTGAAAAAAAAAAAAAGGCTGTGGATGTTCTCCTCACACTTCTATTTATATTGTATACAATTATACAATCAATGACATGTTTTGCAGGGTACAATGTATATTATGTCACTATATCTTATGGAAAAACTCAAGCTAAAAGCAAAACTCAACCTTAAATCAGTAAAATTATATTTAGTCTACAACTGTATTCTATTAAAAATATTGAAGATAATTTAGTACTCAGGATTAAGTTTGGGAGATCCCATAAATGTTCTGAAGTCTTTAGTTCCAATAAATAGGGGCAATACATTTTTCACACGTTCTGGATCAAACTCAGGATTACTAAAATAAGAATAAAATAAAATGGATTATTGTTAATAATAATGAATAATATATACAAATGACTTACTGAATAAAATAACACCGATTGTCTTCTGTAATAGGAATTGGAAACACAAATCTTTCATTAAATAGATCTTTATAATCTGCTTTAATTACTGCCAATCGATACAAATATTTTCTCCACTTGACACATGCTCTAGCATTGAACTCGTTAGAAACTAATTGAGCTCCAACAAGTCTAAAAAATGTATTTTTTAAATAGTATGTGATGAAATAACTGTAATTTGTAAGATATTTTATGAGTAAAATCAGTGGTTTGCATAGCGAGAAGTTAGGGTTTATGTCCTTCCCCCAATGGCTTAAAAATACAAAGAGTATTTAATCTTGAAATATATATATTTGAATCAAGTTACAAGAAAAAGATGAATTTATTAATTAAAAATTGCCTTTTAAACTTGCATAATGGCGTTGGGCAGAAATTTTATGATCTATTTATAATTCTTATTTACTATATCCTGTTCCATTAAAAATCCCTAGGCACGCCACTGGATAATGTTATTAAAATGTTTCAATAATTTCATATGAATTTTGATTCAAAAACAATCTATCATCTTCACTTTTTTTGTTAGGTATTATTTGAATGGCTTTCTGTATACAAATAAATTAATTTACAAAATATAAATTACTTAGGAGTCTATTTTTATATTGTAGACTATATTTTGAAATATTCGTTATATTTTATTATAGTGATTACTTAAATTAAATTTTAGTACTATTATCTAAAAAGTAACATATATTTATTATATCAATAAAATAAAAGTTCAACTAAAATTTACCTTACTTTTATCTAACAATAAAAATTATGGAATAAGTCTATTATAAACTTAAGAAAACAATTATTTTTGAAGAGAGGTTTTAATGTTGAAGATGGTGATACAATCAGAATTTTTAGGAAACTATTATTTTATTAGAAGAATGGTGATTTAAAGACTGTATATCACTATACACAGATCACACAATAGCAGCTCTTTTCGTCCCTTCCCCTTCCATAATTATTTGATACATTGTATGACAAATTTAGTTAGTTAAATACTAGTTTTTAATTTACAAATGTCAACATTTAGATATACTTAATAGGAAGTTGGCAAGAGCTTAAGAAGCTGTTAACTTTGAAAACTATATTATTGGGATGACAGGAATACGGTAGGTCTAAATCAATATGAGCAGATGATTTAAATGCATGAACACCTTGATCCGTCCTAAAAAAAAAAATACAATATTATTTGTAAACCTTTTGGATGAAAATGTGAATTAATAATTTCAGTTTAGTACAATCTAACATATTTTTTTAATCTTCAATATCGCATATTTTTGTTTTTAAGCAAAAACTTGTTTACACTCAGAAGACACTACATACATTCTAAATGTATGACATTATCAATATAAACATTCCATTAATGACAAACACAGTTTTGAATGTACAGAACATTTATTAGTGCAATGAAGTTATTATTATTATTTAGTTTACATATAACTTAAATTATTATGTATATTAACGAGAAATACAAATTTAAACATTTTTTCTACTGTATGCAATTTATTTATTAAATATAAATATAGATAAATAAGATTATGAAAGTTTACTAACCGGCTTGATATATGTAATTTAGGAATGTTTTTAGGGCTTAATTGTTTAAAAGCATATTCTAGTAATCCTTGAACAGAAGACGGATCATCATAATGTGTCATATCATAAGTCAATTGACGTTGTACTCCACTATAGTTAAAATACAATTGAATTAATATAAGCATATTTAATATACAAGTCATTTAATTTAAATAGTTGTTTTACTATTCATGAATTTAAAATGAAACAAATTAAATATTGTAAGTATACATTTTACCAAATACCATTTATATTTTTACTATTTAGGTTAGACCCACTTGGTAAAATTTTGAATAATTCTTAACCTAAGGTGGGTCGTAAGTAATATTACTTAAAAGTAGTGGTTTAAAAATATAAATCTGAAAAAATACATTAACAGGTATATATTACAGTTAAAGAATAATATCTACATTAAATTTGCTTACCGAAATCTAGTTCCAATATAGGAAAAGTATATTAAATAACGGTTAATAGTCATATTAAAATTCGAAAATAAATATCAAAAAGATAAAACAATATTCTATTTTTTTAAATTATGTAATATTAAAAATAATTATAATTGAACAGAATGTACCGGTAAAAAAAAAATCATCATCCATGAGAAAGTGTATTTTGGAAAATCGTTATCAGTAAATTGTAGAAATTATATTGTCTTTCTGAAGTGTTATCACTCAATAAAGTCGGGGCAACGAAAAATGAGCGCTGGTTTCCGCGACCCGTTATTTATACCCGCCGTTAAGGCCAATGATTCTCAACATCGTGCAGCTGTCGTGGTGTCGCGCGCCGTACTTATTGTGTATTCGAAAAGTGAGCCGTGACAGTATTCACCGCCAAGATAGTTGAAGGCAGCACGTGTTCAATTTATAACATTTCTTACCCTCCGTTGTAGGTATATGTTTACTAGGGAGGAATCATATTATAGCAGCCACTGTAGTATATTATGTTTTGGTCTCATCTATCGTTTACACACCCTACAGTCGTAAACACTTATTTTGTACGGGCCATGTTATAGTCTTTAAAACAGTTTCATATCTCAGAACGCTTGTTTTAAAAACTTTAAAATGTCGTTTAAAGATTGTGACACACACAGTCAGAGCAAAAAAAGTAATTTTTAATGTTTATAATTTCATTAAAATGTGTTCAGAAAAAAAATATCTAAATTCAGATTTTTTTAAAAGTGCACAAAAAATTGCCACTCAGGCTTGTGGTGTTTCACATATGACAGTGCGGCGTATATTTGTAGAAGCGAACAAATCTACAGATGATAGTGATGAAGAAGTACAATTTAAATCACCTCGTAAATTGTACAAACATTTAAAGAAATGCTCGGAGCTGGACGATTTCGATGCTGATGTGATCATACACAAGTTTTACGAAAGAAACGAATATCCGACTGCTTTTTCAATATTAAATGAAATTAAAAAAAAAATTACCACATTATCAATGATGCGTCCGGTCGGTAAAAAATTTGTTAAAAAACTTAAAATTTGATTTTAAGAAATGCAATAATGACCGCAAAAAGCTTATGGAGTGAAATGATATAGTCGCTTTACGATGTAAATTTTTACGTACAATATGTACATTCGGGCTGAATGAAGATACCCGACCTGTAGTTTACCACAGGGTAAACCAAAATCATTCAAGGTCCCACATTTGGTAGAATAATGAAGAAACGGAAAGATTCAAAATACCAACTGGCAAAGGAGATCGCCTAATAATTATTCACGCTGGATCATCACGTTTCGGATTTATATAGGGATCAAAATTAGTTTTTAAATGTCAAGCTGGAAATTCTATTGACTACCATTGATAACCACTACTACTAAACTGCCGCTTGGTGCATGACGGGCAGCGTTCATTTTTCGATCCCCATAAATCCCTGTATTTCCCATGGTTAACGAGATCTCCGGGGGCCAATTAGTTCCCCAATCAACTAAATCGCCATGGCCAAGGCTATAGATCTGATAGTTGCACGTTTTAGAATCCAAACGTGGACATATTCAATGGATAGAACCATTTACTTCAGATTACATATAATATCGATGATGTCTAACATGTTAGCGACGATACTACGATTATATTAAGGTATAAGGTCTATGTTCAGAATCTATCTATAATGAATTAATGAACTACGGAAAAAAAATTATCAACTGGCTATTTATTATTTACATCGTATATGCAATTATTATTATTAACAAAGCACCTATCACTTATTATATACCATCATATTATACTATCTATTATATCATTTACATCTTACATACAATTAATTTTATTTATGGCCGTCAATTCCCAGCATAATACCTACTAATAGAATGATTCTGGGGATATTTTTCATATACGAACTATAATGTATTATCTATTATGTATCTAAAATTATTTTTATCAATTGGATCATCTTCTATTGATATCAGCTATAGATTTTTAAATCATTTGTTTTCTATAATTCCTCCTTATTTTCTCCTGTAATTGGTTGAACATAAAATTGTACATAGTGGTGCATTTTTATATATATTATATAGGAAATATCTACATACTTACATACATATCAAATAATATAAGCAAATTTATAATGAAACCAAATTTCTCTACCCACTTTCATGGGTGTTGATAGGAAATTTATCAGAGAGGAACATAAAAAAACCATTAAGTATAATTATAATAAAATTATATTAGTTAATTATTAAAATTATATTTGGAATATTTTAAGTCTAGGGGAGGCAGATGTGCCGTCTTGCCCCCCTCTCCTTCGGCCGCTTCATGAACACTTCCCAATCCATATTATATTTATATTATCTTGCAAGAATAATACTATACATTTAAAAAATATAAAAAAAAATTGAATCTATATAAATTATAATATAAAATTATTAAATTATAAAAAAATACTCCTCTAGATCACGTTTGTTATATTATTTAGACACAATATTTTCTATACGTCAACATCTCGATATTTCTCCGTTCATTACACTAAATTAAATCGGCTTCAATGTTTTTACAACAAAATATTTAGTGTTAAATATTTTTCGTTATTACTTTAGATAATTTTGGTGTCAACATTTTTGATTTCTGTCAACCTGTTAACGAGATATTCCACTTTTAAGTTTAGATAGAGGGAGAGTACTGCCGAAAACGCCGAAAGTAAAAAAAAAAAATGAAAAATGAGTTAAATACATCAAAAAAATCTTAAAAATCAGACGTCTTGGGACAATATGACAAATGTCTGAAATATTATTCTATGAAACGACTGTTAGCAATATTGGTTTTGACAAAATGCTGTAAATGGTCCACTACTATGTTGGAGTATAATTTGTCTCAGAATTTTATTAGTGCTCCACTACTCTCCATGAAAAACCAGAGTTGATATCATCACAGAATATTCCTTAAATGCTGTGAAAAATCTAAGTATTCGAAAATATTTAATTACATTTAAAAATTTCAAAAATCAGAATTTGAATATATGCAAAATTTAACCAAAAAAATGGATAGTACACTTAGTTGGATCACTATGTATATATTATATTTATTTGATAGATTAAATTATTTATATTTTTTAGAATTCATTAAATTTTTCTTACAAGATGGTATAAATATAATATGAACGAGGAAGTGACCCCAGATATGCTCTGGCCACCCATTCCCACTAATACCAATAATACAAATAAAATTACTTATTTATTTTGTTAACAATTCTTCAAAAAAAAAAAAAACTATTTAAACTATAATTTTATTGACTAGATGATTTTAATTTATTTATTAACAAAAATATTTTTAATCAAAAAAAAATATAACAAAATAATAAGTTTTCAAAATCAATATAAATAAATAACAGAGTATCTATACAATTTAATACTTACATATTATAAGTAAATAATGATTGTTACATAATATTATTATATTAGCTATAGTAAAATGTTTACAAGTATTATATAAAATATAAATAAATATTTATACAAAAATAAACTGTTCTAGTAGTAAATTTTAGTTCAAATATGTTTAAATTAGTAAACACATTTAAAATTTTTTAGAATGTTTAGAAAATTGTTAATAAACCATTAAGGTAATTGAGTAAATTACTATTGTATAACTATGTAGAATGAATTCGATTTTGCATAATTGTAAACAAATAAAGATTCATACCTATCTACTTAAAATATTTTGTTAGATAAATAATATTTATTATTATCTGAAACTTTAACAATTTAGCTAGAATGTTTTATTGTTGTTTGTAAATTAAAATATTTTTATTTCCCGTGTATTCTTGTATAAATTGAACTCCTAGACATCCTCCAAGAGAAAATGCCAAGTCTTCTTTTTGAAGGTGTTCTTTTTTACGAAATGTTTCTAGCAAGTTAATGTCCACATTTTTATTTTTATATTTGACTAAAACCCAAATTTTTGGTACACCAAATTTTGCAGGTACTTTATTTTCTACCGGTTGTTCTTGTTCATTATTAATTTTGTATGCTTCATGTATAGGCTCAACTTCTAAGTATCCTATAACCTTAAGATTAGGCAATACAGCTAAATATGTATAATTCTTATACGATAGAATACCAGTTTTAAAAATACCATACTCCAAACATACAAATTCATTAACTTCTTTAATGGATTTTTTTATATCACTATCATTATAATGTTCTGTATCCAAAATTAATATTTTATAGAATAGATTATTTTGTTTCACATTGATTGTATTATTATCAGATACATTACCTTTAAAACGTAATTTATAAATATTTTGATGTAAAGATTCATGAAAAGATTCACTCCAATAATTAGGGGTCTCAGAAGTAGGAATTCCACAAGCACAAAGTTTTTTTCCATATTTAGGTTTTAATGTTGACAAAAATGCAGGGATTACAGTACCATTAGGCAACTCGATCATGTAATCATCTTTACTTGTATCATATTCGAGTCCAATATCTTCTGATGTATTAATTGCAGAACAATTTTTTTTAATAATTTTTGTACTGGATGGTTTTTTATTTGGTAAAATATCTGTTGTATTTGTTGTTTTGTGTGAATGTTTTGTTTTATTTTGTTCTATATTTTTGTTATTATTTGGCTCAATATCAATCTGAATATTTTTTATTTTTAATTTTGATACACTATTATATTGATGGCAATTAGATGTTGAGTCAATACTTTCTGTGTTTGAATTAAAATAATTTGATGTTAATAGTTCTGGTTCATTTAAAAGCTTGGATTTTTTACACTTTTTTTTCTTTGGTTCAGATTTAATCTGAGTAGTGTTTTTAATTTTATTTTGCAATTTATTATTATATTGATGACATTTAGATGTCGAATCAATAATACGAAGAATACTTTCTGCGTTTGATTTAGAATAATTTGATATTGATAATTTTGATTCATTTAAATAATCTTCATGAAAACATTCTGATTTGTTTGGTTTTTTGCTTGCTTTATTCTGTGATTCAAAATCAATTTGAGTATATTGTATTTCATTTTTTGAATTTTTATTAAATTGATGATACTTAAGTGTTGAATCAATACTTTTTGTATTTGATAAAAAATAATTTGATGTTAATGGTTCTGGTTCATTTAAGTCAAATTCTCGGAAACATTTAGATTTGTTTTGCTTTTTAAATTCTTTATTCTTTGATTTAGGACCAATCTGAGAATTTTTTATTTTATTTTTTAAACTACTATTATTGTATTCATGATTAATATTTTCTATGTTTGACTTAGAATTATAAATTGAAGTTAATTTTGGTTCATTTAAGTTGACTTTACGTGAAAATGATTTTAATTTGTTAATATCAGAATGCTCATTGTTTAATATAATAATATGTTCTTGCTCTTTAATTTCAATGACATTTTTATTTTGTTCTTCATCTGTCTTGTCATTACTCATTAAATCATTTAGATTTGATTGGAAAATAAAATCTGTTGATTTTTGGGATAGTATTTCATCATTATTAATTTCAAAACCAGTATTCATTTGTAAAGACTTTGCAAATGATAATGGTTTCAGAATACCAGAATTTTGATTTTGTATATCTTCAGTGCTCTCATCACTCATTAAATCATTTAGATCTGATTGGAAAATAAAATCTGTTGATTTTTGGGATAGTGGTTCATTGTCATCAATATCAGAACTAATATTCATTTGTAAAGGTTTTGCAAACGATAACGGTTTTAAAATATCAGCATTATGATTTTGTATATCTTCAGTACTCTCATCACTCATTAAATCATTTAGATCCGATTGGTAATTAAAATCTGTTAATTTTTGGGACAGTGGTTCATTGTCATTAATATCAAAACTAATATTCATTTGTAAAGGTTTTAGGGGTGAAACAGGTTTTGAAAAACCAGTATTTTTTTCATCATCAATCATTAGGTTATTTAAATCTGATAGGTTATTAAAAATATCTGTTGATGGTGGTGATAATGGTTTATCAACATCTATTCCTAAACTAATATTATTTTGTGTAGGTTTTAGAGGTGACACAAGATTTGACGTTTTTGTTTGAATAAACAAACTACCAGTATTTGGTAGCGGATAATATTTCTCACTATTTTTATCATAATTATCATTTTTAATCAAGTCGTCACCAGACAGACTACAATCTAAAAAAATATCATCTAATTTAAGTGTATTAGTATAAAGGTCTGTATTTTGAGAACTTGAAAAATGAGTGTTTACATCTGAAAATTCAATGGAATCCAAAGATGTTGAAAATTCTATTGGTTTAATATTTTCTTTGTTGATGTTTAAATTATTAATATTTGATATTTTCCTTTTTGTATAGAATTTATTTTTGTGAGTTTCCAAACTCCCAGAAGAATTCTTGATTTTTTTAATTTTTGAGATCTGTGTTAAATGTTTCATGTTAAGAGAATCTGCAGAGCTAGATGAAGATTCCATTGTATATGTCGAAAATTCTTTGTTTAAATTAATATGATTTAAGTGTTCAGTTTGTTTCTTAATAAAGTCTTCTTTTTTATTAATATAATTTGTTTTGGTTTTTGAATCATGTAAATTATTATCGATTTTTAATGGTCTTAGTAATGAATATGGTGAAATAATAGACTTATTTTTAAGTCGGGTTTCTGGTTCATTTTTTCTTTTAAGTTTTTTAAAATAGCTTAATGAATTGTTTGAAGTTTGACATGATGAACTTAAATCTGATGAATTTTTTAATGAAAAATGTGTTTTATTAAAATCCATTGTATTGATATTAAATTGCATGTCTCTCATTTCATTTTCCGAGTCAGAACTTGCAGATGAGGCACTAAAAGAATATAATGAAGCCATTTTTTTTTTTTTTTTATCATTTAATTGTTTGTTTGGTGGTTTATAGTTTGTTTTCTAAAAAATGTGTTTTTGTTACCTAAAGCAACAAAAAAAAAAAAAAACAAATTACCTTTGAATTAATAAAAAATTGCTAGACAATTGAAAAGCAACAGGTAAATATTATTAAAGTAGGTAGCATATATGGATTTCTTTCCCCGATCTTATTTTTTGTACACTATTCATTTGATAGAAATTGATTTTTTATTAAAAGCCCACTGTCACATTTTGCCTGCTCACGAACAAGCCACTGTTGTAAGTGGATATCTATGGAAGGTAGTATATATAGGATAATATGCTTTCTTTAACATTAAATCATTATAAACAAAAAGCAATTCTGAGTAAAGTAATGTTAGTTGTCATTTTTCTCTCATTTAAAGTAATCCAAAAATTAAACAACAAAATAATTTACTAATTTCTGTGATGATCATTTTAGGAGTGATTTGAAAAACTGTAAATCGCTGATTGGTTATTTGTTTATTTCTTAACTCGGCAATAAGTTGTGCAGTAGAAAATAACTGCTATAACAGTTTTAACAACAGAAGCAGAGTATGTAGCCTTGTCTGCTGCAGTATCCAATTGTTTGTAGTTTCTGAAATGAGAGTGGAATAAAATAAACAGGTCAATGTAATGTAATGATGTTCAATCAAATCTACAGTTGACAGATATATTTACAAAACTAATACCATACTCAAGATTTGTTGAACTATCAAATAAACTTAGTTTCATTTAAATTCTGTAATGTATTATCTTATGTTTATTTTATATTACTAATTGTGATTTAAAATTCCATTAATTTAATACTTAAATAATTTTTTTATAAAGTATATTATGCATGAATAGGATCAGGTAGATTCTTTTTTCATACATTAACAATTATTCTTACAATAACTAGAACATATTTCTCCAGAAAAAACATACATAAATACACAAGGAAATCTCCAGATGAAAAGACACATAACCAAGTTGACTACATACGGATCAAAATAAAACATAGTTTATGTATAGGACATAGGAGAACATATAGAGGAGCTGATGCAGACCTAAAATTCAATTTGAGATTATCAACAAAATGGAACTTGATAAAATAGAAACCTACACAGAAATACAATATATAAAAATTCAATGATGCCGCAATAAGGAATAACTATTTAGAGAAGATTGCACAAGAACTGAAATATATGAATACAAATATGCTAAGAGATGGTACAGAAAGTGGTTTAATATGGAATAAAACAATAGGTAGTAATTAATAGTACAACAGAAATTTTTGGACTGGCGCCCAGAGAAAATAAGAAAAATTGGTTTAACTTTATTTGTGAAAAGGTGATAGGAAAAAGAAATGAACTGGAGAAAAAAGCACTGCAACAGCCATCAAATGAGAACATAAGAAAATAAGAAGAACAGGAAAAATAGGCCACTAAAACATTAAAAAGAAAAACACCTACCTAAAAATGAAAGTGGACAAAATAAAAAGGAACAGATTCAACACAAAGAAATTTTTCAAAATGACAAGGGAAATAAAAACTGGCTTTAAACCATAAACGAGGATTATGGAAGATGACACAGGAATTTTGAACACAGAAGAAAAATAAATCATAGGTAATTTTAAGGAGCATTTTGAGTTTTGACTGCCTCCTTAATTGGCCAACAATAGGGTGTCATTCAGATTTAAATATAGACTATCATAATGGATAAAGAGATATCAAGATTTAAAGAATCTAATTAAGATACTTAAAAATAAGGCCTTAGGAGAAAATAGTATAACTGCAGAACTATTTAAAAGAGGCAACGTAATATAAACAAGCAAAATTAGAGAAGTCATTATAACAATATGGGAAACTGACCACCATCCAGGAAGAATAGAAAATTGCAATAGTATGCCTAATATTTAAGAAGGGAAATCTTATGGTAGAGAACTATAAAGGAATATCATTACTGGACTCATACTATAAAATTTTGACATCACTTTTATTAAAAAGACTATAAAAATGTATATTGAAGAAATATTTGGCAATTACCAATGCGATTTTAGGAGAGGAAAATCCACTATAGGCCATGTTTTTGGACTAAGACAAATAATGTCTGAATATAAGAAATTGCATCTAGTTTTTGTGGATTACGAACAAACTTAATTGATAATGTAGACAGAGAAATTTTATGGAAAGCACCGATAAGTTTAGGAATACCCAAAAATGTGTTACAAAAAAACTTATGCAGAGTGCAATTTTTGTCGGGAATATTAGATCTTTTTGAAGGCAAATCTATTTTAAAACAGGGATGCCCTTTCACCCATGCTTTTTAACTTGGCTCTCGACAAAGTAATAAAAGACACACGCGACGATCGAAGAATAGAATTATCTAATGAGCAAATTTTGTTAGCATATGCAGATGACATTGTGGTAAAAGGTGAAACCAGAAAAAAATCATTTATGTAACATCAAAACTCATGTATGAAAGTAAAGAAATGAGACTAAACGTAAACGAAGAAGAAACTAAATGGGTACATTGTCGTTTCACGAAGACCTTCAAATATAGATGCTTAGAAGTATATAATTATTCATTTGAAAAATTTGACAATTTCAAATATTTGGGCGTCAAAACTAATAACAAAAACGATATGCATATGAAAATAAATGAACAGATCGAAAATGGAATAGATACTATTTTAGTACCATTAAACTTCTAGAATTCAAGTTGTATAGATTTTTTGAAGATCAAAGGTAATGTTGTATCATAGCTACCTCTGACCTATAATAATATATGCCTTTGAAATCTGGCCATTGATCAAAGGGAATAGTAGAAAATTAATCACGTTTGAAAAGAAAGTTTTGAGAACAATATACAGTCCATTTTTTAACCTAGAAACGCAGATACAAAAGAAGAAGCAATAAAGATATAAAAAGGGCAGATATTTTTTCTTTTATAAGAATCAAATGGTTAGAATTGTTTGGGTATGTATGGAGGTCGGATAGGCAGTTAATTCAAAATATACTAATTAATAAAATAAATAGAATAAGACCTCTAGGACGACCAAAAACCCGATGGATTGATAAAGTTACCAAAGATATAATAAATCTGTGCTCTACTCTATCGTTGTTGTCCATATATTGTCACATGAAATTATGCACTTTATTTTCTTTTCAGCATTACAATAATTATATAAATGATATTACCAAGTTGTATATTTTTAAGATTATATCTCACATAATTCAACTAATATTAGTGTGAACTAGGTAGAGGGCAGTAGTAGTTCGAAAATGATAAAGGCAAATACCTATGCTATTTCTATACCCATATAATTTAAAACTTGTAATATTTGAAGTTATTTCTAATTTTGATATTGCTTTGTCTGGACTCTGAAGCCTTTGGCGAAGTGAATGAAGGAAATTAATCGAAAATAAACCACAATTTATTATGCAAAACCACGTCGGATAGTATGTTATTTTCGTGTGCACTGCGTGTTGTATGCATAACTATATGGCAGTATGTATATACTTAATATGCGAATGGCCAAATTTTCGAAAACGTTTTCTATCATTTTTCAAACAAATGCCATTTACCGTAGTGACTAGTGAACTATAGTAATCCCATAGAATCGTTTCGATATACATATTTTATTAAATATAATGAAAAATTTTGGGGGTCAAGTGTTGTAATCAATGTTTTAATAATATATTTGAGATCTAACCTAATCACTGATTTAAGAACTATGAACTTTTCAAAATTTTAAATTACAGTTTTTCAGATTTCAAATCTTACGTCTGATCTTAATGTCAATGGGGAATGATTCTAAAATTCTAGTAGCTCCCACTCGATTTTTTTTCAAAATGTGTGTTTTTGCGTGTACATTAAGTAAAATGTAAAAAAGTAGCACGAACTTCGTTTGGATATTTTGGGGAAAATTTCATAAAGTTAGGGTTTTCCGTTTCACGTATTTCTTAGTTATATATTAAATATTAAAATTTTTTTTCCAAAGTTAATGCACAAAAACTACCTATACAAGTAAGTACGATAGGTAAGTTTTGATTACATATTTTACCGCATTTTAAATTAATTTCACTATTTTTGAAGGTTTATGTATCAAAACTATAAAAGTAAGTATGATAGGTAAGTTTTAATTATATCAATGGATTAAGTATATTTTATATATAAACACACATTTTAGAAAAAAAAAAAAATTGAAAATATTAAATTCTAACTAAGAAATATATGAAACGGAAAACCCAAACTTTATGAAGATTACCCCCATTACTTTCAAACGAAGTTTGTCCGACATTTTTTTTAAAAATTTTTAATGTACACGCAAAAAAAAAAAACAAAAAATCGTGTGGGAATTAAAAAAAAATGAAACTAGAATGCGGATTCACAGTTGCAAATAATGGGGAAAGTGTGACCTCCAAAGTCTTTTTTTCTAAATGAACACCAATTTGATAAATTTTAATTTATAGTACATTTTAAGTGTACTTTTGAGTCCTTTGGAAGTTATCATATAGAGCCAGGTAAATATGTAATTAATAAATAATACACAGTTGATTTAATGATAATTGTATACTTTACTAAAAAAAAAAGAGGTCCCACTTACCACACCTTTAAATATTGTGTGGTTTTTTTTGGTTTTTTAGTTCCTATCTATAGGTTTACACATTTTTTACAATAAATAAATCTAATTACACACACACTTATGCAATATATATGTAGTATTTTAATTAGGTACCTATCTATAATAATACAATTTGTAATATGTATCTAGTACTCTAGTAGTAAAATAGTTAAATACTCAATTATTTATAAACATTACGTAGGTAAGTAACTTAAAAATATGATTTCTTACCTTTAATACCTACAATAGGTGTAAAAAATAATTAAATTGTGTCTTTGATGAATTTTTAACGTTTTGGTAGTAAGTTAAGTTAGGAATAAATTGTTTTAGTTTTTAAAAATGAAAACTGATAGGTAATTATAGATATTAAATAACAAATAACTGTCCTCATAGAAGTTATACTATTTTTTTTGGAAGTAGTAAAAGGATCTGGTTCAAAGGTAGACCTTTACCAATTTTTTTATTCAATATTTCAAGGAAGATATAAGTTGATGAGCTAGTTGTTTGAAAATATTGATATGTAATTGTGATAACGAATTTATGTTAAGATAATATATTCGAAATCTTAATAAATACTAAATACTAAATAGTAAATTTTGAATTACGATTACCTAATTATTATTAATTTTTCATTTTTAAAACAGTTGACAATAAAATGAATGGTAATATCATAGTTTTTCATTATTTTACCTTTTTCTTGTGAATCTGTGTGTATAATAATAATGTATAAGGTAGTACCTATTCCATAGTTAAACTTGTTACCTATTTTTTTTAATCTCTATAGTCTATAAGTACCTATTATAAGTGAATTAGTCAGTTATGAATTTATGATGCCTACCAAGAAAACAATAACCATAGTAAATTTGGTAAGTTAATTTATTATTATAAATATTATTTCTAGGAATGCCACTTATGGACGACTATCCCAGACCTGACTTTTAGATTAAAGATAAATAGAATATAAATACTAGATAAAATGAACGAACAAGAATGCAACCTTTGATAAATAATTTCACTTGTACGAAGTTATTTTCTTTGATTATAAAAAGTCAGCAAGAAATTGAAAGTCTCTTCTCTAATGTATTATATAAATTAAACATTATGAACATAACTATAATCTATGAAAATGAATTTGTCAATGGTTGAACTAAAAAATTCAAGTTCATAATAAATAAGAATTTAGTTCATATTCGGTTCATTAATTGAAAATTGAACTTTTTCATGTCCATTTCACAGAATATGAATGCGTTCTTTCCTATCACTGAATATTGATTATAATGAACAATCAATATTGACTCCTGCTAAGATTTTTCTAAATAAGTTTGATAAAAAAAAATATATATTTATATAATATAACGCTTAACACAATTATATTTTGTTTAGATTAATTTAAAATATAATCAATTTTATACCCAGCATTCATATTGACATATTATTAATGACTAAATTTGTATTCCTTATATATTAAGGGTTGTCAATTAAATAATAAAACAATAATTCTATTCACAATAAAAAAAAAAAACATTTTACCTTCACACCAAAGTTTATATAATATATTAACACTATTAAACACATACAAGGGAAGGTACTGACCCAAAGTCTATCACATTCAGTGTATTACCGATTATAATTATTAATTGTATAAACTATTTAACCTTAATGAATGAATTTTTTATTCAAATTTAAAAATAATTCTTACTCAGGTAGGTAAATATTTGATTTCATTTTGTTTAGTTCATAAAAACTTAAATGTATACTGTATAGATATTAGAAAGTATCAACCATATAATGCATTTGTTATGATAAATTATAGACGAATTCTAAGAATACACACTTTAAATTGTTTTTAATAATAATGTTTTTATGATAAATATAATGTTTAGGGTATCATTCTGTATTTGTTTCTTTTTGTAACTTAATAGGTATCTTAAAAATATTTTTTTATTTTAATGTTTGCCATTATATTAGGTATACCTATGTAAATATTATTTGGTGTAAAAGAAAGAATGATTTATTTTTATTCTATTCATTTCTGTTTTCCTAGATACCTAATGATTTTTTTAAAATCTAAAGTTCTATAACTTCAGTAATAAAAAAAATGTATTTACCTATTGTAGATTTTATTTATTTAAACAATTTATAAGTAGTATCAATTTTTCATTTGTATTATAATGTTTGCATACACCTTAGTTACTAATTTGTTTATTTATTTTTTAATGTAGAAAATGTGTGCTTTTGTTATTTATATTAATACAAATCATTATTTTCAGGGTCTTTTATTATTTACAGTATTTGTTTGGTCTTATGTTGTTGCTACTGCCCAGTTGATTCAAGAACGAACATCATCTTGTATTAAATAAATTAATTGTGTCCAATATATTTATTTATTTTTAGAAAATCATTTGGATTAAAAAAAAAATAAAATGAACCCAAAATCTGGAGACGAATCAATTGATCAAAAATCATTGTTTGATTTGTCATATAAAACAAAGATAAAAGAAATTAACGATATGTTCATTAATATTGAAAAAAAATGTATCGAAATTAAAGATTTCCAAGAAATTTTGAATAAAATTAATGAACTTCAAGAGTTTGTCAACGATTCTAAAACATTTTTACCAGCTTATAATATGAAAAAATGTTCAACTGAAATTAAAGACATAACAAAGTGTTATGAGCAAATGCATGAAAAATTACTGCCTAAAAAGAAATTTTCTTTTGGTAAACGACCAGTTAAATTGGTAGTTAAAGCTAAGGTTGAAGACCAATTTGAACCAATAAATGAATCTAAAGTTTATAAGGAAGATTGCGGATTCAGAAACCGTTCCAATGAAAATCTAAAACTTACAGAAGAAGAAACTTTGTCAAAGGATATAGCTCTAGATGCATTGAGCAATTGCAATGTCTTTATTTGTGGTACACCCAGTACTGTGCGTGTGTCATCATTGTCTACTTGTAAAATATTTGCTTGTGTAAGTACATCAATTTTTGTTGAAAATTGTAAAGACACCATATTTGTATGTGCATCTCAACAATTACGTATTCATGATACTGTTGCTACTGATTTTTATATTTATGTTACTAGTAGTGCAATAATTGAAAACTGTAAACAATTACGGTTTGCTCCTATTACACTCAATAGCCCACTAATAGAAAAATCATTTGAACTTACTGGTTTTGATCAATCTAATAATAATTGGAAAGTTATAAATGACTTTGATTGGTTGTCATCATATGAGTCGTCACCAAATTGGTGTGAAATACCAGAAGAAGAACGTAATCAACCATTCAAAGAAAATAATGTTTAGGATGTTATACTTTGTTTATATTTTATTATAGTATATTAATTATAATTTTAGAAGAATTTGCACTCGAAAACTAATTTAAATTAATTTTGTTATTTATTTACCCTACAAATACAATTTAGTTTTAAATATTAATTTTACAATTAATTATACAAATAACTAGAGTACTGTAATATTAGTATTTAAGATGTTTAAAAAAAATTACCTACAGTAATATATTTTTATTTTATTTTAAATACCTTGTATTTTATTTTATTTTATTATAAATAATAAATAATTTACATTAGAATTCCAATAATATTACCTTTTAGATTTCAGGTCTTAATAAATAATTGAAGGTTGTGCAATCTGTTATAATGATATAAGTACCATTTAAAATTGTGTTATTTATTGCTTGTACCATTAAGATACCATTAACTAATAAGCTATTCAATAAATACTTCAATAATTGAGAAATAATATACCATGAAAATACATTTTGGCTAATAATAACTTGTAATTTGGTATAAAATGGATAACATAGTTTAACAAAAATAGAATAAATTAAAATTTGAACATAACAATGATATTAAAGCAAATCTTTTTTATATTACAGCAATTTTTTTTGAAAATAAAATAATCCCATAACCAGTCTTTTGATATATATATAAAATAAAAATTATTTTTTCTTAAACTTTTTCAACCATCACAGCAATACCTTGACCTCCACCAATACAAGCAGATCCGATTCCATAATTAAGATTCTTGCGCCTAAAACAAATATAATATATGTATATATATAATTCAATCAAATTTTAAAATCTTATTACTTGTATTAAAATAAATTATCAATGTGTAATGTTCATTTTTAAGTAATAGTTTTGTTGATAATAAGTGTTATCAAAGTCTAAGAAATTAATCATTGTAATTTGCTTAATGAGGCTATATTAAATATAATATACTTCCTGGTTCTATGATCAAATACTATTTATAATTATTATAAATAATAATTGTTTGCTCACCTAAGTTCATGGACAAGATGACTAGTAATTCTGGCACCTGATGCTGCTAATGGATGGCCAATTGCAATAGCACCACCGTTAACATTAAGCTTTTCAATGTCAAGTTTCAATTCCTTTTGGCAAGCAAGAGTTTGGGCACCAAATGCTTCATTAATCTTCAAAAAAAAAGTTACAAAACATCAAATCTTAAATTCATAAAAAAGTGTTATTAATTTAAACTACCTCAACCAAATCAATATCATTAAGTGATTTTCCAGTAAGGTTCAACAATTTTGAAATGGCCGGAGATGGACCAATGCCCATTATGCTTGGGTCTACACCTATAACCGAGTAACCTACTAATCTTGCCAATGGAGTCAATGAATGTTTTTTCAATGCTTCCTCGCTAGCTAATATAATAGCTCCGGCACCATCACATATGCCCTATTTTAAATTAGTTATTTAATATATGAAAAACATTTTTAAGCATTGTTATTGGGTATAAATATTTACAAATTTGTAATAATACATTAAAAGTTTACGTACAGATGCTGATCCAGCAGTTACTACACCATCCTTTTTGAAAACTGTGGGTAATTTTGCTAGTGTTTCAAGAGTAGTCTTTGGTTTTGGGTGTTCATCAACATCTACAGTGACATCTGTTCTTTTAACTTTTATAGTTACTGGGGCTAATTCAGTACTGAAAACATTATTTTCTTGAGCTAAAAAAATATTAAACTAAGTAGTAAATTTTGCATACCTATGTATTGAATATTGAAAAAAGAAGGTAAAAATATTTTGATTATTTAATAATATTAACGTTAGGTACCTTTTTTCCATAAAGTCTGTGAACGTAAAGCATATTCATCTACTTCTTGTCTAGAAACTTTATATACTTCAGCTAATTTTTCTGCAGTTAATGCCATTGGCAATTTACAGAACGTATCTGTCAACCCAGTCCATAAACTATCCTCAAAAATAGTGGGTGCTCCCAAAGGTATTCCAAAACGAGCATTACGAACAACATGTGGAGCTTGACTCATGTTGTCTACTCCTCCAGTCAGTACAACATGTGACTCACCACATATGATACTCTAGTATTGAAATATTAAAAAGAAAAAATGTTTGTTATTAAATTAGTATACACCTATAAAACATATTTGAAAACTCTAATAAGTAATATTATACATATGATTATAAACCTATATTTTTCAAATATTTAATTTATAATACCTGTGCTCCATTTACAATTGACTGGAATCCAGATCCACATAATCTGTTAACACCTAACGCATGTCGATCTAATGGAATTCCACAATGCAGAAGTACATGCCGAGGTAAAAAAGCACCGTCAGAAGATGTGTTCTGAAAATGTAAATAATATATTATAGTACTTAATATTAATTACATATATAGGTATTTAGAAAATACCAGATTGGTTAACATAATAATCATTATGCGATTAAACTTACCATTAAAACATTTCCGATCACTACAGAATCAACAATACTTGGGTCTACTTTACCAGCCACAAGTGCAGCTTTTGCTGCTACTACTTGTAATTCAGTTGATGAAGTTTTTACAAATTTACCACCGTAAGTACCAAATGGGGTTCTTTTAGCAGCTACAATAAAAATTCCTGCAGAAATCAATTATAATTATTTATATTTGAAAATGTTCTAATCATAATAGTACAATATAGGTAATAATAATATTGCAGCAGTTTACCTTTTGTTAAAGCCATATTGAATTATTGAATGATTCTAACCTAATCAAATTATGACAAAATTAATGCTAATGGGACTTGTTCACTATTAGAAAAGTAACTGAATGTACCGTGAATAGAAAAATACTATATATTAATATTCATCTATATGGCATTGTAACACATTTAAATTCCAAAGTTAACTGATAATAAACAAAAGATTAAAAAAAGAAAACCATTTAACAGCTGTTACCTGTTGACTGTAGGGCATAGAAAAGAGATAAGAAGTGTGCAGTCCGATTAATAATCGATTACAGAATGCGATTACATCCTGTTGCATAATATTATAGATATTTTTCTCTGAACTTTAAAAGTTATTTAAAATCACGAATTTAATGAAAATAAAAAGTTGTTACACCAAAATTTTCAGAAAAATAAACTCTATACAACAGCTATCTTCAAATTTTTCAAAAACAATAAAATAAAAAATATTTTTTAAAGTTTTTTTATCGAAGTATAAAATTAATTGCAATTTAAATATTTGTAGTCCTTATCCCTGGGAGTATTATAAAAAAAAAACAGAATTTGATTATCTTTATTATCTCCGGAGATAATATAATGGGTATATCTTCGTATATTAATTATTGTTACAAACTACCTACAATGAACAAAATTTGTTCAATGATGTTTATTTATTTGTTTTATCTGTGAACAACTTTTCTACTAGAACTATTCTACTGATTTTTAAATATAGTATATTTCTGAAAAGAAATTTTATTTGGATGATACTTTAAGGTGGTCATTTTTTGATTTTTCAAGAAGTTCTCATAATAAATGGAAAAAAAGTAGGAAAAACTAAAAATACTTTAATTTCGAAATGTATTATTTTCAATTTTATTTTTTTGGTTCTGATTCAGTTAGAAATATTATAGAGACTTGAAATTATGCCAAGGCACTTATATTTGCCTTTCTTAGTTGTGGTAAACATTTTCAAAACATTTTGGCCATTTTTAAGCTATTTTTAGACATTTCAATTTTGCGAGTCTTTTACGTACCTAATTTGTATTTGGTAGGTACTCTCTATCGTAAATATTACGACCCTTGGCCTTTCAAAACATGTACAACCAAACTTCGCACTGAATCGTTTTTCATTAGTAATAGTTTATCATTGCTTACAGGTATAAATATGGTGACCAGACGTACTCTTTTTCGCAAGACAGTACTCTTTTATGATGCATTGTCCTATGTCCTTAACAATGGTGTTAAGTACATGAAATTATACTCTTTTTTTGAAAATATTACGGGCTAATACATGTTTATGAATTTTTATAATTTGATTATTCGTTTATACTTTAATATTTATGGTTCGACCTAATGCATTCCAAACGTCTGTAAGTGACTGACAACGGTAGAGACATCTGGACGACGAAAAAAAACCCGCTGTTAATATAACTACTAGTTATTATAGTTTTACCTAGTTTTTATAGTTGATAATAGAAAAAATAATAATAGAGTAATCAGATAAAATGTATATAGATGGAGATGAGCTATGGGCATAATGGGTAGTATATTATACAGATTTATCTATTCTTTTAAGGGAGGGGATTTTTATAATGGAGGACCTAAATTTTAAAATGTATTTTTTTTGGGATTTTTATATCTGGTCACCATAGGTATTTATAAAATATTTTTATGTATCTTACTTTCCTGACTTCACACCTATAACAGTGGTACATGGTACACCCGTCCTCAGTATTAGCTTCTTTTTTTATCTACGCTTGTTTGATTTTATACTACTAAAATATATTTATTATTGTTTTATATGAAAACTAAAAAGTAATTCGTAAGTTAGTACCGCTGCTGCCGTAGGTTGTAGGTACTTACTATAATGTTATGTTTCCAAGACATTAAATAAATAGGTTACCTACTAAATCTACCTATTATATTAATATAGCTTTTTTCTTGAACATTTATCAATTTTCTATACGTAAAGATTGTACAATCTTAAACAAAAAAAAACATTTATTCATTATATATCCTAACCTAACCTACCTATATTATAATACATAAAGAGATCCGCGGTGAAAATTATGGACATCATACCACGAAACGGTTATAATAGAAATGAAATGTTCAAAATTATTTTATTCGTTTGCGGATTATTCGGATTAGTAAACGATTTCTAAACATATATATTATATACCTATAGAGATATTTAATAATTTAACAATCATTGATTACTATTATAATTTATAATTCCGTTTTAGATACTAACATGTTCCGAAGTCGAGTCATATGATATGTTTCAAGAACTCTATTCAAAAGCGAACGACATGAATTTGGATTTTGTCGAAAACATCCCAGTACAATACATTTATAAATCAAGTAAGTATATCTATCTGGTACCACCACAAATAAACAAATTATCGATTTAGTTTTATAAAAATGTATCATTATTATTATTAATACGAATTTATGTGTTATAATTTTTATTATATCTATAGTAACAATGTTTGTGATTTGGATGAGAAAACATACGTGGTATTTGTATATTATAGCTTATATATTGTTGTTGTATAGTATCGTTTTAGTAAGTACCTATATACTAAAATCTTATATAATATTATATAATGAGGCAGGGGCGTGTCTAGAGGTTTTGGAGGTTTAAACCACCCCAAATTGACTCTTAATTTTTTAAGTTTATTTTTTTTTTTTATAAAATAATAAACATATATGATGATACATTTTATCCAAATATCAAAAAAAAATGCTTGAAATCTTAATTACTCTTTCAATATCAACTACGATAGTAGAACTACCTTTTTCAAGTTTACGTCGCATAAAAACATACTTGAGATTAACTACCGGTGAAAACCTACCTACAGGATTAGCTTTTCTAGTTTCTAGTTTTCCTAGCAAATTTAAAAATCAGGGATAAAACATGGGAAAACAGGGAAGAAGTTGGAAAACTGGGAAAATCGGTACAACATTAAATAAATATTATTAAAGAAAATATATAAAACCTATTTAATTATTTTTTTTTTTACTATAAAATGACATATATATTATATTTGTTGACAAAGCATCACTATCAACTGAACTCGTTGCTTTTACAGGTATACATTAAATTATTTATAACAGTGACGTGACTGCACCCGTTCCCATTATCCTAGGACGTCTTTTTTATACATAATACATAAGCAGGCACTAGTATAAGCTATGGAGAATATTGTGTAAAAATATTAGTTTCTAAAATTTTTTTTTTATTATTATTATTTTTTACACTTTACACGTGATAATTTAATTATTTACAGTTATAACTTTATAAGGTTAACTCTTTAGAATTTATTTATAATATTTAACAGTAATATAAACTGTAATATTTTTCTATTATTGTTTTTTTTGTGTACGCTCATACAGTTTTTATCTACCTATTTTAATTATGTAGTTGTAAATGTAATAATATAACGTTAGAAAATTAAAACCACCCCCAAACCAATGCCTGGGCATGCCCCTGTTATTAGTGTATATTCATTGGTGAATCACAATTTGCTTTATGAAATTTATTTTTATTAGGGCTAGATCTATACCGATAATCGATATAAGTACTATCGGTATATCGAGTATATATACCTGATTTTGTTCGTACATTGTTTTGGTTTTTTAGTAAAACCGAAACAATGTATAATACAAATCGCACATCAGTTTGTAGACAATGATGGTGGTTATAGCGATAAATCTATTGCATAAATAATAACCTCCTAGTTTACAACTATGATGGGTCCTATTTGAGCCTTGGGGCCCCGATGTTAGGCGTCGCCATCCATCCCGGTTATTGCGCCACTGCCCTCACTATTCATGTTTTTAGAATGTTTTGAAAATTTATTAAAATTTATTCAAAAATGAATTTTGTTTTTTAATTTAGCATGTGACACCTCTCCCCCTTTAAAAAAATTAAGGTTGCGCCACTGATCTAAATAAATGCCTAGTTAAAGAATAATATGGCATAGGTAATGTATTTTATTTTTCAGAATTCCAAAAAGTTTTTTTTATTATGGTTAATTGTATCTGCTTGGAGGTCGTCGATCATCAATATTATCGTTATGTTAACGGGATTGTGGTTTGGACTCGTTACCGGAGCCAGTAAAATGGTCATATTGGATTTTTTTTTATGCAAAATATTTCAAATTGGTTAGTATAATAGATATAGGGTATGTTATGTACTCATATGTACCTATTATAAGTTTTATCGATTTAATAATTTATTTTAATAAAATACGTATATTAATTGCAGAGATTTTGGCAATGGAACGTATTTAGTTATATCTATCCCTATGCTTTTTTTCCCTCCATTTTTTTATGAGTGATTCCAGAAAAAGAAAAAACGCATTAATCAATATTATTGTTACATTAATATATATATATATATAAGAAAAAATAATTTAAAACAAAAGATGTTTCTTCACAATTATTATCGCTATATGGCTTCAGCTTATTTCATATAGGCCTAATGATAAATTCATTAGATTCTGCAGAAAAAAAGTATATAATATAATAGATTCAATAGTAGTACCAAGTGTATTATAATTAATTTACAATATACACGTATTCAGGGCCTTATTTAGTGTTTTGGCATCCTTGGGCTACAACTATTTCCATGCCTCCTTCACATTTTCTCCACATTGACTCGTAAAAAAAAAAAAAAAATGTCTGACTGTGTATTTAACTCTATTATTTTTACAAATGGTAGTACTTACTTTATGCTGTAACTTAAAAGTTACTAAACTTACTAAGCAGTGTTCCGTAATAATATTTTGTAATAAAAAATTGGTTTTTATAAACACAAACATAATATTATTTATAATAACTCTATCGTTTTCGTAAGCAAAAGGAAATTGTTCTCCATGATTGTATATTATTTTGGCACCACCTACCTACTATTATTAATGCTGAGGTGACGTATTATTTATAAATTATAACACAACCACCGGTCAACATTACACATTTTCACAACGGACGGATATCATAATCGATGTATTTTACTATGTTTTATTTATAATTGTAAAAGTAGAATAACAAATAAATCGTGATAAAATATAGAACGAGTATGAAAAATAATTTGGAAATTACTAAATACAAAATAAAAAAAGAGCATCCCTAAAAGTTGCGCTCCGGGTAATTGGTAACCCATTGTTATTGTATAGCCTATAGGTACCTCTATAATATGAAAGTATTTTTTCAAATATTGAACGATCGATTGAAAATGTAATTACAAAATGTATAATATTATATATATTTGGATATAATACATTTATACCAGTAGATACGCTGTTGATTTTTCATACTGCGATCTATATTTGCAATTATTATCGAGTTCACAGTCACTATCACATATCACATGACGTATGTACACATTATGTGTACACACTATTTATACACATAATATAAATTATGTAATCAAATATGTAATATGTATGCATTGTCATCTCGAATACAATAAAAACGTTTTGATTGAAATTATAAGTATGTAGATATTATTATTGAATTTATTTGCTTCGTTTCAACTATCTTAAAAAAATAAAAATTAATATGGCCGTAAATTCTTTTATATTTAACAATTTTTTAGAAAAGCAGCTACGTTTTTGAAAATCTTATCCATTTAAGTATTTCCATCTACGTTCAATCTGTATTTTCGACTTAATTGCCAAAATTTATGTTTTACTAATGTAATTTCATTATGTTTTCAGTAGTTTTCTTATCATTTTTTTTGACTTTTGAGATTACCTATAATATAAACCTACGTACTATAATATCATGTACCTTACACGCAGGGTATTTTTTTTTTATCTTTTTTATGGTTTAAAAGCATATAGATATCAGATATCAATTATACCAAAACTAAATTTAAACATTCAAATACATTTAAAAATAACTTATCGTAAATCGTAAAAAATTGTTTATTTTTTGGTTAATTAATGAAATAAACACAATTTGTAATACAATTTTAGTGGTATAAATAGATAATAGTACGCCCTATGAGAACATCACTGTATATTGTCCGTTAATCGGACTGAAACACTTAATGCGGGTAGTCACACTGTGACGTCTTCATAAGTCTCATTAGTTTATTTATTTTCTTTATTATAGGTTTTTCGGCTTCCTTATGGTACGCCCTGTGGACTATGTATCGCACCCCTGTAGATTCACGTAATTTATACGATAATCGACTGTCGAGAAATAGGCGCGCGTCATTTCATGGTTTTGGATTGCACGATTCACATTCTCGAGATTCAGTTCATTCCGCGTTAACAGTGATAAGCAATTCCCTAAGTCACGACGATTACTTAAACGAACCACCCAATCGAAGCGATTACGAATTTGTGGATGCCGTTCTGCAGGAAAGTGCTTCGTTAGATTCGCTCGTCAACAAAAACATGGTCGATTGGTTCGTTAAAGAAGCCAACTCGATAGACGATGATGATTCTTCGTCGTTTTCATTCGATTTAGCAGTGCGAGCAGAAAAGTATTGGAAATATTAATAATAGTCTTACTTATTATATTACATAGCATATTTGTATCGTGGCGTAATAGTTCACTATGTGGGAACGAGAGGGACCGTGAGCAGTGTTAGGAAAAGATAATTAAAAATTTATCTAGATAAATTTTTTTTTTAAGATAAAAAATAATTAGATCAAACTTATTAAGATAAAAATAAAACATTATTTACCTAGATAAAAATAGATGAAAATTTCAAACTTTAATGATTTACCTAAGTATATTTTTTTCATCAATTTATTTATATTTTAAAAATAAATGTAAATAATTAGTAATTATACTATTATTTGAGTTTATTTTATAAATCGGGTTTTAAATTGGAATTCAAACTGAATATTATTGAATTAAATATATTTCAACTGTAGAAATGTTGTTTATAGACAGATAGAAGATAAAATAGAAGATAAGAATCTACCCCAATTTTTACAAAAATGTATAACTTAAAGAGGTTTTAACTTAGAGTGACTGTTATCACATTTACATAGATACAATTTATCTATATCACCTCTATTATAATTCTATCCAAAAAACTAATCAACTATTATTGTAATTCGACCTATGACAAACAGTTCTGTATATGACGTATACTCGTAAATACTATTTATGGATCCGATAAAACCCACTTCATACCCAATTTATAAAATGTTAAAGGAGGTGTCAATTAAACTTTATGCCTGTGATAAATCAGATTACACAATTTTGGATAAAAATATTGCAGTGATGAAGGGGGATGATTAGTAAAGGGGGTGATTTTAGGCCTAAAATATGATACTTGTTATAGGTTCCTGAGAAAGGTTGAAGTATATTCCAGTGGTAAGGGGGGGGGGACTCGTTAATAAACATCGAAATGCTTTCCAATGGTGAGGAGGTTAAAGGTTGGTGAATTATCGACCAAAACGGAAGTTCCCAGGAATGTCAAAATGTTTCATGACATGAGGTCCCTGGTATGTACTAATTTTGACCAAAATGTATTGTGTATACATTAACTAAACTGTACAGGTATGTAAACTGCATACGAGTCAAGTCACCGGTAATACAGCCAGTCTTAGATAAGATAGCCAAGTGAATTATCTAAATAAAATACAAAATAATTAACTATTTATCTAGATAATTCCTAAAACTGACTGTGAGGTACAATTTTTTTATAGGATAACCACTGGCATAATTAACATATGTACCTGAATCATGGCTAAATAAACAAACATGTTGGCAAGATAATCATTGCTAACAGCATCTTATAAAACTACCCAATAAATAAACATTCGATATAAAGCCACGCGACAACATACAACACTATCAAACAATTATATATTTGGGTACAATCATTTTACGGTTTAAGTCGATATAAACGACTGGACGGTGATTAGGTCTAGCTTTGTGTCGAGTGGCTTTTTGATTATATATTATATATTTATATTATGTTGTATTATTATCATATTCGTATCAAACAATACGGTTGGTACTTGATAATATTTGTACGAGTATGATGATTTTTCGTTGTATTATAGTGATGGTGTTTTGTCGAATAGTTTTTTGTTGTTCTGACCGATCACGTGGCTTTATATCGAGTGGTTCTTTTTGTCAATTCTTTGCATAAATACTACAGTAAAGGAAACTCGTATAATAGATTTTTAAAATTGACGCCTGAAGAAATCGCAAACGCATCCAAGCTAAAACCAACAGAAGCCAGCCATCAAATTCGGCAAAGATTTATTAATTTAAACGCGTTGCCGAGATTGCCGCAGTTACTGACAGATAACGGCCGTAACAATGACGATTGGACGGACGAAAAATCGGAAATCGAATTGAAAACAGTCAATATAGCGACGTGGCAGAAAGAAAGAAATGCTCAACTAGCTCTTAATGAATTGCAGCCATTAACACCAGAGATGTTGCTAGGTATATTTTATAAATATCATTATTATAAACCCGCTGCAGTAGTCTAAACAGGAATCACATATATTAACACATATTTTATGAAAAGGTTAAAATATTCTACATTCAATTAAATATATTTACAAAAACATGCAAAATTAAATGTTTTGTATCGACTCGCATTATAAGTTCAGATTTAAATTTGTTTCTTACCTAACTACTTTTTATACTAACGAATAAAAATAAACATCTGCGTTACAAACAAGAGGAATGTTATGTGTATTCATTCACCCTGGACATTCTCCCTAAACTGTCTTTATGGAAATTACACCAATAAAACAATATTTATTTATTTAAGTAGTTATACTTGTAATTACTAGTATTGAATCAAAAAACAATATAAAGTTTATATACAAAAATATTTATGGCTTAAAATTTGTCATTTATAAAATTGATATGAGATTTGTATTATGATAAGCGATTTACAGTCTATCGAATGTCGGAAATCATTAGTGGTATGTTCAGAAATTCTAGTCGTGCCACTGATGCAAATGCATACATATCTGGGTCTGATCTCACAGTCAAAACGCTAATGTAAATCTTGTTTTGTAGACGCTGTCAGATGATGGTACCTAGTAGTTATTATTTTGTAGGAGACAACTATTTGCACTAGAAAAAAATATTATTGAAATTTTCGTTTAAATATATATTTTTTCTCGTAAATTTATTCAAAAATTACATTTTTTTTTTCTACAATAATATAACCTTATTATAATAATAACATATTGAGCAAATAATATTATATGTTCTCACCTAGAGTTTGGCAATTGAACTTGGCCGACGGCATTCATAATATATTGTTATTCACAGACCGTACCTTTAGTTACATCGTCCGTGTACGCCATCATTATTCTGTAGTTGATTTCAGTAGGATTCAGTTTGCCGTATAGGTATTTATGTAACCCGTTGCTGAGCATCCAGATCCTCTGCACGGGCTCTTTGTCTACCTTAAGATCGTTGGGAAAACTCATCGACGCCGAACTGCTGGGCAGTATCCCTTGTGTGACGGGCCCGAATTCCCGGTTCGAGTTCCAGCAACCAACCTGGCCTTTGGTGACCAGGTTGTAGTACATAATGCCCCTGGTGTCCATTGCCATGCCGGATGACTGGCACGACTGGTGCCGGGTGCATCGAGAATCTTTAAGTGCAACGAAATGTTCTATAAGATCAACCGGTTGAATCGTCGTGTTCCGCAGAGACACCGTGGGCACGTAGAATTCATTCTGGCTGGACATCGAGTGGAAGTATAGTACTCGGTTGTGTTGTTCCGGAGACAGGCACATGCCAAAAATTCCGTCCATCCAGTTGAATTTTATGCCGTCGATGCTGTATTGGCAGTACAGTGGATCCGGGTAGAAATATGGATGGTTGATTCTGCGCGAAGTGTCCTGCAAAACAATATTTTATTTAGAAATGATAAAATAATTTTGAAAACTGTCTATGTGGGAAAAACGAGATTGAATAATACTGAATATATATATATATCGAGAAAATGGTCAAGTTAATGAATATTATTGAGATAGGAAGAAACCAAGAGATAGTCAATAGTAGATGATGGGTAAATATAGATAGAAATTGGGAAAGAGGTAGGCTAAAGAAGAGACCGGAGCCCGCAGGTTATTATAGTGGATATATGAGGGCATGCAGAGTAGCCATGGTAATGGCGATGGATGTGTAGGGCGAGAATACAATTATAACTGAATTTTCGCAGGATAAGGCAAAGGAAAGAAAAGACTGTTTAAAAATATGTAGGGATTTTAGACTAAAACTATAATGGCGCCTGAAAATGGTTTGCGAAGAGTAGATGAATTCCAACCGCTTTATTATACAAATTAAAATGTTTAGAATATAATAAACACTATAATATAGGTTCCTGTTTTTAGATATTTTTGTGTGAAAAAATGAATGCTATATTAAAATAATTATGCACAAAAAAGATTTCAATATTAGAAAGTCGTTACTTATCGATGTTATAATATTAGCTTATTATTATAAAATTATTTTGAATATTATAATGAAAATTGCACAAGCAAGTACCTATATAAATAACTTTATTATTTCAAAATACGTAGACGAATAGGTATAGGTACCTCTTTGTAGTTGTAAACGATTAGTCCGTATTGAAATACATCGGACATGTAAGCATACGTATCTTCGCAGTCGTCGTTTAATATCTCCACCACTATGTTCGTAAACAACGAATCCTTTGAAGTCTGATTTTTTGGGATGACGAAACGCTTAACTAGTCTGTTGGTGTTCAAGTCGAATACATCTAATTTAACGGGGCATATTTGATCGACTCTCTTCGCCAAGTTTATGGCACCTGAGTCCAATACCCACAGACGGTCACACTTGTCCACTTCCATACGGAAAACGGACACGAGACCGTCGCAGCGGTTCTGTTTGTGATTAATGAACCTATATATGAGAAACGATAAAAATATACGAAATCTGTCTTAACATAATAATATTAATAGTTATTGTATAATTGTTATCTTAACGATTGTCGATTATTATTTTTGTAATATAGTTTCATTACATGTGTATATACAATGAACTAGGGCCTGAAATAGTGTGTCTCCTGACACAAAGTGCATTCCCTGAATTACAAATGTGTGTGCACTTATAAAGTTTTATAACGTGTATATTAGGCTTAATTGTAGAAATAACAGTAATTTAAAATTTCATTACAAATACATTTTAATTTATTTATCCCAATTTAAATATATGACATCAATCTGTTCGTTATTTAATGTATTCAACCATAACTACGGTTCGGTTAATTTCATATTATATTGCATTAAAAACTCCACCATACACAATTAAAGATTTTTTATATGTAAAAATTAATATGTCATCAATTTCTGAGTATAATCTATATAATATACAGGCAGTCGGATTGTTATGGTTAAATGAAAAACACGTCATGATAGGGTACACGAGAAAACCAACACCCAAGAGTGCTCAAAAGTGGTATTATAGTGTTTATTTTAAAAAAAGCTAATAAAAAACAATTAACTAATTAAGATAATTATCTTACTCTAACCTATAAATTATGTTAGTCGTTTTAAATTATTTTGTATTACTTAGTCAAATTTTTTGAATTTTTACTTAGATTTATTTTATTGATAATTTTTAGTCCAATTTTTTTTATAAATAATACAAGTAGTGTATAAAAGGCTATACCCCTCTATAGGTTTTTTTTTTATTTGCTATGATTAAAATCTATCAACACTGTTAATTGAATTGAAAAGTGTGTATCCGAAAATGAGATGGTATTTTAGGCCTTGCAATGAACTACACGGCCACACGTGTTTTGTTTTGTCTGTAACGGGGTTAAGATCCATGTTAAAAAATACACGTGAATACCCGTTTATTTTATATTATCCGTGTATATATTTGAATAAAACCACTAATCTGCAGGTCTGTTAATAAAAGTTCATATTCTATTGCCTTCTAGACTCAAGGTTTACACGAATCAATAAATAAACTTACACTGGTATTTACTGCACGAATACACGAATAATAAATACACGTACCTGGAGTTCACGTACGACCACGGTTTATTACTCATATTACGATAAAAATTGAATTACCAGTTCCACGAAGGATAGGGCTTCAACACGGGAGATTTATCGTAGCTGTTCAAATTCACATAAGCCAACGTCACTGGTATTCCGGGTTTCCACTGCGGTAGGCTTATGAACATTTTATTCTTCCATATTTCCAGTCCAAGAGGTAGATTGTTAATCGGTATGAATTTACCGGTTTTAAGAGCGTTACGTTTTGATTCTCGATCGGGATATTCGATGTCTATTTGGTTCCACGTAAAACGGTCTTTCAATCCAATGTTTTCACGCAAATTGTAAAATTTTCTTATCGCGATGGATTTGGGCTTTGACGGGTAGTCTGTTGAGGTTTTGTTTCCCATCATCCACATAGATAACAACCATGGCACCAGTATTTCTATATAGGACATTTATTTATTTATTAAACTGAATTAATATTTTTCTTACTTAAATTTAACTTAAAGAGCTGCAATTAGGAATCAATAGGTACTATTATATACTATACAATATGATAATATGATACAATATGATACTATAAAGATAATTTGAGAGTTTATGAAACTTCGTCTAATATATCATGTACATATACGACAGATATAATGAATTTATATTGCAGTTTATTAGGATTATTTTTTCATCATATTATAAAGTGTATAGAAAAGATCGGAAAAATAATATTAATATTTTTTTCTTGTATATGTATTAGAGATAATAAAATATATTGACACTCACACTCGACTCGTTATATAGTATATTCTCAATAAAATTTGAACCGAATAAATCGCCTATTGTATCATCGTTATGCGGTATACTCGCTGGTAGTTAATGACTGCGGTACAAACATAATTGCTTCACGGTAGATTTGTTAAACATTTGTACCCAGCAATAATTTATAACTTATTATATTATTATCTGTTCGTTCTGGTATTATATACATACCGTCGTATGAGAGAAAGACTTTTCACTTTTATTTAGAAAAAAAATTAAGTATCTAAGTAATATAGTCCGTTTTCAAAACGATTGACGCCGCGTCATATCGATTTTTTTGTAGGTATTATTATTATACACGCTCTTATAAGTTTACGAACCTGTCGACGATACCGGGAAGTTTACTTGTTTCACCGTCGACACGTCAGCCGACACTTCGGTTCCAGCATGATTATGCGGAGGTTTTAACCAGTTATAATCCGCCGGCCAAACGTAAGAATGAGGTAAATCGTTGCGGATCATCTACACAAAAACAAAAAACAAAAAAAAACACTTACACTTGGCGATATAATATTGAAAAAAAAAAAGATTAGCGTGAAACAAAATTAAAATAAAATACCGAGTATAGTATAATATTCGAATTATACCACGCTGAAGTATTTGAAACTTTTGAGTTTTTCATTAAGTGATAATTAACTTGAAAATTGAAAATTGAATAAAAGTTATATTTAGCGGTAAAATAAAAATCAGAGTAATCTTCGAATTAATTTCAACCGAACTCCGTTCAGAATCATAATTTTGGCTTCTTTCCTGAGACCAAAGGCCCAACCCTACCTTTCTAACTATTCACCTACAACAGTGCCACACACCCATCAACAGAATACAGTTACTTTATACAATAATATAATATAATTAGATATAATATTGTATAAAGGGCCATAATAAGAGGATAAGCGGTATCTACGCCGCCGGCGCTATATCTGGGAGGGCCTCAAAATACCCTAGAAACTTATAAATATTAGTGGCTCATTTTAACTTGTCAGTATGTGGCCCAATTCCCGGTTGCTCGATAGCCCAATTCGTCACTGATTTTAAAGCACATTTTAAAGCTTCGCACCGGGCGTAATATTTGATTGCTACGTTCCTGTAGGTACCCGTTTAGGTAAATTAAACGACCATAAAATACCGAACTATACAAATAATGTGTGTTTACAATGTGTACATATTATTATATATTTATAATTCTTCCAGTAACAGCCGCACAAATAGATATGTGACATTTAATGTAGGTTACGAATTATATTTTTATATTGTATTTAGCTCGTAGCCGGTCGCGAGTTGTACTGTCAATAATTATTGGCGTAATATCAAATTTCGTTGCGGTAATACTCACTGGAGCGAATCGGTGTGTTATTTTAATCGTTTTGTTAAAATGTGTACAGACTACTACAGACAGTATAAGTATGGTATATACACTTTACAGATCTAAACTAACACGAACACACACACACATGCATGCACACACACCAACATTACTGTATATTATACCAATTTTTTTTTTTATTTGTAAACAAAATTACATATAAGTATGTCTCTGTGAAACAAAATAATGTCGTAAAGACAAACGAAAACCTATACATGTATATATAATAAATATTGGGAAAAAAAATGAAATATTTTCACGTGTATATGTTGTAGGAATCAAATATCAGTGTAAAATTAATCTGCAGGTAACGGTAAAATTTTGGAATAATATCGATAATACTTTTTCTTAGTGGGTTTCGACCATTTAGACCTGTTATGGCTGACAACCCGTGGAGCAATTTTTTTTTGGATTCGAAATCTCAATAATGTTTCAATAATAATAAAATTAATTATGTTGCATACTCATATGTATGTTACAAGTTATACATAATAATTTTACAATAGTGATTATACGCAATATATAGGTACATAATTTTTTATCACTTGCCAGATTGGTATTCAAATATTTGTTTCAAATGCTTATATATTTGTTTAAATTTACATATATATATAAACTACTCTCAAATTTCAGAAATATTGTCAGGATTGACGTTTATATTAATATTGAGTTTTCCTACTACTTGTATAGTTTTGGCTAAAACGATCTGATGAGGTATTGTAAAAACGATCATATTGTGTGAAACGTGAAAAACAACAAAATGTTTAGGTAGTTCCTGAATTATGTGTTTAGGCACCAACAAATTTTTTCTATACCAATTCATCATACTGATAAATTATGGATTTTAATTTGAGTAATTTTTCTAATTTGATTAAAACCAATAATGCAAATGTAATTTATATATCAGCTATATCGAAAGACGAGTTAAATACTCGCCTGAGTCCAATGAACAGTAACATATTTTATTATAATATATTGTTTTAGTTCAAATCATGTGAACAAAAAGTGAACTACTAAATCCAGCACCTACTAGAGTAATTTTTCTTAATACGTATGAGAAAAAATCAAAAATCTGAAAAGTCTTTAATAATAATATTATGTAAAAACTAACTACTGATAATACGTATGGGTATAATGTATAATATGTGTATATTTCAAGCTATACAATTAATTGTATGCTTTTTTTTTTTTTGCAAATGTGTAGGTACTCTCGATAAAAACTGTTATACTTGCTCCGGTTCTACTCGATCCACCCGGTATTGATTTTTGGATAATATTACACGTCGCGAAATGTGGTATTATATAATATACACACAATGTATTAATATTTTTTGTATTATTTTATAATATAAACACGATGAATTAATATTTTTCGTATTAATTATAATATACTCACCGGAGCTGTACAGTGCGGTTATTGTGATTTACGAAAGAAATGTGCTGTTGGGTTGTGTGCGGCGGCGGCAACGGCGGCAGCAAAGGGCAAGACCGTTCGTCGCATGAGAGACATTAACGCAGCATTCGGGTCGGAATAGAACTAAACACGCGACGACGACGACGAAGTCGTTACACCTAATCGCGCACGATAATGGTCACGTTCAACGTTCACGCCGCCTGTGGGCCACGACAGAAGTCGTCGCAGACAAAATAAAAACTACCGGCATAATGATAATAATAATAGTCTTGACGGTTAAACACGCCGATTAAACAAATTAAAAAAGAACTGAAGGAAATGAAGAATAGAAAGAGAGAGAGAGAGAGAGAGAGAGAAAATCTCAAATACGTAGACACTGTTTAAATGTAAACCTACCTATTTAAATCAATTATAATATTATACAGGTATCAGGTAAACGGTAGTTTTGTAATAATATAAACCGTGTAAGTATATAATATGGCCACAGATACAACAATTGTTACGTAATATATTAATAATTTCCCGAGGCCATTCGATTTGCATACATTATTTTTCTTTAAATTATAATACCAGGCCACAACAAAGTATCATCTTTAATTTTATTTGTGTTTTGGTGTCGCACAACAGGCTATAAAGAAGCTCAATTATAGTATATAGATAAATTAAAATAAATTCGAAACGAGAAAAAAAAATTGAAGCTCTAATTGTGGCATTAAAATATATATCGACTAAGCGAAATTCGGGACGTTTTATTTATTTTGTTTTATATAATTACGAATAACAATTGTCTACAGAAAATAGTATAATGATATACAGGAAAAACATTCAAGTATTTATATACTCGCAACATATTAAAGTGTTATTATAATTAGGTACAGAGACTTGAAAATTAATGATGCTTCTTCGTTTACAAAATCCTTATAATTGCTGAGTTAGTAACAGAAAAAAGCAATGGATACGTGCTATAACCATCCACTTGCAGACTTGCTCGGAGAAGCGAGTCTTCTATATGTGGTTAGCGATTTGTTTATACAGATGAAGGGGAAAAAATTACACGCTTAAATCTAAAAAGGTCATTCAATCTGTGATCTGCGATTTGTTAATTTCATAATTTGACAATCTTATAGGTATACGATATTATAAATATACACACACACACATATATATATATATACACACTGCCTAGCTTCTGGTCTAGCTGTGCATTCGTTCCAATCATTATTACGATTATTACTACTGAATTATTAAGACTAGTCCGGTAGAGTTGATAAGTAAATAATAACCGGACCAGCAATAGTTTACACGTCAATTTTGTGGGAATCGTCACGAACGAGTACATTTCAAAATAGATAAGTATATAATATTGTAATAAACAAAATAAAATAACGTGTATTCTGTTGTACGTGTGACTGACTGTTCAATCTCATTACATTTCAGTGCAATCATCATGAATTCATGAGTATATCTTATATAAACGTATATTAATATTTGAATTGTGCGTACCTCTCTTTTTTAAGTATAGGGCTACCTGAGGTATATAGGGATTGCCTAGTAGGCTATCATTTGATCTGGTAAATTATGTCCGACGAAAAATTTTATGACATCTCATTTATTGAAATCTATTCAACGTTTATATTTTACGATATTATAAATAACATAAAACCCATATATTGGATTAGTAAAAATTGTATCAGGTCTGTCACCGAATTTTTAAGTGTAATCAATTTGCACAAAATTTACCCATAATATAAACAAGATGTATAATATGTATAATACACTTAAATATTTTTAAAATGCATTTGTAATTTGCACAAAAATAAAATATTTATCTTTAGGTATATCGTTATTTGTCCTTATCATTTTCGAACAACTATACCCATATCCAATGTTGATCCCTAAACCACTCTCAATCTCCTATCAGCCCATTTCTTTGTGTAAGTCTATGATCTACCTAAATACCGGCTATATATAAACGTTTCGACTTGAAATGGCGACAAAAGAATAGAAAACGAATTCATATTTTGTTTACAACTATCGATTAATGATTTTAATGCACGTTTGTTTGATCGTATTCTCGTAAATACTATTGATTGGCAAACATTTCAATAAAGCTGTAATATCAAATAATATACATTTATCTTAAAATTTCTGTTGTACGTAGATTACGACGTATTTTCTCATGATGTCTATCAAACAGACGGACACCTGCATTGTTGTGTAGTATACACAAAGAAAAGAAACAGTAGTTATACCTATACTCGTATATTTGTCCCCAATGTTATTGAGTTTTTTCGACGTGATAATATCGTGCATGCCTGGTGATTTCAAAATAATTTTTAATCAATCTAATTTTTATGTAATTTTTCTTGATAGGTACAATATAACTAACATTATTTTCGATCCTAAATACATTTTAATAAAAATATATTTTATATGGTTTTCGATTTTTTTTTTTTTTTTATGTACAAGATGTCGTAATAATAGTTAAAAATGCATGTATATTATACAGTTATATTATAAAAAGACGGACATACTTCACACGATGGGTGACCGGTGGGCCACTGTTGTAGGTAGGAAGTTGGGAAGGTAGGATACAGAGGGGAATTTAATGTATATCTGTAAGTAACGATAAACTATTGCTAACGAAAAAACGATTTTGATCGGAATTCAGTTGATAGTTATGCT